CTCCTACTACTCCTACTACTCCTACTACTCCTACTACTCCTACTACTCCTACTACTCCTACTACTCCTACTACTGCTACTACTGCTACTACTATGAGTACACTGACCAGATAAGTGCACGCCAAGCGCCGGATCCATTTTCGTTCTTTAGGTGTAGTGCTAGTGCCAGAGATTCTCTCTCTCGTAATAAATTCTAGGCTTCTTATAACTTCTCCTTCTCTAATTCTCTCTGCCAGCTCGCAAGATGAAGCCTGATCGGTTAAGATTCTTGCTGAAACAGCGGGAACATCGTACGAATTATCGGAGGCTTGTGCCGCTGCGAATCGCCGATCTGCCATTTATCAGGGAAGCAGACGCAGATGCTAGGAGTGGGGAGCACCAACGGGAGCATCAAAACTTTTCATGTGAGAATCGAAATTAAGGCTCTCATCTCTTTAGTATGTATTATTATTATAGATAATAACCAAGCCAAGCGGCCCAAAAACATGTTTGGGGAAGATTGTTTTTCGAAATCGAATGAGAGTGTGTCATATTCTTTGATGTTGACTTCTATACATCATCCTCTTCATCATCCTCTTCTTCAGGAGAAAGAGCAAACACGGAAAAAATAAAGAACTTTCGACACCACTCCGCACGACCGTGTTTTTTGACGAAGAAAACCTCCCCGCGACCGGACCGTGTTTTTTGACGAACGAAACCTATGATTAGATAAGATGTATTATCAGACTGGTAAATGATCTTAACAGCCGAATCAGATCCCAGGGGAGAAATCAAAAATGTAAGCACAAAGATCAGCGATCTTTTCCAAAGCAGATTGTCAGACGAAACAAAATTTCAAAAAGAATAACGCTCAATCAGAATAATGCTCAATCATCATGGGCATCGATCTTCAACCATCCAGATGAATGTAAACCCATGATCATGAATAACAACAACAACTCACAAACGCGAATGAATTTCATCGTAGCAGATCATTCAAAGCCCTGAGTCCTGACAGATAGTTCAGGACTCTCGTGAAACATTACAACATTACATTTAACATGACCGGTCATAAGCCAGTCGTAAGTACTCACGTCATACATCTTGAACGAAGCTTGTTCCTTCATTCTCACCCAATCAAATGACGCACAGGCAGTCGGAGGTAGAATTATATGGGAGACAGGTTATAGTTAAGTCTAAGTTTAAGCTCAAGTTCAGGGCTAGCTTAACTTCCTATATCAGACAAGACGAAATAGGCGTCTTGATTAGTCAGAATTGAATGAATTATTTCGGATTATGGGAGACAGGTTATAGTTAGGTCTAAGTTTAAGTTCAAGTTCAGGGCTAGCTTAACTTCCTATATCAGACAAGACGAAATAGGCGTCTTGATTAGTCAGATTTACATGAATTATTTCGGATTATCTGGCGACTATTTTTCTCAGTATGATATCGTGGCGTTCCTCAGCCACTAGTTAAGAAGGCTCCTGGGAATGGGAATTATATTATGTTCTTTTTTTTACTTGATACAGAACGAAGACGGTACAAGTAGACTCATCAGTAGTCTAATAGTTCAATCGTCGCTGTTTGTATATACTCATGGACTTATTTTTTGTCTCGGAACAAGAAAGTCGGAACTAGAATGAATTAGCACTACTCAATGCATTCAAATACGTAGTTTTACACACAACCCAACTAAAGGCGACTCAACAAGTAGTAGGGCGCGTAGTTAGTGAGCTTGACTGAGGTAGACATCAAGATCAACCACAGTGAAAAGTTCTTTCACGAGGTAGACGTCAACTACAGTGAAAACTTTCATCCATAGTACGAACTCAGTCAACTACTACACTCAGATTCGCAGTTCTGTCTTTTTGTGAGCTATCTTCCTCTATTCTGAATAAAGTCGTCGTGGGCATTTTGTTCACGTCGTTCGAATCATTATTACTTGACTTGTTAGGAGGACTCAGTCGCAGAAGTAGCGCTCACTTGTGAAGCACTATGTAACTGTTGCTAGCCAGCGGCTTCGTTACTATGTGAGAATTGCGCGCGAACACAATAATAATAATGATAATAACCTCGCGATTGGGTACGCCACTACTACTGCTACTATACTTTACAGCTTGTTGCGCAGCTTGTTGTACGTCGTAAGTAGACATAAGAATTGTGTCACCGGAAGACATAAGAAGTGCCGCCTTCCTCGCATCGATGGAGCTGGTATTTTCTCTATTTCTTCTCTGAGAAGCGGAGGCACGATGCTGGAGGAAGAAGTCCCAGGCCAGCACGGATGTTCATCGTCCCAGCATCAAGAAAGTCAAACTGGGAAGATGAGTAGAGAGAACGGCCAGCATCGAGAGCACTTGGTGGAAGAAGAACGGCTCTTAGGAACAACAAAAGAAGATGCTGCGATTGACGAGGAACAAGAACTTCTACATTACCCTGAAGATCTTCCAGAACAAGAAGATGTAGTGTTTCATAGAAGGAGCAGAACACTACAAGATTATAGAAGTACGCTACATGGCACACTGGTGTCCTCGTGGAGTGCGACGACATCTCATCATGTTGGTAAACAAGAACAAGAAGTAGACATGGGAGGTAGCCGTTGTACGGGAGGTGAACAAGAAGAGCGAAGTCTTCTACCAGCACTGGGTATTCCTGCTCTTCTCCTGGGTGGTTTTCATCATGGAACAATTCTTGCTCGTGCTAGTTCCTCCGGAGATGAAACTTCTCGGTTTCAGGGTAACGGGAAGACTCCCCTTACTCCTAGCACTCATGACGGCACTTTTCTTGCGAGCGGAATCCATGATCAATCTCGTGACGTCGGTGCATCTGGCAGCCCTGACGCCGCGATCGAGGCCATTGACCTTGAACTTGAACCTCAGAGAAGCGGAGCTGGCTCCGCTGGCAACGGAGGCGCTGGACGTTCCAATAGTCTAGGCTTCAACAAACACAAGGGTTCTCGGTCTTCGATGTCTCAACATGCAAGAGACGCTCGAGGCGGATCAAACGGTCTTGCTTATTCTTCGCCAGTCCGCTGCATTCATGAAGATTCTGTCTTTGCGCAAGCAGATCATTATACGAGAAAAATGAACCTTCCACCAGTTGACGATGATTACAGCATGCAGCTGGAGGACAGTCCTATACTGGTGTCGAAGTCGTCAATGAGTAGGCTCGTAAGGAAGCAGGATGGAGCTACTTCTTCAGGACTAGTAGCTCTGGGAAAGTATAAGCAACTAGTACACCAGGATGACGAAGCTACTGGTACTGTAGGTTATGCAAGTGATGTTGAAGATGAACAAGAACATGGAGACAACACTGAGGACTTCCCTGACGTGAGTATGATGGAGGAGCAGGACACCAATGATATTATGAAGGTGGGACAGCCTGGCGACGTCAGTATGATCATGAAGGACAACATCGACATCGAGTTCGGACCGAAGAACCCCATGTTATCCGATGCGAAGAACCATAGCAATTATAGCGAGATGGTTGATATGGTGGCCGATGAGGATGTCCTCGTCGAGGACGATACCCTCTCGATTGTGCCATCCGCGAGAAGTCAGGCCGCACCAGAATTGACGTGGGCAGACTTTGACTCGCACTCAAATAGTGAAATCGATCCAGCAGACAGCAGGGTGAAAGACAAGAAGGCGAAAGATGACGATGCCAGTCCCCAAGTTGCTAACTTCCGTACTACGCGACACGAATTCTATGATCGCATGTTGGCTATACGCGCAGGAACTGGGACGAGCTCGGACGTGCATACGACGACAACTCCGACGTGCATGCGAGCAGCTGGCGATAGGGCCAACGAGTTCTCTCTAGGTGACAAAGTAAAAATTTCTTCCTCCTCTGAACACCTCCAACATCAACTTGAGTATGAAGGACAAGTAGGACAAGGAGAAGGACAAAGTAGAACTAGAACCCAACTACTTCCTCGTCACCAGGAGAACAACGACATTACACCACTATCAATGAGTCCACCTTCTATAATTGTTCACGACGTCCAAGACCTCCTCCCACACGGAAACGTCCAAGAAATGCTGCCCTTGAGTTTGATGTTTCCTCCTCAGTACGTCGATCCAGATCTTATAGCTGAGGAGAGGGGAGCGGTTATTGCATCTAATCTAGTGGACGACGTAGTAAACGTAATATGTTCCAACAGTGCCGCGGATGGTGGAGTTACAACTAGGAATGTTGCTGAGAACGGCATTGACAATGGTAACGACATTGGTAAAAACGAAAATCCGGAATGGAACTGCAGTGAGAAGTCCTACATGATGCGCACGGACTCGAATCCAGCCACCAGTGATGAAGGGAGCACCAGTGTACTGGACTGCAGTCCCCGTGGGATGGAAGTCGATTCTGACGTGCTAGACTTGGTACATCAACATCTGGGAGGACAGCATCTGGGAGGACACGCACACGACTTGGGAGGAATGGATGCTATCAATTACGCTCAGGAGCAAGACGACCTAGACGTAGACGGCGTTCCCGGAGAGGGACGAGAGCGGAGGTCGATAGAAGCGTATAATTCCTCTAGTTTATTTATTCCTAATGCTAGTGTGGAGGAGATTTCGCGTCAGGTTAGTACGCCATTCGAGTATCCCGCTTGCACTGAACAACGCAGACTAAAGATGCAAGCCGCACATGCGGCTAAGAATAACGCAGGTCGTCGTCAAGAAGACGACACGTTGCTGGAGCAACAACAGTACCTGGCTTTGCTAGAGCGACGAAAGCAAGGCACGACTCGTGTGCAAACAGGGAGATCATTGGCTTTTTTTCCGGAAGAAGCTAGAGACTACATCGATCATCAAAGGCCTATCGAAGAACATCAAAGGCCTATCGATGGAGCTCGAGCTGACGTAAATGAAATACAACTACAAGACAAAGTAGAACCTCCTAAGCATGGCATTGTTCACGACGATCAAGCCAGACTGCCACTACCCAACGACGAGCAAGAGAATCTTACAACTAGTATTCCAGGAGGAACTACGCAAGCACACGCACAACAACCGCTTCTTTTAGCGGCACAGGAAGGTCCGGGTCCCTTAGATTTACCAGATATTAACAATGTAGGTGCCGATATTATTGACTTGGAAGATTATGATGCACGAGCTCTCGATGCGCTCACGAGTGCGCGTGGTCGGACGACTCGTCCGCTGCACCTTCTGCAGCGGCAAACGAGCCGGACAAGAACCATTCTCGCAGGTGAAGACATTCAAGCTCAGCTCGGACGCTTCCATCCAAGAACTACAGGCAGACATGTTCGAGGTACTTAGACATACTAGCACACCACTAGTAGTACCCTATTCTTATGTCCACCATCCGTTCGATTTTATTTGGCGTCCTCATGGTCTGGCACAGACACCTCGTAGTTCTTGTGATTTTTATTCATCGCAATATTAAGTAGTTCGGCGTCGTGGTGCAGCACCGTGGATTTTTTTTTTTTCATCGTCATCTACATCTGGGTTACAGCCTTATAAGATATATTTTTTCATCGTCGTCATCTTCCTACGCCCAACGAACAGATGAAACTCCTGGTCCTGAGAGCTTGTTTCGCAACGAAGATGGTGGTGCTCTAGCGGATCTGCAATTGCAGCGGGAAGGAAGTTCCATCCCAGTTCCACATCCTCGTTTTAGTCTGAAGGAGAGGTTACGTGTGAAAGCAGCCTTGGCCGAGAGCAGAGCAGTGCAAGAGATGAATCATCAAGAACAGGTGAACCATCAAGAACAAGGCCTAGGGTTTACAACAGCGTCGAGTGTTTCTCAAAATCTTCAACAGAACCTTTTTCGCAATCCTAGTGCACGAACATTTTCTCGCGGCACAACGCCCACAACTCCAGCACATCAAGAGGGAGGCTCCGTTCCCCTGCCACATCAAGAAGATGATGAAACAGATCCTCTTATAGTAGGAGACGACGGGCAGGAGACTCCTTTGCTTCTACAGATCCGCGAGGACGAGAACGCAGGACCACTACCGGTAGACGGACACCATGCTTCTATCGCACCTGCGATAACAACTACAGGGACTTGTTGTATCAAAAACAAGAATGTCGGCGGGCATACCGAAAATATTGAGGTCGTAGATCCAAAAGCGGCACAGGTGGAACCCACGAACAACAATGCGAATTATACAACAACCTCCCATAGTTTATTCGGCACAACAGCGGGAGTTGTAGCAGAAGCTATAACTACAACGAATGAAAGAACTATAGGTGGAGCTGGAGCCTCAGGAGGAGGTGCCGCAAATGGAGGCAACATCAACAAGAGTTTGCTTTCTCGACTAGGCGTGGGCAAGATCGTTGTTCTGTGTGCGGTTGCAGTGACTGCGGTCGCCGGCATCGGTGTGGCAATAGGCATTAAAGTTCACAGCAACACTAGGACAAACCAAGGCGGTCCACCCGTCGGGGAGTCCTCTGGTGGTGACTCGGGACCAGTAGCAGCAGCAGCAAGTGCGGTTAGCACTAGCAACGCAGCTCCGGCTCCCGGAAATAACAGTAATCTTCAACCTGGTTCGTCTCCCAGTCCTGCTCCTGCTCCTACACCCACTGGAAGTAGGAGTACTAGTAGTGCCAGGCTTTCGCCTGCAGCAGGTGGCGCTTCTGTTCCTGCGCCCGTTGTTCTTCCATCTTCGACGACATCCATGCCACCCCCTCCTCCTGCGGCTCGGACTACCAGCGGCTTTCTGCAGCCCCTCCTCGCTAGTACTAGTACTAGTTCTCATGATTATATTACATTACCCGCTGCGCCTGCACCTGCAAATGCAGGAGCACTCCTCCGACGTGCTGCCTTCTTATCACGAAGATCTTCTCCAACAACTAGAGACGAGCTGCCTAATAAAGAAGTGGAACACCAGCTGCCTCCTCCAGAACCAGTTGTACAACCAGAGGAAGGCAGTGCACGACTGGAGGTTGTCAACAAAGAAGTGCAGACGAGTCCCGGTCTCCATCCTGTGAGTAGCGATCATGTCTTCCTCCAGCAAGGACAAGCGCCGCGTCTTGTTCTTCTAGAAGATGGAGGAATGCTTTTAGATGGACGAGCAACACCAGAAGAACGCCTTCTAGAAGACGAGCAACACCTTCGCGGAGAAGAGGAGGCGGAGGAAGAGCTTCGTGAAAGGGACGAAGAACAGGTGCCAGAAGATGTCGAACATTTCGAGGAAGACGACGAAGAGGAGCGCTTCCAGGACGGCGAAGAAGAAGAGAGGACGGTAGCTGAGTCCGAACCCGAAGAAGAGGAGGCCGTTGAAGAAGAAAAGGAGCGCGAAGAAGAAGAAGGACTAGTAAATCCTGAAGTTGTATTCGACGAGCAGGCTGCTCAGGCTGCTGCGTCTCCCGTAGCAGGTGCGCCGTCTCCTCAACAGCACCGTAGTCCAGAACTACCATCCGACCTACCGAGTAATTTTACAGCAAATCCCGGTAGCAACATGATCCGCGAAGGTGTTGTTCCACCGTCCAGATCTCCTTCTCCAGCGCTTTGTATCTTTGGTGCTCATATGACTGGCACGCCACTACCTCCGGTACCTCCGGAAATGGGAGGATCGCCACGTGGAACCTTGATTCTGACCCATACCCAGCCTACCTTCCCGATTTTTTATTGCAGTAATATTGTAGTTCCCGACACAAGAAGCCCCAGTCCTGCTCCAGCTCACGTTCAACAAGATGCAACTCCTAGTACTAGTCTACTTGACCCGAACCGTCGTGATGAGCCGAACCTTCTTGGCGAACCGAGTCCTGGAGATGGCTTGAACGCGGCTAACGCGACTAGTCAGGACGCTGGAAGAGAACTAGCGGAGACCGTCTCGTGCTTGCCTGGTCAGGTGGACCCCGAACATCAGTCTCGAGAAACTACTCCTATGCCTCCACATCTGCAGCAGCCTGCATTCGCATTGATGTCTCCTGGGGCATTGTCTCCTACTGGGGGAGCACAGCAGCTTCCACATGTGCTGGTGGAAAGGGAACCATTAGCAGAAACCATGAAGAAACCAGGGAAAAACGGACCACGAGACGAGGAAGTAGATCGCTCCGAGGATGCAACACCACGACTAGGACAGAGACCAGGCAAACGACGGAAGACGAGCAAAGGTGGTAGCAAAGACGGTAGTAGCAGAGCCAATAGCGAAAATGGAGGTCCTCCTTTCAAAAGAGATCGCACCAACGAAGATCACTACAATAGTGGAAATGGAACTGGTATGAACCCACATATTGCTTCTTCTTCTGCCATCGGCAATGGCGCCAACATTCCCGGGATGAACTTGACTGGAAAAATCTCACCTGATTCATCTGCTGCGAGTACGACACCTGGAGGGCTTTTCCTATTGTGTACAACTTCTGGCTCTCCGTCTCCTCCACCATCAAATGGAAATCACTCTGCCCCGCCACCAAATCTGTTTGCTCAAAGAACTAGTATCTTCCCAGCACCACCTAGTAGGAGCCCAAGCCCTCCAATCGCAGGCCCAACCGGAGCTTTTCATCTAGTACAGCTTATGAACCCAACTGGTACTGCAGCTGCAGCCACCTCCGATCATCAACATCTTCAAGTGGGTATAAATGTTCAAGCTGTTGGAGGGAGCTGCACCAGCCTGCAGGACTTACATCGAGCAGGTTCGCCGCCTGTGATCGGGCACTTAGTTTCACGAGGACCCGGATCACCCGTATTCGACTTAGTCGTGCCAGTTGACTCACGAAGGGTGCCAGGAGGATCCGTGCCAGGAGTTGACTCACGAACTGGATCCCCCGTGTTTGAGTTTGTTCACATGTCAAGAGGTCCTCACTCTGGTCCTGAACGGGTGAACAGTCCTGGTCCATCCTCTGCAGAAAATGGAACCTTTCGAGTGACCAGTCCAGGAGTGGTTCTCGTTCCCGTGAATGCTCCTGTTGGTGTGGCAACTGAATTTGCAGCAGCACCGACACGAGTTGGCTCTCCAGCAGCAGCAGCAGCAGCAGTAGCACCGACACAAGTTGGCTCTTCACGACCGGTTGGAAACTCTTCGGGAGCAGTAGTTGAAAACTCTCCGCTGGTGAAGTCCGGAGCTAGTGACGAAGCAGGTGGATCCGATCATGAAATCAGACGCACACCCTCTCCCGTAGGGGTCCCAGCCGGGATGGGAATAATGGCATTTACAACCATTAACCAAGACCCAGGTCAAAAAACTGCGGGGGCGGTACTATCAAGAGCTGCAGGTCCACCTAGTATTGACGCATCTTCTCTACAACTACCTCGACACAGTAATCAACCTGTTCATCCACAACATGATCCAAGAGCAGTGAAGGAAGAACATGCTGAGATGAATGCTTCTGGTGGGAATTCCTGGAAGCACTCACCTCGTCCAAAAAAGAACGCAGAGGAACAACAAGAAACGCTGTTGAAGAGTCCACAACCTCTTCGAGTTATGGACCCAGATCATTTGCTCGGGGACGAGCAACTATTTTCTTTAGGGGCATGACCTAGAATCACAAGCGGTCGGGATGACGGATGGCCATCTTCAGAGGAGTCCTTCGAACTCTTTCCTCCAGCGGCTACTAGCAGCGACCCATCGGTCAGACAGGGAGAGCCATGAGGTACTACTTGTTCTAGAACATATATATAATGCTTATAAATATTTATAATAAGTATATGTGTGATTTTTTCTTATCAGAAAATATAGCTAGAGCATGTCGCTGAAATTGTAATTGAACTATGTTTGCTACAATCTGGAAGAATGATCTCAAGTACTCTGCTGTGAGAATGATCTAAATTATTCAGGTTGCTTCGTGCCTGCGGAGAAAGATGTTGATGCTCGGAAAAACAAGATGTCTCCTGGACCGGGTATAATGTGCTGCTATGCAGACCGAAGATGAGTTGCATTAGCATGATTAACTGAAATATTAAACCGAAGGTATTATAGTACTTCTAGCATGTTGAAATACAAATAGGTTCCCCCATCCTTGTTTTAAACGACCCTTAGTAGTACAATCATAATTCTTCAATGTGGAAATCAACTGTTTCATCAGGATCAGGCCCTGCGTTGACCCATCGTCCCGTTGCCCGCGCCTCTCTCCCTACTTCAATCGATGTTTATTTGAATAGTAATAATACTACCATACGCGGCATACCGAAATCAAAATCATAGGAAAATAAGTCTTACCGGAAGTCAGCACTCATACTAATACAATTCTCTTTCTTCTATAATTCTATAATGATGCCACATGTCCATGATTCTTTTTCTTTTTCGCTTCTTTCCTTACGCTTAAAACTCAAAAAAAAGGCGATGATGACTGGACATGTTACTCTGATATATTAATGTCGCCATTTTATTCCCAAGCACACGAGGACGTCCTAACTTATAATTCTCTTCTGAAGATCAAGATGCATAATTTTCCTCATAACCGAAGATCTTCAACAACACCCCTTCAACACCCCTTCAAAGGTATCAAAAAATCAAAAAAAACGGGTCCGGCAGAGGCCGTAAACGTAATACTGCAAGCGTAATATACAAGAGTGCTCCCTTATATTATTGGTGCTAGGTGCACAACTGGTGGATTATTTGTAAGAGTCCTAGTGGATTATTTCTGAGTAAATAAATGCTTCGCGGGTGAGTGCCTCTTCTTTGAGTGGAAAATTGAAGCATTTTCTTTCCCTTTTCCCCTTACATCTACGATTGAAGATATCATCGATTTTGACACTGTATTATCACGGGTCGTGGTCGTCGCGGTCTAGACGTTGGCTAGCGATAGACTTCATGGAAAGGAAAAATAATCATTCATAATCGACATCTCGTGAGTTAAACTTGTTGCTCTAGTCATGGGTCTGGGTTGGGGAGGTTCGTGGTGGCATCTGACGGCATGGTAAGAAAAGAAAATTATTAACACATGAAAATAGAGTAGATAAATGGACAGTGCTACATCATATAGTGATGTAGAGAAGATGCTAACTTTACTCGGTTAATATTTCAGCTTTTCCTTTTAATTACTAGTGAAAAGTTCATCGAGTGTGAAAATTTGTCAAGTTCTTAGATTTGTTCTGATCATTCTTCAAAGTCAATCTCCAATAAAGCATCATCAGGGAAGATACACACCACATGCCATCAGGGATGAAGCAGCAGCAGTTACATCAGGGGCTTCTTCGATCATCAGGATCTTCTTCGACCATCAGGGTCAACAACTACTAGACTTCTAGACTCTTGTGATGATTTTCCTTCTGTGTTCCTTCTAAAACTACTAATAAAGCCATTTATTTGTGTATGTTAGTTGACTATACTAGCTACATAATGATATTAACAAAAAGCAAAAAGTTTCGCCTTGTGGATCATTCTCGTAACAACTTAAAAATCCTTGTGTATCTATCGACTACTCGGTAGTCTACTTAGAAGTTCCCCGCCGTAGCCTACTTACTCATATAATAGTCTACAACGATGATTGTGGGGGTACGTGGTGTCTAATGGTCTACAACCCTAGTGCCCTTACGTCAACGTCCTTAGTGCCAGGTGGTAAGGGCGCTCGCGAGCGCGACACGTGCGAGGCGGTAGGGCCACGCGCGGGCATCATAATAATAATAGTAATCATAATAATCATAATAATAGTAATAGTAGTAATAATACTAGTAATGATAATAGTAATAATAATAATCAGAATCTAATAATCAGAATAACAATAAGAATAAGAATAATAAGAATAATAATAAGTACAAGAAATAGGACAACTAGGAGATCTTCTTTTCAGCATTCATAACAACAATTGTATTGGGCATTCTGCTGCGGATTGCGTGCGTGGGTGTAGTCAAGGTTAACAGTAGCACAGAGTAGATGGCGTCCTTTTCTGTGGTTGTGGGTTTATTTGGTGAACCGGTACCCCATTGCGAGGAAACCAGTGCCCGCAACCATATAGCTGAGCACTCACCGGAGGCGTTGCACAGGGCTCCGGCCTGCCTTGGAAGGTGAGACCTCTGGGGCTGACAGGACCACGACAGCGCCGGCGCTTAGTTAGAAGCTGTAGCTAAGGACTTGCTTGGCCTTTCTTGTTTCGGTTTTTGTTTTTTCTAGTTAGGCCTACTCCACCAACAATAATAATAAATAATGATGTATTTGAAGTTCGTGGTAGAAGATGCTCGTCGTGCAGATATTTTATTTCTACTTTCTTATTCTTACAACTTCTTGTTCTGTGAAAAGGCTTACAACAATAAGTACTTCTATCCTCTTTGTCATGTATCACGTCGTAGATCAGCTCGTGGCGGCACAATCTAGACGTCGTGGACGGGTTTTATGTGAGCTGAATTGCCGAACCCGAACCGCGAACGTGAATGAATGATTTCTTCCATTCTTGTGTAGTTTTGTGTTTCTTGAGAATGGAATCCATGTGAAGAATCGTAGGTCAATTTCGACCTCGTCCGTGACGGAAGCTCTGATGAAAAGAGCTTGAGCGGCCTATCAATGTACCACGCTAAAAGCTGTCGCCGTTAGAAAAAGCAGCCGCGTTGACCATGATGAAGAATGAATGAATAAAAACGCTAAAAAATGTTGCTTCTATTTATTGTACTTAGTTATACACTAAATGTTGTCAAGAAGAGGCCCTAAATATAAGTTACTACATGGCCCTAAACAAGATCTCCTATTGTCATCTTCTGAGACAATGCCTATTGTCATCTTCTGAGATGAATACTATCTTATGAAAGAAGATACTAGCTACTACAGCTGCTGGATCAATGCCCTACTAAGAAGCATATCCAACTATCCACAAAATGTCCTATGATGAGCAACCTCTTCCACCTCCTTTCCAAAATCAAGAACATATGAAGGACAACTTGTATTACCCCATCTCCCACCAGCACGACAACCTGTATTATCCACCTCCACGACTTCCTCGTATTGCTGAGTTGCTCGCGCGTTGCTGAGTACAATGCAACGAGTACGAAGGGTGCCGCTCCTTCTTGCATAGAGTGTGCGAGTGTGTGTGTGTGTGTGTGTGCTTGCATTTTCCTGCCGATCCGGTGCTTCAGGCGCAGGGCTGAGGCGGGGACCCATCTAAATTTAATCTTCCTCCAAAGGGTGCGTTGGCCCTTTGGCCGAAGACATTGAAGCTGAGAAAGAAGACGTAGTGGGGAATCATGGTAAAAAATCCTTGCTGTCGACACTATCGCTGTGTGCACCATGATCATCATCATCTGCTGGCAATATGATGCTGTTTCTTCTTTCTGTTTCCTCGTTGCAGGTCCTACTTCTTCTCCCTGAAAAATTTGCTGCGGGGCGGACTTGTTCCTACCGCGGTATTTATTTCTCCGTGGAAAGTGACTGGCCATGTTTTTTAGTATGTAATGCGACCTACGGGGAGCAGTACCGTGAAGAGTTATAGAATCTCACTTAAAAAAAGTCTTCTCATATAAGAAAGCTGTGCTCCTTTGGTTTCGAAATTAGTGCAGTTATCGAAGGCGCGTAATCGTTTAAGAACGTAAACGTGAGAGCTCGTAGAGAGTGAGAGAGGAGTAGCACGAAAATGGAAAAACCGTAACAAGAGCGGACTACTTTCATATCGACAAGTCGTATCCAGATCGAGATCGATTGGTCGGAGGTCGTAATATTTAAAAAAAGAAATATAGATACTAGAGTCAAGGGCAGCATGCAATACCAATCACATTGCCTAGTCTATTGTTAATGTCACAAGTCCAAAGTAAGTTTCTTTTTCGAAAAAGTCAGGTGGTACAGGGGTCTTGCAACCCCCCTGATGCGATGCTATGTTTATTGTGTCTTGGAAAGTTTGTCACAAGTCTAAAGTGTCCAAGGATACAAAGTCTCCAGGTTTGGTCTGGCAAGTTCGCCAAATGTCTGCTTCGTCTTAAAGGTCTCAGTCTCATAGTCACGGCGTTCTCTCCATCACGGCGTCTTCGCCTCCACTGTTGGCTCCAGGGTCTGGCCCGACCTGCGGTCGGGTTGGAGTCGTGTCTCCGTTCAGTTGGCGTAGCCCCCGTAGCCAAAATGTTGCTCTCCCGTGGTGGAGTCCTTGCCTCAATGTGAGCGAAGTTCAACGCTCAACTTGGAATATCATGGTTCAAATTGTTGGCGAAAGTTTTCTTGGGAAAGGTGGTCTTTGAGGTCCAAGGATTCGGAACAGTCCTAAGTGTACTTATCGGGAACAGTCCTGTCCGGAACTTTTCTACGAGAGAAATGAAAGAAGACAACCTACAACACGTATCAACAATACAACTGCAAGGCATATTATTTGCATGTCCAATATGTTGAAGAAGAAGAATCTTTTCTGCTCTGCTCTAGAAGGGCTTCTTTTTTTCTACCTCTGTCTAGATGACTGGGTAGTACACAACTAATACTACTAACTACTATTAACTTCTACGTGAAGAACGATGACGAACGACAGCACAGGAGTTGCAAATAGTTGTTGGTGCCAGATGATGCGATCGATCCTGATCGAAGACAGACTTTTTGAAAATTGAAATGAAAAAACCGAACCGAAGCGATGTCTCAAATGATGTCTGGAAGATCCCTTCCCTGAGTCAGTATGCAAATAGTTATATAGAACAAGCGGTAGGTGGTACAACATACAACAGACACGACTAGAAGTGCCCTCGCGCCCCACCTCAGTGTTGATTGCTCCAGTAAGACCCTACTCATTTATTCTTATTATTTCACTATTGATTTATCCTTATGGTTCCATCTCATGAAGTTTTAGGTTTTGGATTTCATCGATTAAGAGCTACTCCATCAAGAGGCAAAAAATAGCTGAAAATGGCGCGTAGAGTTTCTTTCTTCTTGGTGCACCACCGGCTCCTGAACCTCTTCTTCCAAGCCACAGTCGACGTGTGGCGTACAGTTGAAGCCTCGCACCAGACAAGGGACTGCTCCCACTCTACTGAGCAGGAGCGTGAGGATCAATTATACGACCCCGAGGACCGGAATAATTTTTATAGCCGGAACATGAACAAATACGTTTCTCTGCAGACGAGTACACAGAGAAATCCGCTGCATGGCCAGAAGGAAGCATTAAAAGATAAGTTTCTAAAGTTAAGGCTGTCTTGACGGGGGGAACTAGCTACTTGGAGCGGGTGGTCGCCATCATCAAGGAACTTCAAAGCGACCCCTCTTCCATCACCCCCGAGAAGGAAGCTTTAAGAAAGGCAGTGCAGGACGCTGCTCACGATCCTTTAACTTTGGAACCATACGACAAAACAGCCGAGCTAGTCTTGGTAAATACAGTGGTGGCTGTGAGAAGGATTCCTGGTGGAGCGGGACGGACGAGATATACACATACTACAGCAGGCACAAATCGAATACGTCAGCCGCATCAAGAAACAGATGAAGATGATGGAACTTCACGTGGTCAACCACAAGAATTTCGCTTGGTTCCTCGTATGTTAAGACCAGTAGGCAATCACTATCTGGTGCAAGGTACTATCGTCCTGACTGATGTGAGGTCCCCCTTACAATTTTCAGGAGACGTATCTTGATTGAGGTCCCCCTTTCTCATAATTGGCAGGGGAAACCAATCACAGGGAGGGGAAACAAAGGAAAGCAATTCACTCAACTTCCATGGATACTGATTCCTTACAGTGTTTCTAAGCATGGTAGACGGGAAAATGTTAAAGAAGCATTGTGACCTGAGGCACTGGTCCGCTTTTGACCACGACGAGGGTCAACTTGTAGACTTTCGTCAATATAATACCTACGACCCCCCGCGGGCGCGGCTACAGCGGCTGCAGGAGAGCAAGTGTGCCTGTCAAGACTTCGAGAACAGCATCGTCGAGGTCGCGGAGGATCGAGATCGCTACTTTGGAGCACTGGCAGAGGCTAATGTTAAGGAGGTTCTTCTTAGGTATTTGTGATTCATCTCTGTGTCTGGGGACATGATGATAGATACTTAGTACTTCTATGATAGTAGAGTAGTAAAAAATCCACCTTCACATATTCCGATATATTCTTCCACGGAAACTTTCACGGCGCAGAGATGAACCAGTAGTACCAGTATGTATGAACAAAAGGTCTGTCTAAGATCAAAGCAAGACGAGCAGCGGGTGAAGACGCTAACCTGGAGGATAGGTATAGCTTGACATCAGTAGATTATGCTGGTTTAGGCGGTAATGATGACCATGTGGTATGGCTTTATTCCTCAGATGAGGAAGAGCCAGCAGCTCCTGCACCTTCAATCCCACTATCTGCTTCGAAGCAGGCATCCACTCTCGGCTTCGAACAGGGTTTTTACGGCTTCATTTCGGGACTAGCACAAGCGCTATCTTCTGGATTGCCAGAGGAGCTGTTCGCAACGGCGCCTACGCTTGGGGGTTCGAGTTCATCCGCGTCTTCAGGAGCCTCGGCCGCGTCGTCCTCCTCTGCAAGCGCTGCGCCTGCACAATCTACGAGCATGAGAATTTTCAGCACGATGGATCGAGTGACAGAAAAGCGAAAGAAGGCATTGCAGGAAGAGATCAAGCACGTCATCGGTCAGGGGATCCGGGACCCCACTGGGCATTCACGAGAAGCAATGGAGAGAACGCCAACGATCTTGATGTGGCCCCTGAAGAATTCAATTCTTCCCGTTTTCGAAAAACTTATTTATGCACCACGCCGACGTGACGAAGACGAAGGACAACTAGGCAGTGGTCACCACATGCGCATCTCCTCGACTTCGACGAGAGGAAGGACAGGAGGCCTTCTCTCCTGGGTTGGAAGAACTGCACTTCGTGGTGGACAGAGTCCTCGTAGTACGAGAGAGCGAGGAGGAGTCGCTACAAGGGTTGATGCTTCATCAAGTGGATCTTCTTCTTGGTCTTCTTCAAGTGGATGCAACCACGTAAGTGGATACAACCACGTTCTTACACCAGCAAAAAGTGCGATGTCCGATTCCGATGATATGCCCCTTACGCCCGCGACGGTGGAAGAGCGTCTTTTCCATCACTATTTGCAGCAGATGGATGAGGATGACGTCGAAAGGAGGTCCACCTCAGAGTCACGCACATCTTCGCGAAAGCGCAAACGCGATGCGAGAGAGTCCTCTACGTCCAACGACAATCATGTTGTAAAAATCCGCATTCCTGATGAGTTTCTCTGTGGCAAGCGTTGGAACGCACCAAAGAGCGAACACATTCTCTGCCTCTTTCCGGTGATTGATCCTGAGGGAATCGTATACACATTGAACTACGAACCGCCAAATGACTTGTTCAAATCGGCAAATGACTTGTGGCTGGACGCGGAAAATATCGCACCCAGTTTCGATGTGACAAGCAACAACAGCCGAGTGGTACAGCCGTACTTATGGCTTTGACAAACGCACATAGAGGCATTTTTCACGAAATCAGGTCAATGCTGCAAGTCAAAAAAGGTTTTTCTTCAGATGTGCATGATTCCCAGATCATTTCTACTCTTGGGATTATATGTCATCTATTTTTTTTTAATACATGTTTCAACTACCATCAATAACATACAATCTTAAAAAAATAAACTAGAACTAACCGAGTTACTGACATGCTTAAATTTCAGTTTTTCGAATAGAAAGTCTAATGTATGGAGTAGACAACGACCCACTGCGCTGGCGAAGGGATTTGATGAATGAAAATACTGCAGAAGCGCTAGAAGAGTACAAACACGAGTCGTCGGGGCGACTGATACGACATACAGTGCTCAAACAGTTCGTACATACCTGGCTAGAAGCAGTGCTGGGAGGAGTCGTTGGGGAGGAACTTTTGGCGAGCGCGCTGTGATTGTTACTTACCTAGTATTTCGGAGGACGTCAATATACTGCAATGAATGTTAACTTTAACTGGCACTCGCACAATAAAGAATCGACGAGTGCTATGTCCTACTCCTCGTGATACATTCCAACGACCAATGTCGTGCAATTGCATTAAAAAATTCTAATTCTATTTTTTTCCGTTCCCCAAAGAAAGATGGATTAGTGGAAGATTATGGGTCATTTTAGACCCTCAGTGTGGGAAGGTACTTGTAAAACGAGGTATTTGTTGATCACGCTTCTAAGCAAAACAATCTTCGAACACTAATTAATATTCAATCATGTACTTAGTTGAACTTTCCATCAGGACGTACCACGATCGCGTTGGTAGTCGAGAAGGACTATTTGACATGCACACATGACATGATGGTTGCAAAATCATTGCCTTCACCGTAGTACTCAAAGAAGTACTATGATATTACTATTCTATATGGGCAGAATAGAGACACCGATCAAGGGATAGGCATCATTTGCCAGAGAACGAAGATAGGCAAGATGACTTGGTAAGTACAATCAGAAACTGAAACGAGCGGAATGAGTGAAAGAACGAGAGAATGCGCACTTTACAACTACAACTCTCTATTCCTTTCGTGATGAGAGACGAGAGGCCAGAGTGGCTGGAACTTGGATTTTTGTTTCAATTGATTCCCCGAGACGAGGTAGCGAGAGAGACTACTACCAGAGCGATTTTATTGGAGAGACTACCCGAGAGAAAAAAATTCAAAAAACTGAATCCTTAGCCTTAGTTACCGGTAGCATCTTGAAAAAGAGCTTGCCCTAATTTTTGTTACCATTTTGCTGGAGCAAAGCACGACACGAACTACAGCCTAGGAATAGAATGAAGACCTGAGTACCGCCAATCATTTTCGACTACCTCAACATCCAATTCCATAATCAAAGGCATATATTTTACGACTACGGACAAAAGTCACACGTTTATTACATTTATTTTACGTCATAAATCACACGTTTGTGCCATGATCATCATCTTTACCTCCAAATAAACAATGCAGGTGTCAGTGATAATCACGTCATAAACTTGATCTATCATTATATGTACATGATTCTTTTTCTTGTCAAGTGATTTCAGTGATGTCATAGTACTTATGGATGCATACTCCACAACACACCATATTGTACTTTACTGAGTTCTTTGGATACAACATTATAATTCCCTTGAATATAATGATCATACATTCTTGTTGTCATCCGATCTACACCGCCCTGGTGCAGCTGCCAAGGGACAAGTTCAATGACGGAATTTGCATCTTCGATTAACGGACGCGATGACATCTTGGCCTCGAGAAGGAATTGGCCCTGGTGAATTGGAGTTGCAAAATGTCACCAGCTCTTCCAGGAAGAGCCCTTGTGGGTCCTTGACAAGAGTACTGTACAGGCTGCTTTTCAGGAAAAATAGTAATCAACATTGTAAAACAAGAACCAACATTTTTAAAAGTAGGACGATGCAAATAATTCTACATCAACAGCAACACAGCAGGACCACAATGCCGATGATCTGGTTCGTGTTTCTCAACATGATATGCAAGGTATTGCTCATCGGCATAACCGCGATTTCAACAACACCAGTACAAGCACAATCAGATAACGCAGTAGAATCTCTGCAAATTCACAAAGTCAATTTTCAAGACTTTGACCTAGATCCAGCGCAGGCGGGTGGCAATCTAACCTTCTCCGTGACGAGTTCTGCCGCGTCGTCCTTGGCCTTCACGAACCTCGCTTTCTATGTGTACTTGATAGATGCTTTGAGATCCGATGCTGGCGTGGAGACGTACCCAGCAAACAGCGGCGTCTCGGTTGCGGCAGCCGCAAGTTCTCACACCTTTTTCGCTGGGATGGTTGGTACTACAGGCGTTACAACCTTTGCAGGAGAAGGGTCGAGTTTTGATTTCTCGTTTCCGATGCTAGCCGGGGCAAATACGCTTTTTTCCGGGTCCGCAGATCCAGGTGGCGCAAATGCCGCTGCAGTTCCATCCCTTCCGGCGTTTTTTTCGACGTCGCCTCGCGAGCGTGGGGCAGTGGGCAATGCTCGTCGCACAGTCCGCATAGTAGGCGCTCATCAGTCAGGAGCTCAGGCGGTTTGTTCCGGTTCTTACCCGGCTGAAACGCGTGCTTCTCTTCTGGCAGGCAGTGAGCCTTCTACTGCGTCGCCGACAACCGCAGGAGCGGGTGATCTTGCTCCACAGATAGGTGGCTCAAGCAGTCGAGCAGATGCGAATCCAGGTTACGGAGGCACCGGCTTCGTCGAACTAGTACCTGGTGCTGGGGTGGCAAATAAAAATGTTCCCGCTGGGGGTGTCCGATTACGTTTTACGACACCTGTTGCGTGTGCTGGTGGTGCCTTTGTAGTGCGAATACGCTATGCGCTAGATGCGGCGAGCGGTCCTGGAGCGCTCGCGCTGGTGGCGGGAGTAGCAGTGAACCACGCTATCACGGGGTTAAAAGGCGAATATACAGCTAGCTCTTCAAGTGGTGGAGGCACAGCTTCTTCCAGCATGTCGTATTCAGGAATCCCGTTTCGCGCAACGTCGTCAACAGGTGTCTTTTCCGGTGCAGGAGCTAGCAGCACGGGCACGATCGTTTCTTGGGCCTACACCCCTGATGCGGTGATCCACGTGGAGGGTGGAGCAACTAATATTCTCGAACTTCTGTTCGCGTCTAGTGGGCAGGCATTGCCTTTCGCAGCCTTTTTCATAGACCAGATGGAAATCGAACCTGTGGTTTTGGCCCTTCGTCCTACGACAGGAGACATTCTCCTGTTGCATCCAAATACAGAACGGAATGTGCAGGACAATGCAATAATGCGAGGAAGCTTGCAAGCTTTAGTTTCCGGTGGCTCTTCCGATGCGACTCAGCGATGTCCGATCGGCTGGAGCTGCTCGGAAGCCACTGGGATGGCTTACCGAGTCTTCTTCGCAGCAAGCGACGGGACGTATACAGGTACGACAAACGACGACACGGCAAGACGAGGGCTCTTCTCACGGGATGAGGCAGCTGCGTTTTGTAGTCGTGTCTTGCCTGGGTCGTCCTTTCTCGCCACAGTAGATTCGCTGACCGATTTCAATTTCCTCCAGTCCTCGTCAGGCGTATTCAATGTCGCTGGAGGAGAGGCGCTTCCGACCAGTGACGTATGGCTCGGTTTGCAGTGGGATGGCACGAATGCGCAGTGGGTGTGGCGCGAGGATCCTTCTGGCAATTCGCTTGCCCTCACGAGCAAGTGGAAGGCAGGTGAACCCAATGAAGCAACCTACTGCGTCTCGCACTCCATTGACGGCAGTGGCTGGGCTGACCGACCGTGCGCAACAGCATTACCTGCTCTCTGTGGTGTTCGCTATTTGTCACAAGACATGCTCTCACTCGGCGGTGGCACCGCGGCTTCGGTTGCGGCGTCTAGTTCCTTTAGTTGGGTGAATTTGACGCAGTTCGGATCCGCGTTCCAGAGCAGCACGAACCGTAGCGCGACTGCGTCCAGGGCAACAGACGGCAACGCCCATAACGGGGATGACATAGACTTCCTCGTGCAGCAGTACTACCAGACGAACGGCGTGACCAACATCAGCGACGCAGACTACGCGAGTTTGAGCCTCACTGTGCTACAATCGTGCTCCGAAACAGAGACACAAACAGATCCAGTCTGGAAAGTTTCGCTTGCTATGCCTTTTAACGTCTCAAGCGTAAGGATAACGAATCGTAACGATTCGTCACGGAGTGACTTAAACGACTTTGAGCTCTATGTAGACGGTGTACAATGTGCGGGAACGGGCAGTGGCACTTACGATGCAGACGCGAGTTTGTCCTCCAGCGAAATATCAAGGACTTGCAACCTAGTAGGCACAGAGCTGAAGGTGCAAGTCACAGGAGCAGGAAAACGGATGTCCTTGTGCGAGGTATTAGGTTGAAAATGCGTATAATACACAAAATGTTCGGATTGCTGACATTCATGAGGTTGTCATTACGCGCTGTTCCTCCTGAGTAACGAGCAATCCAAATTTATACTACGACCACAACAACTCTTCTCACAGGTGGAAGTCTACGGTGCTCCTTTCGTGCTGCATCCATCGGAGTATGTGGCGAGTGACCAAGTGGTTTCTAGCGCTGTAGGCTTCGTGGATTACGATCCAGATGCAGCTACCATTGGTGGGCCGTTCAACCTCACTGCATCTGCAAGGACTTGTCCCCGCAATGAGACTGGAAATGTACATGTAATTTCCGGTGCTCTCGGAGCATCGCTCTGCTGCGACGCAACAATGGGATTGCTGTATTGTGACAAAGTGGAGGCAATCCCGAGTCAAGTGCAAAGTGCAACACAATACGGACTCTATGAAGTAAGCGGCGACTGTCTCGATATCAATGCCGGTTCCTACACCTGCACCACCAAGAACGCTATTCTGCAGGATTTAGCTCATGACACAGTGTTTGAAGGAACAAGCGGAGGTCCTTCTGGTGAGAATATAATCCCGTCGAATGTGCACAACTTTGCCACTTCGGATCAGAATTTTCTTGCCGTGTACGCAAAGTCGGATGCTGATCTAGCTGGAACAACATTAGGCCAGTTTGCCGAGACGCAAAAGCCGATTGGCTATGTCCGTGTACGAAACGAGGATAATGTGGTGCATAGTGCAACTTTTTCCGGTGATTACGATCCTGACGTAGGTCAAGTCGCAGGCAACTTCTCCTTCTCCGCACCTGGCCGTGCAGATGGCGTGCGTGTCGGATATTTCGTCTATCTAGTCGACGATAATCACGACACAGCTACATCTGGAAAAACTAGCTATGTCGTAGACGCGGACGTGGATTTCAAACTCACTGAGCAGTGGCCTGGCGTGTTTTTTGACACTAGTACGGGGCGTTACAAACAAGATTCTTCGAGTAGTGCGACCAATTTAGCAGCTGATGGTGGTAGTGCTGGAACGTCAAGTCTCATTTCGGGTGGAAGTGCGGCGGCTTATGCGGACGAGTATCCTCAAAATCTGACGGACGCAGCGGCTTACAGTAGTGCTACTAGCTTCTCTCGCAATCCTTGGTTTGTAGGCGCTTACTTCGCTGACGGATCGTCCTCTGGTGGTGCTGCTGATGTGAATATTTCTTTCTCCTTCAGGTTCAGTGACAACACTGCATTGCCTTCGACGACATTCGCGTCTAGTGCTGGTCGGGCGGCCCGCAAGCTTCGTGTCATCGCCGTCACCGACTATGCGAGGCAAGCTAGTTTAACAAGTAGTCCTGCTCTCGCGACTGTGGAAGACGCCTTCGTATCGCTCGCCGTGAATTTCACGGATTACGACGTAGACGCCGACGAAATCGCCGGTCCTCTTGGTCTCGCTGCTGCACCCGCTAGCTGCCCACGCTCAAGCTCGAACTTTGTCGGAGGAGTGTCAAATGTACCGAGGAACACTTCCGGAGGTGCTCCTTTGCAGAAGTGTTGTGGCGATGCAAGCAGTGGCCTAGGAGCTTGTGCGGCACGAGTGACGCCGGCTGAGTCGATGTTCCCTTCAGATGCTGAAGTGATGCACAGCCTCTACATTGTCTCCGAGGACTGCATTCGCGATTACGGAAACCCAAGTTACATATGCACGATCAAAATTCCTTTACTTGCCGCACAGGATATCGAGTTGCTAAGCGGCACAGACCGAGCCGCAGCGGCATCAATGGCTGGGATCGAAGCGAAAATGATCGAAATTGCAAAGAACACTGCGTTTCCAGCAGGCGAAGTTTATGTGGCAGCGTATTCGAGTGTATTCTCCGGAACTAGCGATCAGCCTTATGCAGAAACAGTCTATCCTTCAGGCTGGACCTCGTTGCTGAATTTCAACGGTGGAGCTTTTGATGTGGGAGCATTTGTGGACTTCGATGCTGATGTAGACCAAATAGGTGGGAATATCACTTTTTCAGCACTCTCGCACACTGACTCAGGGGCAGAAGTCGAATACCTGCTTTACCTGGTGGATGGCATCGCCGAGAATCAAGATTTGGACCAGTATCCTCGCTCTCTGACAGAAGTGACAGCTGCGAACGGCTACAACGGTAGTTTTGCTGCGCAAAACCCTTGGTATATTGGGAAAGCAACAGCCTCGGCAAATGCAGGAGGAAGCACTACAGCAGACTTGGTCAGTGCGGATGGGTGTGTTTTGAAAACAACCAGTTCCAGTGCAGGACAGGCGCATTCTAGTGCCACTGCAACATCGTCCGCTGGTAGTAGCAACACAGGAGCAATCGAAGCCAGTGCGCGCTGTCTCAATTCCCGTCTCGGAGACCCTAATACAAAACACGCAGTGACGAATTTCGTTTTCACGGTTCCGGATAACACGTTTGCAGGCAGCATCACCAAAAACGTGGACGCAGATTTGGCAGTCCTAGAGACTCTTCATCCTAGTTTAAACACCTCTGACGACAGCTACATCTCAATCCGGAATACAGGAGCTAGTGTGCGTTTTTTGCGCATTCTAGCATCTATCGGAACTGCGCCTGGTGGTGGTGGATCTAGTTTCGCTGGCGATACGCAGAAAAGTTCGGGCACATCAGCAGACTTCGTACCGATTGTGGATCGGTTTGCGTCGTTAGATCTGCACTTTTTGGACTTGGATCTGTTTTCGCAGTCTGTTGGAGGCTTCCTCGAGTGGAAGGAGTCAAGTGGGACGTGTCCGCGGAAGGACAACCAACTGCTGTTTCCGAGTATCAGTTCAGGCGCGTTGCCGAACGCGCCGAGCGGTGGGGCTGCGTACTTGGATGCAAGCGGGAACGCGATCGGCAATGGAATCAACACAAATCTGGCTGCCGGAACCGGGGTCAGCGCAGAAGGAAGCGCGCCGCTGGAAGTGTGCTGCGGAAGTGGCACGAGTGCTCCCACTTCTTTGTGCCGAAAGCATTCGAATTTGTTGAACGACACTGAGCCTTCTGGACTGACCACAGACCCAAAACAAGGGAATTACTACACCAGCGACTTCTACTATAAGATTTACAGTGTTAGCGAGGATTGTGTCTCGAATGGCTTTTATCCGCGTTCGTTGCAGTCGCAAAATGGTATATCTAAATTCGATTACTACGCCACTATGGCTGGCCGCCCTTTACAAGGCTACAGGCATACAAACACCGGAGCTGCCTTGCCTGGCACTTACTACTACAGTGCTGCCACGAATCTGTACACGTTTGGAGCAAAAGACGTATCTGCTGTTGGAGCAGTGAACGCAGCATATACCAAGGTGGATGTAAGTACCGGTGTAAGTGAAGGAGTGGCGGTGTTTGTAGACCGCACAAGTGGGGAATACAGTTTCGCTAGTGACCTTGGGAGTTTCGACATGAGTGGTTCTTCCAGTGTTTCAGGCTCAAAGCTGAACCCAGGCACAGTCTTTGTCCGTGCTTTCGCGGATGACAAATCCATCTCCAAAAATTCACTGCGTGCCACGTTAGCAGCGGGTAAGTACGGCCAAACAGCGGGTGTGAGGGTTTACTTGCAGTTCCCGTTATTCTATTCCCTAGGTACTGTATCTTTCACCTCGAGTCCTGGCGCAGGCCGCCAGGCCAGCGGCGCATCTGAACGCTACAAGCTGCAGAGAAATTGTCCGTGGCTAGCATCTGAGGGATGGACTCTTGATGCGAACATTGTGGGCCCATCCATTTCGCAGAACAATGGCACAATTATCAAAACTGGCGGCGCTGTCTTCACCAAGGTCTTTCCCGCGGATCAAACTATTCAGTTGAAAGCCTGCGCTTCTAGCACGAATGACCTTAGATCTCCGTATCTGATATTCGTGGAACCTTTGGATGTTGGAGAATATCGACAAGTTTTGGACGGCACCAGCGAGACGGACTACAACGCGGGTCTGTCAGCTTCGCAGCGGTTGGCGGCACCTGCTAGAACGGCCAATCCCAGCACCATGCATGGAAGCGAAGATTTCTATGCCCATTATCGCTCAGGCGGAACGGGCACGCATAACTTTGGACTCATCCAACCAAGCGCAAATGTGAGCAGCACCTTAACCCCAACAGGAGAAACGCGACTCGGCAGTGTCTATGACAGCGGCTCCAGCACCTACGTCGATGTCGGCGTCGCTTTACAGTTCGTAGAGCGGTCAGCTTACTTTATAGATGATGCTTCGGGCACTAGTGGAGCGAATGCAGCCACGAATGCACTCGTGTCGATCTCAGATGTGCAATATAGCTGTGGAACGAAGAACCACCTATCTGAACGCACTGGTCTTGACGGCCTTGTGCTGACAGACGATGCGTACTTTGTTCTCCCTATAAAAACAGAACTCAAGAGCTTTCTACAAGCGGAGGCGCAGACTCGGAAGACAAATTTGGCAGTGTATGCGTTTTCCAAACTAGGAAGTGCCACGTCCGTTACTTCTTCAGGATCAGGTTCATCAGAATCTGTCTACTCAGAAACGCAACTGCCCGTAGGTTTTATCAAACCGGGCGACGAGACAGGAGGAGTCGATACAACGCAGTCGCACTTCATGGACTACGATTTAGATCCGCTCGAAGTTGGTGGCAACATCTCCCTGACCATCACAAAAGCACCGAGTTTCTCAGTCACTTATGCTGTATTCTTGGCAGAATCGCAGGAAGCAGCGGCATTGAGCTCTATAGGGAATGCAAGTGGTGCAAATGCTTCGACAAGTGATGCTTCTGCTGGAATCAGCTATGTTGCAGAATTGACTCCCAACATCACAGAGTTGCAAAGACAAACTGAAGTTTGTACAACCAATTACACGAATGACACGAGCTTGAACAACGGAAGTGGCGGCCTCGTTCCGGTAACCACGTGTGCGCAGTCAGGTGCTAAGCGGCATTTAACGATCGGAGTCCCGAAGGACACTACCATCTTGACAGAAGGTAGCTACGATCCTGGGAGCAGGTTGCAGAATGCCAAAATCCGTGCACTTTTGAGCGGGCAAGCAAATTACACCGTGGCGGATTATCGCCCAGACTTGCCGCATTCAAGGAGAGCAACGTATTTGGAACAGCCTCAAGCCACTTCTACAGCTGCAGATAGTCAAGTTTTGCCAGCGGAGTTGGCGGCAGTTCTGGATCCAGCGTCTACGTTGAATACGCCTGCGAATGTGACTAGCGCAGCCACGGGGATCCCGAATGAAGAAACCGGTTCTCTCGTCTACAAAAAGTCGCATTTGATCAACAAGGTTGTGGGCATTGACATCCGCATTTCCGGTAGTGCCACGAAAGAGACCTACGACGCTAGCACCGCAGTGGGACAATACGACAGTGCCACGGGAGCTGCGAAGACCACAGACCCAGAGTACGTGACAAAAAACGCCCTAGACCTCCAATGGTTTTCGGGAGATCGCCAGACTTTTGCCTTTCATGACTTGGATTTGACGGCAAACGTGACCAACTTCGTAGATCTGGACATGGACAAACAACAAATTGGAGGCGTAGTTCAGTACTACGTGCAAGTAGGGAACGTAGAGGTACCCTCCAGTTCTACGGGTGTGGGGAATCGAACAGCCGCACTAACTAGTCTTCTCAACGAATACGAGACCAAAACACAGTACCCAGTGGTAGATCGCTTCAATTTTTACCTCGCAACGCTAGTGCCGGGAAGGGATGGAAACGCAACCTCAAACGCAACAAGTACTTCACCGTCAGCCTCAGCGTCAGCCTATCCAGATTGCTTCTACGACACGGGGACAATATGCGAACAAGCATACTCGAAAGAAAGCATCGTGTTGGGCGAAATGGGCTACACGGTGTCGCAGCCACAACATTGGGCTATTGACCAAATGCACGGGCCAGCTGGGATCGCTCGACCTATGGAGGCATTAGAGAAAACGTTTCTGTTCTCTGTGTATCCAACGACGACTCCTGCGTCAACCAGCTCTGCGACAACACTAGACGAGAGTCATCTGGGTTTCAAAGAAGAGTTGATATCAAGCAAAACTGTGGTGCCTGTGAACATGACCACAACTAGTGGTTCAACTTGGACTCCAGCTTCAATGACGGCACAGGAAAAAGCCGATTTCTATTCTGGTTTTGACAAAACGGCCTATCAGAAATTTGTGCGACAGTCATTTGAGAAAAACGTCCTGGATGGAGAAGCGAGTATTGCAGGATATGATGGAGACGCTTCATCGTCCAGGAAGACGATATATTCGCAATTTGTCCAGAAACACTTGATTCCTAAGAGCACACCAATTTCGTCAAAAAAAGACAACAAGGCAGCGCCGACTCATGTCTTGCTATTGGCGGAGAATGTTTTGGGCGAGCAAAATTTTCTTTACGCCATCGAGGTACGAAAATTCCACCGCTTGTTTTTCGACAATCACGCTGTCATTCGCGCAAAGTCATTTGAGGATCTCGATCTAGATCAGCGGGAAGTCGGCGGTCAACTACACTATGATGTGGAAGCTTTTTACCGCAATGTCAGCTCCTTAACCTTTGAACAGGGCATTGGCGGTGTAGACCAGCATCTGAAGAAAGTGAAGGTCGACATGAGTGTGTGGGCAACAAAAGCCGTGAACCATAAGGAGAGATACTTCTTGGAGAGTGATGCGCTAGTGGCGGCGTCTTCTGGTGGAGCCTCAACTACGAACTTATCCACCAATACCAGCAACATCACAGCTGCTGGCAATACTACCACCACAACGACAGCTCCACCGGTTCCAGTTGCTTTCGAGTTTCCCGCATTCGATCCGAAAGACGCAGGCTTATTGGGAAAGACAAAGGCGCTATTTGAGGTGCCGCTGACAAGGATCGATAACTACACAGCGTGGCTGGCGAATTCGGACAGCGCGTTTTTATCGACGTATACAAGCTTTTTAGAAGAACCCACATCTACTACAGGAACAGCGTCAAAAATCATGGGAGCAGCATCGGCAATCGATAGCTACAATACCAGTCTTCTAAGTACCAGTCACACGGAACAATTACGCGCACATAGGCCACATGAGCACAACTTAACACTGCCGTCTAATGTGGATATTTTTGCTGGTTCGGCAGGTGATGAATCTTCTAACGCCTATCTCTCAGCCATCACCCGCTCTCCTCTAGATCTGAACTATGGGTATTTCCAGTTTGGCGCTACGGTTTGTCTCGATGACAGTCTAGAAACTATATCAGGAGTGTCGAATAATCAGAACAGCACCGCCAATGCAGACTCACTTGCCTGTGAAGCCGAGTGGGATCAGGATGAGCCCTACTACATGTCGCTGTCGGACAGGGATGCAAGTCCGATCTCAGCTAGATTTGTCGATCACGACCTGGACAAGACGCAGATTGCCGGGTTTCTTACTTGGAACGTCAGTCTAGATGCGATTCGGTACACGCAGAAGTATGAAGTCTGGAGATACTATGACGAAGGAAATTTGGAGTTGGAGGAAAGCTCAACTACAAGTCCTTCATCTAGGGACTTGTTAGGTGTGGTTTACGTCAATTTGACTGACGTATGGAACCACGAGAGAGATGAAGTACGCGGAGAGGCGATCACCCAGCCACTGCAGAGTCTCCAATTGCTCCAGACAATGCCAGGATTGACTTACAAGCCAATTGCCGATGAGGAACTCGCAAATGCCTTTTATGGCACGTGGAACGGGATAGATTATCCCGGACCTTTTTTTCCGAATGTGAGTTGTTCAAACCTGGCAGGAGACGCATTGAAAGTGGACCTTTTCGGCCGACAACACCACTCCTACGCGAAATACGGACACAGTCAAGCTGATGCAGCAGCCGCACTGGATGCGAAGGTGTCGTTTCCGACGATCCAAGCCTTGCAAGGGAACTGCTCAGGCACTTACGCAGTCCTGGATCCAGGATTCGCGATTTACAACGCACCAGTGGGGACTCAAATTCTATCAGGTGGGAGTGAATCTGCTACTTCTTCCTCGAGCAGTGGTTCCTCTGCGTCCTCGAGCAGTGGTAGTTTCATTTCCAGCATAGTCAGGAACAGCGAGATCGCAGGCGGTCTGACTTCGTATAATCAGCACCTCTCAGTTGCTGCTGAGGGCGCGATTGTGAGAGCAAGTATCGCAAAAGAAAGTGCTTGGCTTGAATGGGAGATCACAGGCTGTGCCGCGACTGGAGGTTACAGTGTGCGCTTCCAGCACTACGTCGAATCTACAGCGCCTTTCAAAGCCCAGTTACTGGTAAATGGGTTTCTAGTAGATGATAATGTAGAATTTGCAGCTGGTGACTTGAACAACGGTGATTCTAAAGGCTCTTACACTTTCGCTGGCTCTTCCTTCATCACGATTCCAGAGAGTGCAATGAACTTGGACACAAATCGCATTCGGCTGCGCGCAAACCGCACAGATTTTGCGAGTAGCTCTTTGTTGGTATCTTCTCATGCATTGCACGTGACTGCGATGGAAGTGAAGTTTGGGGATGTAAGCACGGCCACAACTGCGTCAGGACAAGCATCTCCTTCAAGTGAAGATCCGTCCTTTTTCTTCCGCACCTATTGCCCTGCGGGCCAAGTAGCTTACCCAGTCGTCGCTCTGGCCTTGAAAATACCGGAGAACACCTATTTTAGTGGTAACGAACGCTGGGAAATATCAGCTGGCAACTGGTTCCAAGATCGGCAAACACGCAGTCCAGGACTGCTGCATTCGGCAGAACAGGTTCCATCTAGTGTGGTGAACGAAACCTTGTTTGATCTACAGGCGAAAACAGTCTATGAGGGAGATTTCGTCTCAGGGAAGCCAAAGCCGCAGCATCCGAGCTCGGCAAATCATGGAGGGACAGTGGAATCTTGGAATGCAGCTGTTACTTCATCGTCTACAAGTGGCCAAAATCACTTGTCGAGGTACTACCGAAAAACAACCGAGAGCACAGGCACGACGCAAGTAGAAAAGGGTAAAAATCTTGCAATAGCAGGTGGAATCGCCTCTGATTACGCTTCGTTAATTTCCGGTTCGAGCTTTGTTTATTCGCGTGGCACTGGGTCCAAACTAGACCCTACTGCAGGTGGAACGCTGTTGCGTGACAACTATGTCCGTTTTACCGACTTCTTTTTCGTAGACACCGATCCGGACTTCAACGAGGTTGGCGGTTTTCTCAATTGGGGTCGCGCAACCGACAGCTTCTCCGAGAGCTTAGTTTCAGAATTGCTCATCTACACGTCCAACAGTACCACTGGCCGCAACGTTCGAACAATTAGACAAGATTGGGTAGACAATGCAGGGAATCAACTCATCGCGCCAGTGAAACAAGCTCGAACCGAGGCTGCTGGGGAAGGATGGAATCGAGATCCTGGAAGCAGGAGTCCTTTGGAAAAAACGCATCCTCAAACTCTGTACTCCACAGTAGTGTTCGAGGACAAGCGGTTGCATGAGTTCGCTTTGATGTCGGGATCCGATAGCGGTGACAACACCTATTGGCCAAGAGACTCATTGGTGAATTCGCAACACGATGCGCACAACTACACTTTCTTCTACTCACCTCAGAGTTTGTCTCCGAACGCAAGGAAAGTGCTATTGACAGACTTGCAAGGACTACCTCCTCTGCTTCAAGCTCCGGGAAGCTTGCCGCCAGGCTTGTTTACAGTCCCAACAGACGACGAACGCTATATGCTAGAAGGGTATGCCGTGACAGTGCTTACGACCGTAGCAAATTCCACAACTCCTACTAGGAGTGCCGCAATCGATGCGCGGAGTCGTGCAACAGCGGTGGAAGTCTCCGGGAGCTTGCCAGGAGAAAAAATCTACCCACCGCCTCAAGGAAGCTGGCACGGCAGCGATGGAAGTTACCAAAATTTCATCACAGGGGTGGCGGCGTTGTACCCTAATTGGACAGCTAGTAATCCTTTAGGACAGGCATTTTACAGTTCTAGACCAGCAGCTGAAGATTTTGGCAACACTTTGTCCTCTAGTCCCATCAGCCAAGACTACCTCTACAATGCTTTACATGCTTACACAGCAGAAGAGCAGGCTTTCTCAGGCTTCAAGAGGTTATTTCGGTATGTAGATCCTGCGACGGGTGCAGAGGGAAATGGCACAGTGATTTCGTTGGATCGAACGGGCTATAGTGGTGGGCACGTCAATTTGTTGATGGCTGCGAGGCCTACCAACACAACAGCGGCCTCTGAGCAGTCTGCAACCCTTTCTCACGCCACACCGTTTCCCTCCTTTCCGGTGAAGTTATTCGTCCCTCAAGGGACCACTTTGGTCCGCGACCGTATCGACCGCAGTAATTTTCTGCAGCCAATGTCAAGTGTGTACGAGTATGAGGAACACGACTACAACAATCCCAGTCTTAAGGAATCTGGTACGGGTTCGACTGCCGCAAGTGGTGCGTATAACGTTGGTAGCGATCATCTAGCAGCCGAAGTAATTGACTCCACCATCAGGAAAGGCGCGCACATCCCATTGTCCTCGTTTCAATGTCCGAGTTTGGTCAATTTCTATGCTGGTCCCGGCAGTGTGTCGCGGAGAAACGAAAGGGTTAGCTACGGTGGAGCGAGTGTCGCGTATGAAAGTGGGGGAAAAAGGGAGAACGCAATTCCAACTGCCTTTACGCAGAACCATTTCAATTTCATGGACAGTCGAGCACGCAACTTCTACAACCCGTTTCTCTCACTGAAGAGCAACGAAGAGGACTTCCTTGCAAGAGACAAGTTTTTCCTGATCCATGCGAAATCGAAGTTTTTTCATCAAACACAACCGGCACAGTTTTTGGCTCTGTCAGAGGTATTGGCGCATTTTTCGGACAGCGACGTACGCACGAATCAAATTGGAGGCACACTTAGGCACTCGCAACCTGTGGTGACATATCAAAAGTTGATCGAAGATGAGTATCCACAGGCCGATTACACTATCGCCAATCCCTCAGTCCAGAGTCCACAGCGTGCATCCGGTGGTCCTCACTACAAAGTCAATCATGATGCGACCCAGTCAGAAACTACCCTCTTCACCTTCAACCGGGATGAGTGTGAGTCAACTGCCTTAACCAGACAGGATGTGAATTGCAGACTCCGCCAAGTTTTGAATGCTGAGTTGCAAAGACGAGAGGGCTTGACAAACCGTGCGAACCCATTGATTCAAGGCTACGTGGTATACTCTATGGCAGCCAGTAACTTCGCAAATGACCTCGGTGGCTGGATGGCTGGAGCGGGTGAGGGCTTCCAAAAACGCGCTTCCACCGTCTCTGAAGAACAAGCAGATCGCACTACTAGGTACGGCTCTGGCTTCGGCGACGTGCTCTTCCGACATGAGCACAGCTACGTGCCAGCACAGGGTGTCGGGAGTTATGCTGACTTGATGGGGAGCAGTAGTGAAGATCTGCAGACGCAAACGATAGCGGCAACGCGTCTCAAAGCTCAAAATTCAGGATTCGGAGGACCAAGTGGTGCGCAGTTGGTAGAGTCAACGTCTGCGGTAGACGCACAGGCCATTCTGCAGCCAGGCACTGCCGACTTGATCAATCGTACTGAGTTCATCAAAGCAGGGAAGCACGCTGTGTCGAGCAGCGTTGCGAGCTATAGCTACATCGTCAACACCTCTCTCCCCATGGATGTGTCGGAAAATGCGCCAGGGAAGTTCATAACCGCATATTTGTTGGAACCAGTAACGGCTGTGGGCGTGGCCTCTTCTAGCACCACTCCTGCCTCTGGAAATAATAGAAATAGTGCAGCATCTTCTTCAAGTACAACTAGTTCAAGCTCAACGAGGTCCTCAGATCAACATGGACCCAACGGCCTCCTTACCAACGACTATCTCTCGAGTGTACCCGATCCAACTAGTGGCGTAGAGGACCTGTTTTGGGAATCTGAGGCCTTACGTTTTACGACTGCAGTAGAGATAGAACCTGGAACTCCATTTGCAGGAAACGATACGCTTGTCGTGTTTCCGATTCGGGAGCGTTCTACTGAGGAAGTGGCGGAACTGCGGTTGTTGAACAAGGATTTGGATGCGCTTATTGTGCGGTATCAGAATATCTCGTCTACTTCGAGCAGTGGTACTACTAGTACTGGCGTGTCCCTTCCAACAGCTGCGTCATCCTGGCTCACCAACAACGATGGAACCCAAGCCTTCACGCGGCATGAAAAGCAGATGCTCATGGAAGCTTTCTATGCCAAGCAAATGGGTTTCGCTGTGAGGGTACCGGATTTTGATGGGGCTGTCGCCAGCGATTTAGAATTGAGTATGCATTTTGAAGACATGGATCTGGATCTAAGCGAAATAGCTGGTTTGGTGAAGGTTCCGAAGCCAACAGCGTCAGCCGGTGTGGGTCTATACCTCGCGCAAAAGTCTGACGGCGTTGCCAGCGATGCTAGTGCAGATTTGAAGCAGATCGCTGTGAATGCGGGCGCTACGAGTCAGGACTTGCAGTCCAGTTTGAACTTTGCGATTCCAGAAGACACGTCGATTTCACTGTCCGGGAATTTCTCTTTCCTAGTAACTTATGCCTTGAGCTCGCTCTCTGCTGCACCAAGCGGCACTCCTTGGCGCAGCATCTTCATCAACGATCGTCATGTCGCATTGGAGGACGTCAGTTTCGCTGATACAGACCTAAATCCCGGCTACATGGATGGCTTAGTGCAGTTTCGACTCTTGAAATCCAATATGACCGATTTCATAGAGGGTCTGACAAATACAGGTGGACAAGGCAGTGCATCTTCGTATAGAAAACCAGGAAGCACGGAGCAACCGGGCGTCTACTTCATCCAAAAAGCGGCAGGGAACAACGTACCAGGATTGTCCCCTACGTCGAGTCTAGCGTCTCCCTTCGCGGTAGAAGCAGTGCCATTCGCAAGTGAAGCCACGAGCAGGCAACCGGTGGAGTCACTCGCAGCCTACTTTCCTGGCCGTACATCCACGGCTGGCACGACCAGCGCTTTGGACCTAGCACAGCCAATCACGCGCTACTTCGCACCTGATGGCGAGATGCGTTCTTCTGCCAGCCTGCATAATCTAGACGGTTTGTTGTATACTAAGAACTATCTCCCGCGACACTCAGATGTTTTGTTCGTGGACAAGATACTGCTGCAAGGAGCGGCCGATTCTAGTGGTACCAGCACGCGCAACCTAGCAATGGTTGATTCTGGAAGGACGCAGTTGGACTTAGCGACTGTGAGGGATTTGCGAACAGGCTTGGATCAGACGGTCGAAGAATTGCCTGTTCTAGCCAGCTACAATCCATATGGGCACTCGTTGAATGGGATTTTGGATAGCAGTAAAGCAGTTTCTGGCAATAGCAACAATGCAGGTTCTGCCACCTCAGCAGCAGCCACGAACACACCCTTTCTCTCGAATCTGCTGATATCTGCCCTCACGGCGAAGCCAGGCGCCGACAACACCCAACAAGACCCGAGTAAGGATTTCTACCGTACTAAGGTGCGCATTTTGGAGATCAATGATGTGGATTACTCGATCCAAAACCTTCAATTTCTAGATGAGGACTATCAGACCGGATATATCAAGGGCAAGCTAACGTGGGATCTTCTACGACTCGGAGGAGCGTTCGAGGACTCACTATCTAGTTCGTCTTCTAGCTCTGACAGTACCCAAGAAGAAGAAGACTCACATCTCAGATACGACGTATTCTTGGGTGATTTCAATGCCAACAGCGTACAGCGGTACATTGGGTCAGCGTATAACGGGACAACGGAATTCGAGTTCGAGTACCATACGTATTTGACTGCGCCAAAAGCAACAGTGGTAACAGTGAAAATCGCCAGTAACACAATCAATGCAGCTAGAAAAACGTCTAAAACCTCAACAACAGCAGGAGTCTCAGCTTCTTCATCGCAGAGCAAGGTGTTTCGTGGTCGCGGTGCAAGTTCCTTCGCGAGTCAGCGTACACATGGTCTGTCGGTTTCAATCTTTGATGCTACAAGCTCTGTCACAAATCTAGTTTTCAACGATTTGAATCCAAACTACGGATACATCTCGGGTCTTCTCCAGTGGAGCAACCCTCTGTTGCGTGCAGACGCCATCCCCCATGTCAAAGTACAGATTTATCAAGCGGAGGACCCTTTTGGGGAAGTAAGATCCAATCTAGTCGCTGAGCTCGACTACACCAGCGCGGCTGAAGGAAGCTACTACGTCGGTTTGGACTCATTGAGTGTGCAACAAGTTCTGCGCAACGTCAGTACAGCGGATGCGGCATTGGCCGCAGGAGCTTCAACATCTGCTCAGTCAGTACAACCTGGGACATGCTCTACCTCCGCATGTATTAAGGAATTCTCACTATCTCAAGCTTCTTTTCAAGGGTACAACTTTTCTGCGAGCTATGATACACAAACAGGGACACGGCTGGCAGGACGGATTCCACGGTACTCGAATATAGCTTTGAACCCGGATGTTGCTTGGAGCAGACGACACGCTCTGCACAAGAGCACACACGCAATCGTAGAGGACATCGACTCCCAGGGCATGCTTGACACAGGCAGCAAGCGGGATGGGTTAGCACCTACACTCTTCGATCCAAGAGTTTCTTTATTGCATCAAAAGTACTTCTTAGTGAGGGTCAAGGATGGAAGAAACCCTCCTACAGGAACCGCAAGTAGTTCTTCCGCAACATACACAGTGACTCCGTTCCGAACTGATGGGTTCAGCAGTCTAGAGGTTGGTGATGTGGTGAAGAATTTGGTGCCCGATTTGGCTTTCGACGATTTCGATTTGCGCAAAGGGTGGATTGCAGGTGACGTTAGGTTTACTTTCCAGAGTCTTCATCCTGGGGCGTTTGACCCAGAGGACTTCCTGTATTTGCATTTGAGCGAGTCAGCGAGTCTCCACTATTTAGATCCATTATTGGAACCGGAACAGACTGCGGGGGGGTACTTAGGCAGCGACCAATTAGTGAATGAAGGCCTTTTGTCGACGTTTGGCGAGGAAGACGCACAGAGGGATCAGCATTACGCGATACCGAAGGACCGAGACGCAATAGAAAATTACGATCTTCTCACAGAACAAAGCGTGCACAACTACGAACTATTGACAAACACCAACGACGGAAAGGGACCTAGAATTAGTGCAACCAGCCAAAACACAGTGCTGAACACTGACGCTCTGCCAGCTGCGTTTGAAGGGCATCGTCATGGGTATAAAAAACCGAGACTGATGTCCCTCTCAGACCTCATTGGCGAAGTGCGTAAAGCTCCGGTTCAGATTTCCCCACTGAAAATACCATCCTGGGCTAAGTATCTCATTGTGTCGCACAATAGACAGCGACGCGCTTGGTCCGCGATCCCATTGATTGATGTGCATTTGGAACTAGACAGCGAGAAATTGAATACGGAATTGTGGGCATTGGCGTCTCACGAAGCGGCGACGGAGAAAAAATTAGCAGATCTAGAAAATGCTGGGTTGCCAGGGATCCGAGACGCTTATTTCCGACACGTGACGCAAAAGTCGATCCAGAGTCACGCTTTGGCGGGAAAGCTGTTTTTCCCTTCAAGTAGTTTTACAGAAGCAACGCGGGCACGAGTCACGGGTGCAGGTTCAGCAGATGTGCAGGCGAAATATCCAATGGTCGAGGGTGAACAAGGCAGTGGTGCTGCTCGTACAGCTGCAGGAGCTCCTCTAAGCTCTTCGCTAGCGCGGCCAACGGTGAAGCACGGAGACAAGTGGGGTATGAAGACTTCGACGGAGGCTCAAGCAGAACAGGAAAAAATTGGAGTTTATTCTTAAGGCATCGTCTATCACTCACAGGGATCGATCTAAGAACTCTTCCTTCCATTCACCTCCAATTTCAAATAACTTTATAACGTACTAGAATATAATGGTTCAATCGGTAAAGCTAAAGCTCCATTTCTAATGGACCCCGAATCTCCTCAGTTTCGATAGGGCGCGCGAGTTACGAGAACAGCATGCTTTCAGTTTCCTCTCCCTGAAGGACCGCGATTGCAACGCTGGCGCTTTGGATCTCGTAGTCACAATGCAAAACTTCGAATTTCTATCGGAAAAGCTTGAGAGATTATACTTTGTTGTGGAGGAGCCTGAAATTTCCCGACTAGAGAGGGATAAGATACTCTCAAGAACGAGGTCAAAAAGTACGACTTCAAGCGAGCAAAGTTCTAGCACTACAGGATCTACATCCAGTTCGTCTGAACAACAACACCAACAAGGATCAACAGAACTAGCACTCTCTTGTCGTGCTTCCAGCGCGCGGGCCTGTGGTGATGCAGTGCGTTCAAGGTATCAGGAAACGACAGATGCCCACGGAAAACGCGTGATTCGGTCCAATGGGATCCCGTTGCACCTCTATGGCCAGAACGCCAACGCGCACAACGCTATCTGTGAGCAACCCAGGGAATTCAAATTTCCGATGAAACCTGAGAGGTTCGCAGGCCGTTTTGAGAAAGCCTCTGGCGGTGCCATTGGCGTCTTGCGGACAGGAGCGTACCTGTACAATCCATTTGCTGACGAGAAAGCGAGCCGTGTAGCGCTTCATCCTACTAATGAGCTCTCTATGATGGATGGCTGTGCAGGGCACGCAGACGAGCACTGTGTGTATCATCATCACTACGTGTTTCCGACAAGCGTGAGGCGAGAATGTAGCTTTGATTGTGGGAAAACAGTTAGTACAGCGACCGCCAGTGCATCATCAGAAAGAAGAAAACTGACCACTGATTCTTCAGCCTCGTCAGGTGAGACTAAGAAAACAACTAAGAAAACCAGCTGTACCCAGGTGGGATGGATGCTCGATGGCTTTCCGTTGTACAGCGGGTGCGGTCAAGCCTTTAGATCGTGCTATTTCCTAAGGTCAGCGTTCAGTAATTTCGACTTCAATGCGCATGATAACATTCATGGCAATATGCGCGACACAATCCTGAACTCCGACTTGAGTGCAGGTGCTAAGCTCGACGCGAGTGGTCTTCACGCCTACGTGAACAATAGTAACCTGCTTTCCCCAGATGCTAGCATGACAAATGGCACAGGAGCGACAGGAGTAGACGAGGACTCTATAAGAGGAAACGCCGCTAGTGACTACGTTTATCGTGGACGTATCACGTTTCCTTATACGGGTGGACAAACGGCTGAAGCGGTTCTGATGCGGGCTCCGGACAACACTGTGTTGAGCTCCGACAACACTAAAATCAACGTTATGCCTTGTGAGCTGGATGAGGCCAATGGCTTTGATTTCACCAATCTGAACTACACCGACGCTAATGGCCGCGAAATAACAGGATACGGCTATTTACTGACGGAGGAGTATCCGTTTGTCCCTCCCTACTTCGCGGGAGAGCCTCAAACACAGTTTCTGGCGCATTTACCGCATTCACGATCGATTCCAGCGAATCTACCTCAGGGATGTCACAGCAACGCTGCGACGGCTAATCCATTCCGCGACACCGGCGGTTATCACGTTAGCGATTCGCAAATGACAGTGGAGACGGAAACAGTCACTGTCGAAAGGAGAAGCTACTCGGAGTCAGGAGTGGGTGGAGCAGGAAAGCCTGAAGATCGAGAGGGTACAGCAAAGTCGTCCCCCAATGCATTCGACGAGACCACACGAAAGCGTAAGCAAATCTTGGTAAAAAAACTGAAGCGGAGAGATTTGAAGGTCGTGGAGAAAAATTCACTTTTTTTCACAGCTGAAGTAGAACTTTCTTTGCCCAATTGGTCGCCAGAGTATGCAGATTTGGTATTGTACGCGACAAATCAGCGCATGTTAGCTGGTGGTGGGAAACTAGCTTTGTCGCGCAAGAGAATACGCGAGTGTGATGCGTCGTTTACTTTGCAGAAGCTAGATTTCGTGGACATGGATCCTGATCTCCATGAGGTGGGCGGAATGTTAAAGTTCCAGTATCCGGATCCCGACAGTGGAGCGCTGAAGGGATGGCTCAAGACCTATGCAGACTTACTTCGGGCTGAAGACGCAGCAAGAGATCGAGAAAACGGGCTAACGACGAATTCGAAAAAGACGAGTGCCTCGACACCATCGTCGCTTTCTTAAGACTGGAGTTCTAAATTTGATCCGTTTGTTCTAGTAAAATATTCCTAATTATGCATGTCTTTCTATTTGTCGACCAGAGAGTAAGCGTACGTAGGTGTCTTCTCGAGAGGGAGACTCATTGCCCAAACCGAAAAATGGATAGAGACAATGACAGCCTCCCTTCACCTTCTAATTTCCCTTACCTCTCTTCGCCGCACAGCAGAGCAGTAAGCCGATCACGAATCCACAGAGTTTCTTTGGGCCTGGGTCGCCACAGGCGGGTGAATACGAACTAGCACTAGGGGGTCGAGCTGGTCCCCATCAGCAGGATTTTCAGGACTACAGGAGTAGCGCGCAGACGGTAGGTCTGGACTCGCTGTTGCAGAGGACTACGGAGAGTGGGAATGTGGCAGTTAAGGCTGGCAGAAGTAAATGTTCAGTTTGAGCTCTGACTTTCAGGTAGATGTAGAATGGATGCTTTTTTCAGTCTTTAAAAAATTCGTCTTTAACTATTTCTTGACCATAATATGGTCGATCCAGCCACACGAAGAGGACCCCAAATCTAATCCCAACCGAACCGCGCGAACGTTGACGAAGCAGTATGAGGCAGAAGGCGCCACTTGGTCGTCTGTGGCCAAAGCATTGAAGATCCGAGTCCTGTTCAGTAAGGTAGAAAACGAAGAGCACGGCAGTAGAGAGCACTTGTTGAAGATTCAGGTACAGCGTACACGTCCTACGCGAACACAAAACGCGGGTTACAAGGTTGAAACAAGTCAGGAATTGGAACCCATTCCTAGATTTAACACTAGTGACGAAAATGAATTCCTAACCTCTGCGGAACAACAGACAGCACTTGGAACACTGATAAAACCGATCGCACATGACGAGAGTGTTTTCGACACACAGGAGTATCCTATGGTTGAAAAACTGAAGATAGAGAGGACGACGATAGAGCCAGGAACTACATCTTCAACTTCTGACAACGAGAACGATGGTGCTCAGAATGCCTTAGACGCCCACGGCCAGCTCGTCGCAGCCAGTGTGACGCAGAACAACGTGGTAAACTCTTTCGCTGACGCTGTGGTTCTCGAATACCCGTTTGAAGGACTTCCTGTTGACACTGGCGCTTTTGTGAGCATCAATATCCCACCCAATACCCCTGTGGTCTATGGTGGGCGATCATTGTTAGTCCAAGTAGTTCATGCCCCACGGAATCTGTTACTCTCGGAGCAAATGGTTCCCGTTCGCGACTACTACGACAAAGCAAGGAACATCAAACTGAATGTGCACACTGCAACGCTCACGTGGTCACCTAGTAGGGAAGAAGTTGTGTCATCCTCTACTTCGAAGTGGAACGTGTACTACACGAATTGTCTATTTCAGAGACCATTCGTGCAATTCGCTAGGGGCTTAACAACGACTTCCGTCTCTCTCCGAAAGTTGCCACCAGAAGCGACCCGGTTGCTCGTTTTAGCAGAATCAGATCCAGGTAGCAGCAATAGTCCTCGATCGAAAGCTGTAGAGCAGTCACGGTATGGCATGGCGGATTTTGTGGACCTATTGGATCCATCGCGAGTGAGCTTCGTGACTCCGGAATTTCTCATAGAACCCTCAGGGAATGCATCCAATTTTCTGCGCGAGGAGGTGGTGTCTTCAAGTGAGACTGCACAGATTGCAGGTACTTGCTGTTACTTGCTCAACAGTTACTTATGATGGTCCTAGCAATGCAAACGGAAACGATTCCATGCTAGTACAAGAACTAGCCACATTGTATAAGAATACTTTGAGGAGATAGTCAGTACTAGTGAAGGATATATTTAATTTTCCAACATCCCCACCCATTCTAGCATCCTGTCGAGCGCCTGACGTGAGCAACGTGATTCCGCATGTGGTTGTAGATACATTTGAGAGTGGGACGTTTCGAGTGCAGTGGCCACGAGCGATTCAAAGCGGAAATTGTGGTGGTCCGAGTGGTTTTCGACTCTACTTGGCAAAGACTGTCGGCGCCTCTGGGGCTGACTTCGAAGAGGTCTGGCCTTCGTCGCAGCACAGTGACATCCATGCAGGGAGTTTGCAAAAGTTAAGGCAGATGTAGAAACATAACTGTGACTCGGTCATTACAATATAAAATCGAAGCCTGTCTTTGTACGGTTCCTTTGTAGTGATTTTGCTCATGCATGCTCATTCTAAGTATTCCCAGTTTGTTGGCCGCACTAGTTGTACCAACAGCAAACGTAAGATAGCTCTAGTACCTCTAATCTCCACAAGTAGCAAGACCAGCATCGTCCCAGACTGCGCTTTGCGAGGACCTGCATCAAGAAGTGTTGAGTTCAAGGCGTCGTCCGGGGCAAACACGAATATGTTTACCCATCTACTTGGAAAAACGTTCAACGCCAAGATTCGAAGCTATAGTTTTAAAGCGGCCTTTGATGGGCAGTCAGCGTTTACCCGTGACTCGGAAACCCGTGCCTTGCGCTTTGCGACGCTGCCAGCGAGAATAGAATTATGACAAATGTGTACGTGATTGGAAACCGCAAACCATGGTTTGTATTTTTTAAAGAAGTAGGTACAGCGCCTTCTACATTTTCGTAGACTATCGTAGCGCCTTCTAGATTACCCATTTCAAAATCGGAATTTTTGTTCTAATCTTTGGCGTGACTGTCGAAGGACAAACAGTTTCGTGGATGTCGCTGGCGAGCTGGGGTGGCGGGTCACCAGGTGGATTCCGCCTTTTTCGCGATGATGGTCGAAACTCAACGAGTGCATTGACGGTACTAGTTGCATTCATGATTGGTTACTAAATGTAGATATTAATTAGCGAGTATCAAGATGATGATGATGATGATGATGATTTCGACTGACATCATGATCTGGAACGGATTCTACATTTAGTCCATCCTCTTTCTTACCATCTTCAGAGGACAGAAGTTATGATTATAAATTTTCATTTGCTCCTCTGAAAACCTACTACTTGTTGTTCTTCAGCAGGTAAGCAGTATATCCGCGTCTGCTGCGAGTGATTGTGGATCTACGGCGGTCAATTGCACTCTCACGTCTTTGACGTCGGGGCTCGTGTACAGAGTGCGTGTAGCGGCTTATTCCGACGTCGGACAAGGACCCTACAGTGGCATTTTTGATGTGAGCGGAGATTCGTAGGAGGTTATATCGTGATAGATGAAAATAGAAATACGTAATGACCCTGAAAAAATTGCCCCTAAAAGGTGTCTTTCATGCTGCACCCCAGCCGCTTCGCAGATTCTGATAATCTTGTTAACTCTGATATGATATTGTTAACTCTTCATGTAGTTATAAATTCTTTCCGTATAGTAATTATCTTCAGTCAGGTTTTTTTACCAAATTTTCTGATGAGTCCTTCATCTGTAATGTCAATGTATAGTCACTGATATAGAAACGTGTACTTTTAGTCTTGGTCCAGAACAAACTGAAGTATGATGCCAGTATAACTAGTCTTAGGCAAGCTGAATTGTGTGACTCGCTCGAGCGACGTTCCTTATCTATTCGGAATCAGAATTGAAATTAAAAATTATTGTGATATGGTAGACTTACCTCACGCTTTACACGTTAGTTTTTTGTGATGTGGTGCGTGTGGGGGAGTTATCTACGCATGACCATGACTTCGTGATGATATTTAGTTTGATGCAGCGTGGCCAAGAGTGGTAGTTGTGCCATTAATTGGAATTATTTTGTGATAGACTTGGATTTCAAGAACTAGAATATTCTAGCCTTTCTTCCACAAGCATGAACAGCGTCAGTATTTAGCAAAGCGTAAGATTGATCAACATCAGATTGAAGATGAAGAGAGAAGATGTACGGCCAGAAAAGAGCAGCCAACACCAAGTACTTCCTCATCTCAGATAATCTGTAATATTACAACTTGTTGCACAAGATATTACTCGTTGGAATATGCAAGACAAGGCGTGTAGTGGCACAGCACTTAGTGCAACTATGCAGTGCGCAAGAGCAGTAGCAAGAGGCGTCTGTGAATCGGTTCCGTGCGTGCCATTTTTAAGCGCGTGTGTTAAGAGTCACTGGAGGTACTTATTACAAAGGAGTGAGAGAAGGCAAGTGTAGGCATGGATCAGCCACACATTGTCAAGAGATCACGACAGTCACTTGTAGGATCCACAGACGCTCCGTAGCCAAAGAACATCAGAAGCATTTTCAGCATGGAGGTACATGCAAACTAATTACATCGAATGATCTTGGACGGCGCGAGGTGCACGAACGTCGACAACGATGAACAAGGTCGTAGCTCTGTGGACTGTAGGCCGTAGCCCAGACGAGACAAGAGCGAAGGCCAAGGATCTAAGTAGAGCGTTTTCCCTTATTGCTCTCTAAGGCATTGGCAAAACTTCCAAAGAATTAGCCCACTCGTTGGAGCCGACGCAGATCTTGTGCGAGTAATGAATGAGTGAATGAATGAATGAATGAATGAATGGAATGATAATCGAATATAATGCCGAATGAAAACATACATGAAGGATCGGAATCTATACGTCGAATGACTGCCGTTCCAGAAGTTCTAGCTGACGATAGTTACTGTCAGTCTGGTAGTCCCTCTGCGGCTACGCAAGTCCGCTCGAGTATGCAGATAAAACTGTGAAAGGTGGATCAATTCCTATCCTATGATCCTAATTACATAAAAGTTAAGTACTACTCGCAGTCACTTAGATGAAAAACTCTTTCGATCTAAGGAGAGATGTTTAAAAAGACGAAAAGATTTCCTGTCTCCTCTCGCGTTCTTTACGAGCCCATAGCAGATACCCACAACAACAATACAAACGAAACAGAAACAGGCCTTTTTTACGCGATGTTGGTTTTGAGTTGTTTACAAATGGTGTAAGCTACTTAAACACGATATCAGACTGAATAATGGAACTAAAGCACTAGCAATCCAAACACGATATCAGAATCAGACTGAATAAAGGAACTAAAGCACTAGCAATCCGAACACTAGGCGTCCGCATAATTTTCAAATGGTGTAAGCTACTTAAACACGATATCAGACTGAATAATGGAACTAAAGCACTAGCAATCCAAACACGATATCAGAATCAGACTGAATAAAGGAACTAAAGCACTAGCAATCCGAACACTAGGCGTCCGCATAATTTTCAAATGGTGTAAGCTACTTAAACACGATATCAGACTGAATAATGGAACTAAAGCACTAGCAATCCAAACACGATATCAGAATCAGACGGAATAAAGGAACTAACGCACTAGCAATCCGAACACTAGGCGTCCGCATAATTTTTAAATGTGTTAAGAGATAATTGGAATCGATCCAGCACATAATTTTTCGCCTTCACAAGCAGCTGAAATCTCTTAAAGAAAATGAAGGCTGTGTCCCTCTTTTTTCCCTTGACAGTGGCTACACTGTCAAGCGATCTGCAAATGGCTATGGGCGCTACTCCTGGAGGCCGTCACATTCGTGGAAGTGGCAATCCTCGAGGTAGCCTCGAACAGCCCGGGGAGACCGCAACTAGAGCACCACGACCCCCGAAACAAGTTGTTACAAGGAAGAAACCAAGGCTTCTTGAGGCACTGCCTCTACGAGTGGGCGAGCAACCTTCTGAACCTCAAGCAAGCAGCTCTAAAGCAGCACCTAAAGCTAAAGCTACTTCACTGGGCGCTGCTTCTCCAACTGTTGGACCAGGTGGTGTCCAGGATGATCCTTCGAGAGCGCAAGCACCTCCAGAGCAGAGGAGTCCACAACATCAATCTTCTGGCAAGGCAAATCTGCTACGTGGTTCTACTCGAGAAACTGGACTAGCAGAACAAAATGGCCGCTCCTCTCCCGTTCTTGAGGAGGCGTTTTCTCAACACGATGAAGTGCCTGCAAAACAAGAATCTGCTACAACAAGTACAACAACCGCCACTTCCTCTTCCGAAGCTTCCAAAGCGTTCGCTGATGCTACGGCCGCATACGTTACCAAAGATCTCTCCAACTTCGCTGCAGACCCTGACACAGCAGCAACGGTGCAGCAGGTTCTGAGGGATCTGTCCAAGTGGCAGAAGTTGGCGTCTGAAACCATGTGCGGGACACCAGACCAACTCCGATTGCTGCTAAAAGTTAATACGCGTCTCACTTCTCTTCAAGCGGAGGAAAGACAAGTAAATGCTCTCTGGGATCCTGTACTATTTGAAGCGTGGAATACGGAATCGGGACAGCTCTTCATTCAAAAGTGGGCACATTACCATACAAGGGAAAAACTACATGCAAGGGAGCTGCCAAATGCTAAGATTCTCGAAGACATCAAGTTTTTCTTCAATGAGCTTAAAGGCGTGCCAACGTATGAAGATGCTCCCTGGGCAAAGTGGATCCTTCCCCTCCTAGTGGCAATATCTTCTCGAAGAAGTGGGAGTGGCGCACCACGAGGAGTTCGATATACTGAGCTCAAATCTACGAGCGAGTGGGGGGAATTCCAAAAAATTTGGCCCAGATGGAGCTTCGGACATGCAGCAGATGCAACCCTGGATCTGTGGTGGGCCTCGAAAAAAGCACCCCACCTGTCCGAAGATGTTGACTTCTTCAACAACACAGCAGGCCAAAGCCCAACTATTGTTCAGCAGCTCGTTGCCCTTGACCAGTTGCAACACGAGCAATTGTCGAAGAAAGACATTCAGGAGTTTCTCAATCACGTGAATCGCACGGCGTTCGTATCAAAGTGGAGAGACCCCCAAGTCTTCAAAAAGCACACTAAGCATCGGCTTCCAGCCTGGAAAAATGCTATCACAAGTCGCCTCTGCGGGAGCTACATCGTCCTGAAAGAAGAGGTTCAGAGACACCTGGAAAGGAGCACATCAGCCACAGGACAAGAACTACAGCAACAGCATGTTGCCGGTGAAACTGAAGAAACAGGCTCCACGGAGGTCACGGTGCCGCCAGGAGCTCCGCCAGCTACCTGGTTTCAGCGGAATAATGTGGACGAGAATGTTGTCCGCCATCTAGGTCAGCTTCTCGTACAATATGAACAGACCGCGTCGGACGGCGTACACTTGTTTGGTGGTGACGGTCACTTTTTATCTGCTGGTGGAGCTGCACAACAAGAGGCGTCTGCAGCACCACCGGACGTTGTGTCCCTGTTCTCTGGTTCCGATCATATGACCGCTGGCACAGCACCGCAAACGGGATCATACGACTCGCCACGTGCAAATAGTGGTGGCAATGGTCCTTGGCTCCAAAGTGTAAGCGGGCCACCATCTCCACTTCCCAGGATGGTTACTTCTGTGCCTGTGTCCGCCTCTACCACGGATATGTATGCTGCTGCGCCTCATGATAGTACGGGAGCACCACATCAACCAGAACAAGTAGAACAAGCTGATAAGGAGCGACACGGCGCAAGAGCAGCAGCTCCGGTCGTGATCGTCGAAGAAGGCTCCGACGACAGCACATCAGCTGGTGGTCTTGGTGACCACAACGTGGAAGAAGATCAAAACTACAGGATCACGCCTATGATGAATATGTCAGAAGCGGCCGATCTTAGGGAAGAACAAATCCAAGGACGATCATGGACGAGATGGGTCCTGTACTATCTTATGGCAAAATGGCAAGGCCTCATGATAGAAGGAATCGCTCAGGCTGAGACTCGTCGGACGATGGAGAGCAACACGCTCAAGCAGGAGTACGAGGAGTTAACTAGAAACGTCGCAAGTGGATGGATCATTTCCGCGGACCGAGTTCGCAGATATGAACTGGGTATGGAGTTGTGGCCGAAAATTTTCGAGCAGGAAGATGAGGCCTGGGTGAACGTCAGACTGTACCTATTAAACAATTACGCCAAGCTGCAGGAAAAATGGGAACAATCCACTATGGAGGTTGCTGTCTCGTCGGGTGGAGCAGGAGAACAGCCTCCAGCTTCATCTCGGGATGTTGGAGATGAGAGGACAGCATCCTCTACTCGTCCTGTGCCAGTAGTATCACGGTCCTCAGTGTCCTCTGCTGAGCAGATAATACTGTCTGAAGAAGAAGAGAAGATGCAGCAAAGGGATGCCCTACTAAGTGCAACTACTACGCTGAGGTCAGACTTGGATCAGCTTTGGCGAGCTATGCAGGAGGAAGCGGAGAGCAATTTCAAAAAAATGACTGAAGGCGAAAGAATGGGTCACGGCTATGGGTATCAGCCAGGCAGTGGCGTCTACACCTGGTGGAAGATGGTGTGTGACGACCTTCGTGAGGGTGTGGTAAGAGTGCCTCAATTACCTGGAGAACTACCTCTCACTCAATTATCTGGAGAAGACCCGGAGCAGCCCGGTCATATGGGGCCTTCCTCTTCGGGTTCAGGTGTTGCGATTCTGGGGTCTTCGGGTACAGGAAGCGCGGACGCGGGCGAGACCGTTTCAGGTTCACGAATCGAAGTTCTGTTCGTCCGGTACACAGATCGCGGAACAATACTTTCTTTTTGATGAGTTACTTTCGCATTTATCTATTTGAATCATCATCATCATGGAACGACCGCCCCGCCCCGGCTGAAAAATCTTCATTACAAAATCATAACAGGCATAGGAGAATATCACTTCGATACATTTTCAAGGCGTTCAATCCACAAAGCAACAGCATGATCAGGACGAATTGTATCCTTAATATTTACTACAGTAACATCATCTATATACAGATTATATCTTATCGGATGAGCATTTTTTTAGCGCATCAACGTACTTCATATATGATTATCATCATGGGGATGAAATTTTAAGTCTTCAGTTGCCGAAAGGAGCTGGCTCATGATTAGATTTTCCTACACCAGAACGACCCTTATGGTTTAGAGCGGACACTAAAACCTAGACCAAGTCCAAATGGAATCACGACTATTTTTCTAGAGTGACTCGCCCTAAGACAACCAATTGTAACTGTAAAATTCCAATTTTCATCTGAATAATTCTGAGTCTGATATTGAGACTTTTCGAACAAAACACGGTGAAAAATGACATGAAATGATGACGCGGTGGAAGATTTTCATCGTTTTGAAAATCATGAGACTGAGAACCGTTATTGGTAGTTAGACTTACGAGCTTATCGAATACGAATTCGGGGCTCTGAACAAACATGAACATCATCATAGTAACTATGGTACCCTTCCTCATCGTCCAGGTAGAGTTTTCTTACTAGGGTAGCGTTACGAAAGCCCTCACAATGAAGGATATGGTCGCACAAGAAGAGCGTCGACCAGGGCCAAACTGCTTAAGACTGTACTTTCGATTTGTTCAAAAGTCATCAACGGGATTTCAGATCCGGGCGCTCCGGACTGGCGTATTGGCATTACCCTTGAAAAAGTGTTCATTACTCGTGGACAGCATTATCCACTCCGCATAAGTGATAAGAGGTCAAACGCACTCCGCTGTAAAGTACAGCCTGTAATGTAACAGAAAAAGGGCGTAACAGAAAAACTTGCACGAACTTCAACTTCTTCTACATTTGTATTTTCTGCATTGTTTGCCCCTCACGTGCGCCGTCACTGCTTTGAATGCACGTCCGTGCTTTCATAAACTCGCCTAACACAAGGAAGAGAAGAGCTGAAACTCTGCCCTGCGACCCTTGAAACACTGCTCGGTCAGTTGAGCGACATGGTCAGCGTTCTACAGCTGACCACCCACCTTCTACACCTCACAAATTACGAATTCGGTTCTCGTTTTCCGTGGAATGATTGTACTACTTCGTGCTATGGACTGTGTCCGACATGTATTGCGTTTTCACCACGGAGGGACCAAATCACGAGCCTCGTGCCTGAGGTTGCTTTCCTCATGTTCTTCTCCAGAACCTCAGAGTATAGCTTTTGAAGTCGTACATCTTACACTGGAACTAGATCCAAGAAGTAGACATCATCATATTCGAGCTCGAATCCATTTCCGTCTACTTCAAACATATTGATGTACTTCTATTAGTCCTGATACATGACATATAATTGTGGTGGAGCCGACCTAACTAGAAAAAAGACAGACCCGAGGAAGATATATAAGAGAAAAGGGCACATGGCCTATAATTATATTAGTCCTGATGTTACGCATGAAGATCAAGGCCCAACCAACTCGCTCGGTGTTCCGCATTCCCTGAGCTGAATCGTTTGGCTCTTCTCTCTTGGTCTGTTGGTTCTCCGCTTGCGTTCGTCTTTCTCCTTCTGAGTGTTCTCGTTGAGTGATATGATTGCAACAGGCTCAAGGCTATGAGTCTAATCGTGTGAAGATCATAGCGACCGGGATCCTTATGCACTGAAACCCCTCAGGATGATGATGATGGATGGCCTTTGATTAACGTACCACCATCAGCATACGAACAGCATGAAAATGCATGCTATTTAGGTTGTGGATGTTACTCGGTAACGCCACCACCACAACAACAGGGACAAGCCTGCCAGGGGCGTAATATCTGGAAGGCTGTAGGCCCTTACATTCATCCACAGCCTTAAAAATTTCCAAAATGGCCAACCCCGAACCTGATGCCTGAGATATAATTAGATGACATCCAAACTATCACCGAAGTCCCATCGTCTTCCCCGTGATCCTGCGTAGAACAACCAGCTATCATGTGTAAGTATCCCTATGCATCCCCTAACCCTCATAGAAGCGCTCTCGCTTCTTCACCAGTCTGCTTTCTGCTTCCTCGTGCTGGATCAGTTCGCCGAAAATCGAGGACCGCTTGCTCTCATATTCGAAGATCGTGGGCGTCAACTCCAGCTGCCTTTGAGATCCCTTTCTGATTAGAGAACATCAACACTATACTGCTACTTAGGTTGTTCTGAGATGATAGATACTCCTCACCAGGTCGATCGTTTGAATGATGGCTGAATGGCCGAGTCGGCTCGTTGGCTGTAGCAAAATGAAGATACTATCGCGTCATTTCTTTGTCTCTCGCACACTTTGCCATAACCTGATCAGGCTGAGTGGGTAGGTCAACCAACGCCAAGGTGAACCCCAGCCGTAGAAATCCGGATGAGCCGCGAAAGTAATTTTCAAGGACCTTGTCGCAGTCGCACTTTCTTCAGTTTTCTCATCTTCTTCTTTGGAACTACCACCCAAAACGCGTTCATCTTCATCCTTCCGCGGCAGAAGCTCTTCTCGTTGCGCTTCTTCTGTCGCTCCCGCCTGTGCGTCTCCTCCTGCGCTTTGCCCCGTAAAAGTGAGTGTAATCTTGACCAAATCTTTGGTTTTCTGGGTTAACGGAGACGGCTCTGCCATTAGCTTTGCGGCCAGATAGTGGAGACGAAGAGTACAGCGGCTCCATGGAGATTAGAGGCTAGAGGATATAAGATGTAGATTTTTCATCCTGACCAAGAATACGTCAGGTACAACTTGATGGTTGCCCGTTGACTGTAATCTGATTTGTGGTACGCCTGACTGAGTTGTAGACAGAAACTAGCTCTGTGAAGAATTAGAACGACGGTTACTATGCTTTTGTTATTGATAGGTGCAGTTACATACAACATGTAGTACTTCGGTGTGCCATGTCTTAAACAACCGGATCTTTGTATAACTCGCCCTCCAGCCGCTTTACCTCCCTTTCAGTCTCCTCCGACTCGTCAGCCTGCAACACCATATCTCTCAGCTCCTCCAAGTCCACTTGCAACAAAGGCAAGAAGTTGTTTAACAACTGAGAGGATGTCAGAGGTTGTTTGTTTCCTCCACTACCAATAGCAGAAACCTTGACCTTGCTTCGACTGTTCCCTTCTAGTCCTGCCGGTTCTACTTGGGATGAGATCCTATCTAGATCCTCCTCGTCCTCGTTTTGCACCTCGTCCTCACCGTCTCCATGTCGGACCAAGGCTTGCGCCGCACGTAAAAGCCCAACCAAGTCGTCGTCGGAAATTTGCTGTTTTTGGTTTGATTTCAACCGAGCTTTGCGCAAATCCTCGAGACGCGTGAGGCTGCGGTCCGCGAGGTTCACTAGCTCATCGAACGCTTCTAGATCTAGCAAGGTTAAGTCTCGAGTTAGAGAGGGCTTGTTACGAGTAGAGGTCTGGAGTTAGAGAAGGCTTGTTAGGAGTAGAGGTTCATGCTGGATTCATCTGAAAACAAAGCAGTTGTGGAAGTAAAAGATCTTCACTGCGTGCTAGGCACTTATACTTAAACTATCAAGCCAGTCACTATCTACACTCACTTTATCCGTCCGTACTAGTCGAAATCAAGTCAGTCGCGCGCTCTACTACACTCATTTCATCATAGGTAGTCAACGTCAAGTTACTTCTCCCTTAGGTTATATTCCTCCACGAAGAGTAGGTCTTGCGCACTCTCCCCTGGCGCCGGGAGCCATAGCGTACTTTCGATGAAAGGCTGCTCCGTCTGCCTTGGAAACTCGTATCTCTTGGGCAGAGGCGTGTCGCCAAACGCCTTTTGGTAGAAGTAGGTGGAGAACCCTAAGATTAGAGACCTAGTACCCAGCTTAGGCTTATCCATCGGTGTACTATATTATGACAATATGGTGCGCGTAAATGATACCCCTTTTTACGCTTATCCATCGCCGCTGTATAAATATGACAATATGCGCGTGGTTTTCCCCGTATAGCTTAGGCTTATCCATCGCCGCTGTATAATAATATGACCACAAAAAAAACGCGCGTGGTTTTCCCCCCTGTATACATGTGCCTGAGGAACTCAGAGTCACGTAGAAATGATCATGATGGATTAGCGGAAGCCCTAATAAGAAGTTGGTCGAGAAGGATTCGAGCTTGCCAACTGAAGTGTGGACACTGGTTTTCGCGTGTAAGGTGCTCAGGGTGCGAGACGGCAAGAGGGACAAGGAATAGAGAAGGGCATCTTCCTGAGTTCTCTCTTCCTTCACAGACCTTCTTGCAGCTTTCTCTGCAGCGACAACGGCCTCATCATCTCCACTATCCGGTAAGTATTCGCGGATAAAAACTGCCTTGATTTTGGGCATGTTGAAGTTTTTCAGCTTTTTTGGAGGTGTTTGTTCCACGTCTTGTTCTGGGTCCTCTACCTTGTCTTCTGCCACCAATCCCGCTCCTTTGTCATTAGCGCTTCTGCTCCCGTCGCCAGCACACGCGCCATACTTTTTCTTGTCTCCATTATCCGAAGATGCGACAAAATCAGCAATTTTCCCCGAATCTGGTCCGAGGATAGTAGGAATTCTGGAAAACATGGATTCAAAAGTAATCTCGCTATCCTCGTCTTCTTCACGATCAGGTAGCAGAAGAACAGAAAGCTGCGTTATTTTGCGTGGTTGTCCTTCACGTTCAGGCGTCTTTGCGTCAGAGGATGAAAGTTGAAAAGTGATTGTTGATACAGCAGGTACAAATAGCAGAATCATTCGAGGGTGTCGTTGAGTAATGATCCGTCCTAGAACGCCTTCTACTTGAACTCTACTGCATGTCTTATAAAATATAACAAACGTCACAACTTCTAAGTCTACTTAAGTACATAGGTCACGACACCCTCCAGCTCCACCAGCTATAATGAAAGATTCCTAACGATGTAGAATAAAGCGCTTCCCCCGCAGAGACGCTCGCTAAGACCGTCTGCTTGACGTCCGCAACCGTTGATGATGACGGGTCATATTCCATAATCACCAAACTACGCCCTGTATCTGCTGCGACGACATGAAGAAGGTGCTGAGCTCTTTCATCACCGTACAAAAAATTGATCTTCTGGCTTTGTTTCTGTTCTTCCGCTGCTCTGGTTATAATTCTCGTCGTCCGGTAAGGAGAACCCCGCGCTGCACCAGTTGGCGCATGATCATGAGTACTAGCACCCCTCACCAGCCTTCCAACACTTCCATTTCTATTTTTCACTGTCGTGCGAGGTTTTGCCACCATGCTCGCGGCCACCGCACCTGCCGCAGCGAACAATGATGTCGCATGAGGTTGAAGAAACCCTTGAGAACGAGAAGTAGGAGTTCCTCCATCGGCATGCCGCACCACAAGAGAAGAAGCTCCTTCAACAGGAGTGGGTAACGCCGATATGAATTGGTAGCTGAGTGGAGTAAAACCACTAGGCAATGTTGGCACCAATTCTTGGAGGTTGTAGCTCCTTTGAGGGTTGATGTAGGGAGTAATTGTCGAAAGGGAACGCAGATTCGGTGGCTGGGAGGCTGCGGCCGCAAACGCAGCGCTGTTCACGATGAGAGAACGAAGGAGAGATGTAGGCGAGAACATTTCTTTGGCTAACATTCTATTAAACAAACTAGACACAAAAAGGCCTCGAGTCGTGCTAATGTAAAAGACAGACAATTCCGATGCGCTACTGGCGCGATTCATTCATCAATTCCGAGAAGTTTATATCACACCTTGCTTGCATACCTGCTACAGAAGAGGATAGAATTTTTTGAACAACCTTTACCATGCACCATCGTAAAGTCCGTGTTATGTTAGAAACGAAAGGTCGTGAGTCATGTTCGATATCGAATGGAAGATCAGGATCGCCTGTTCGTTCCAAAAAGAACACCTTGGCTTGCAAGAGAACTTACCTAGAGGATGGAGACGCAAGAAAAGAAAATGAAAATATTACTAAGACCAAAGAGAATAAGACGATGGTTTGTGTTCCTTGGAGGGTCTGGGGCTGGGATCCAGCAATATTCTTCTCCTATTGGGGTATCATTTGGATGACCGGGAGGGGGCGATCACGGATCTATGTTTTCAGCCGGGAGAGAATCCTGGTTAAATCTGTATTCTTAAACTCGTTTTTTCAAATGTTCTCGTTTCTTTGTAGAAAGCATGATACCGCCATCTCCTTCCAGTATCTTTAAAAACACACAAAGGGAAAATTCACACACAGCACATGAAAAGCAAGAAAAAAGGTGAGATGGTGGAATGAGGATAACGGCACGACGACACAATAAACAACTAACACCTGTAAAGTCATTACATCTTTCTTTTTCATTTCGTCACCTACAACAAGGTTGTGTAAGTTGGTGTTGGGTGCCAGCACGAAGCATCATACTAGCATCAAATAGAAATACTTACTTACATGATAATTACGACTATGACTACTTAATATGTTGAAATAACCTAAATGTATGTATGTATGGAAGGAGACCAGAAACACGTTGGGACTTACAAACGAAGGCGCGGCAAAGCAAGCAGCCTAGTGCGTCGAAGAGGTCTTATGCAGTTGCTTTTGCGGCGCTTCAGCGGGCCCGTGTTGAGTCGCCAGGGGAACTTAAGGCCGGGTAGGGGCCATGCCGTCACGCGCGCGCGTGTTCCAGAGGGCGGAAAAGAAGAACTCTGGCACAGAGCCGGCGGCAGGTGTTCACTGAGGCGTACAACAGCAACAGTGACCGTTCCGCCTTGGACTCCTCAACCCAGCTGCCAGAGCGGAGCGAGCGGAGCCCAAAGTGTAACGTGGTAGCGATCGTTGGTGTGGTGGTGTTGGTCGTCTCCAAGCCGGGGCGCCGCGTCAAGGCCTCACCACAAGCCCCGGGTGATCGCGGAGTACGACGATCCGTCGAGTGTTGCTCGCCGAGATTATGCGACGCAGAGGAGGCCTCGTTTGCGTACAGATGACAAAATTGCGGTGGACATTCTCGAAAGGAGAGGTTTCTGGGTGACCAAAAGGGCAGCAACTAGTCGCGACTTGACCAGTCAAGATAGGCAAAGAATGCAGCAGCTGTCTGGGGGGATGCCAAGTTGGGGATCTCACTCACCCCGAGGCACTCGAAGTCGTGCTCTGGTCGCGCAAATTCTGCGCAGCATATGGGACAGACCGCCGGCACCAGGCCGCAGTCTGGATCTGCGATGGATCGGAAGCGGGACCCACCCAAGAACTCAGCAGCTGAGACTTGGATAGCACGCGAGGCGCAAAGGCTCGAGAGATGTCCCCAAAGTTGGAGTGCGTCCCTCCTTTCCCAGCCCAAGTAACTCCCAAGGAGTAACCCGCTTTCACTGCCGGAGGAATGCGCAAGTGCCTTGAGGGTGCTCGTTTCCTGGTTGCTCAAAAAGTTGATCAGCTCGCGCTTGACATCTTCGAGCTGCATGGGAGTGGACCAAGAGCCTGCAGCAGGCGTTTGCCCCCGTGCTACAGAAGCCGCCGAGTCAACTAATTCAATTACTGGTAGGCCAATGTGACTGTGCGTGTGGTGTACGCGGACCGTGGTGAACCGCGCGCAAAGAGTCTCAAGGAGGCAGAGGCCCTCTCGTTCCAGCCGAGTGGTGTCTCCTCCCTTGGTGGTGAGAAGCTGGAGGCGGGTTACGATGGATTCCGCATCGACGATGAGCAGGAGCGTACTCTCCTCGCAGGGTGGTGCTGCAGGTGCCGGGATATTTGCTAGGTCCCTCAAGAGTAAGGACCACCCAGCACGTTCACAGGCGTAGGAGGACGCGGCATCTCGCCAGGTGAGAGTGCGTATGAAGCCATAGCCACCACTGAAGATCGCGCGCGCTGCTGCTGCGTCCCCATCAGCAAAGGAAGCATCACACGACGCGAGGACAGACGAGGGCGAAAGGGCGCAGCTGGTAGCTGCATCACGTAGAAGCTCAGGCGTATCCTTGCAGTGACTCGCGCGAAGGTGCAAATTTACAAAAGTTGTCCGTCCTGGGCGGTAAGGCTGCAGGAGCTCTAGCGCGGCCTCGTCCCAACCAATGGCCTGTAGTGTGGCGATACCGTCCGAGATCCATCCGCGTTTCCACTGTTTCCGCCCCACGGTGGGGGTACCAGGCAGGTGCTGCGGCGCACGTTCTAGCTCAGGTGCGTAGGTGTGATAGAGCCACGGCTTCGGGTCTCCGAAGGTGTCCGTTTCTTGCGTGGGTGTCGAAGTGACAGACGTAGTCGCATCAGGAGGCACAGTGTATGTCTCCGCAGAGTGCACTAGGGTGGTGAGGGGACAGCCAGGACGCTCTTGCCGAAGGCGATCAAGAAGTTCCACACCGGAGAGCGTAGCGCAGGGCCATTCAGTGGGCCAGGGAGGTGGCACATCAGACCCCATCCGGGGGAGATGGCGGGCCACTGTTGCGCGTAGTGGCGTGCGAGAGCAGCGACAAAGCCGGTCAACCAGTGTGGCAGTTCGCTGAGTTAACATGTTATAGGCCGAGGGGATGCCGGAGAGTAAATACAGGCTCTCCAGTCGTTGCGTGCGGTTGCTCCCAAGTACGACCCTGCATGCGGGGTTGAGGATAAGCGTGCTGAGCGCCTGCGTGTAGCCTTGCCCTAAGATGGAGCCGTAGATAGGAAGACCGAAGCCGACAACGTGGGCAACCAGTGCCACTGCCGTGGTGCGCAGGGGGTCAGTGTCCATACCCCAAGAGCGGCGCGCTAAGTTCCGAAGTAAGTGCAGCCGGTTCTGACATCGGCGGACGACGTGCTGGAAGTGGAACACCATGGAAAACTCCGGATCGAAGTGTAAGCCGAGCACTCGCATCTTTTCTACGTGTGGCACTCGTGTGCGTGCTGGGGCCTCCCAGCCTGGGGGAGTAGTTGGCGCCTGTGGGGGTTTGACCGCGCGCCCGTAGGTTTCTTTCTGCCGTCTGTAGATCCCCTCGGTGCTAAGGCGGAGCCACATGCATTGCATCTTTGGGAGGGAGAGGCGGAGCCCAAGGCGGTTAAGTTCTGTCTCCAGAGTGTGTAGCACTGCATCGAGGAGGGTACTTACCTGCTCCGGATCACGTCCACGCAAGACCAAAGTGCCGTCGTCAGCATAGAAGCGACAGAAGACATCACCGGAGATTGATTGGACTTTTTGGCTGAGCCCTGCGACGTGTGCGTTCCATAAGAAAGGCGAGAGGCAGCCTCCTTGTGGGATGCCGCATAGAGGGCGACAAGTGCGAGAGTAAGAGTTTCCCACCAGCGACTGGTATGTGCGACCCCGTAGCCATGACCAGATGTAGCGGCAGTAACAGAGGGGGATCTTCAGCTCGATGAGCTGCTCTATCAGCTTGGTGTGCGGCACTGAGTCAAAAGCGCCAGCTATATCAGTTTCTAGGACAAGCTGCGCGAAGCCTTGCCGCGCATTCGTGTCGACGTGCTCAACGAACTCCGCCAGGAGCAGCTCGCAACTTTTGCCCGGCTGGTATGCGTACTGCTCTGCTTCAGCTACCGATGGCAGACGGTTGAGGATCACTTTCTCCAGGATCTTCGCAGCAGAGCAGATGAGAGAGATCGGTCGGTACGACGCAGGGGACGCTGGATCTTTTCCAGGCTTGTCTAGCCAGATCACTAAGATCTCCCCTAGTTGGTGCGGGAGAACGTTTTCCGCGAGACACTTGGAGAACAGTCTTGCAAGGCAGCCGTGGAGCGGCTCAGACCAGAAATCATGCGGGATCCCGTCGGGTCCAGGGGCTTTCCCAGCCGCAAGCTGATCGCAGGCAGCATTGACTTCACCAGGAGTCACATCAGGCGCAGGCGGCGCCTCTGCAAGAGCAATTCCGATGTCGCGGGGGAGGGTTGCTGGGTGTTCAGCTGCTACAAAGTGCTTGTCTCGAAGCAAGCCGCCTAAGAGGGTGGCTTTATCGCGGTCCGACGTAGCCCACGTTGTATCCGGTCTCCGAAGCGCCGACGCAACAGTTTGCCGCAGGTGTGGCATCCTGCCATCTTCCCGCGCGAGAAATTTCCAGAGAGGCGTTGCTGAGGCGCCTGGCCTCGTCGTCTCTAAGAAGCGCCGCCATCCCTCACGCTTCATCTTGACGCGGATTTTCTCAGCTGCTGCATCGTCGCCAATTTGAACGGCCTCGATGTATTCCTGCACGTGCGGACTGGCGAGGTTCGCCTCGACGATCTCCGCGGGACTCGTCGACTTCCCTCTTACCGGCTCCAGGCGACGGTAAGGGCGTAGGACATCTTCCACAGACTGTAGTAAGATGCGCGCCAGCTCCTTGGCAGGCGTCTCCACTGGTCTCGCTAAGAACGTCTCACTAATCTCATGAAGTTTGGCCGTAAGCTGCTGTTTACCAGCCGTGTCTTGCGGCAGTTTATACCGCCGGGTCCTGGATCTTGGGGGATCGGTTTCTTCGGTTTGCAAGAAGACTGTTTGTGGTCGGTGGTCACTCAGAGTTTGGTCGTGGGTGGTAACCAGGAGGCCGCTCTGGTCGCCGTTCTCTTCGCTGTCTAAGGCAGTCCTGATCAGCTCCGGAAATAGCATGGCGTTCCCGGGGCGCCACAGGATTTGGTCCGGGGCAGTCGTGGGCGCTGCCGCCGGGTAGGTGCGTTGGTTGTGGCTTAAGTCCAGAAGTCCGTCCTCTCCCTGTGCTTGCCAGAACCAGTTCTCGAACCAACCGCCGCCGCTGCTCGCATTGAAATCACCTGCGAGGAGGACGTCCTCGCTGTCGCTTACGCCGCCAGTGGTGTACAAGGCCCGGAGCATGCTCGTTGTTGGGACCTTGCGTGGGGGTCTGTAGATGCCGGCGATGACGGCGCTTCGATTGCCAGCGCGTCCAGGCAGCAAGATGCGAGCGCGGGCCACCTCCAAGGTGCTGCTCCGAAGCGGTTCAGGCTGCTTGGGAGCCAGTACAATTCTGCGGGAGATAAAGAGGAGCACGCCGCCGGAGGCTTTGGCGCTACTGTCCCTGGTATAGGTTGCCGCCAGGCGAAAATCGTTGCGTTCCATGGTCTTCTCGATCCGCGCAAGTGTGAGGCTGGAGTGCAGGGTCTCACTGAGTACGAGTATGCCCACTTCGTGCTTTTTGCAAAAATTGACTACGCCAGTAGTCTTGGGCCCCAATCCATTAATATTCCAAGAGCATACCGTGAGGCCTAGCGGCTGCCCTTGTTCCTCACCGGGGAGGAATCGTGTTCGTGTTTCAACTTCAACAATTCAAGAGAGGGCGAAAGCCGTCTCTCATCCACAAGATGCACAGTCTCTCGCCCTTTTTCTCGTTCAAGTTGAGTGCAGGCAGGTGCGTTGCGTGAAGCTCATCCAGGTAAAACTGCCGGCCTCCGAGGTTCGTGATGAAGCTCTTGCCCATTGCGTCACGCTTGGGACTGAAGAGGGTCACCGGCGTGTTTAAGAGTTCGGCGGTCGCCCGCGCCTGGGAGGTAGGCGGAGGGAGGTCGCTGCGCTTGTAGTGGGCGCAGATCTTCACGCGCATGGCTGCAGCGTCCAAGTCGCCTCCACGGTCCTTGTGGACGTACTCGAACGCCTGGAGGAAGGTCGGAAAAGGATCAAGCCGCTGTACTGTGAGTAGTTTCCGTGGTGCACAGGGGGAGGCTTCCATGGCTGCGCGGGGGTCTCGATCATGCGATTGCGAATCTTGCTCCGTGCTTTGTGAAGCGCTGTGGGACGCCGGTGGAGTGTGACAGAGGGGCAGGTCTTGGCTTGATGCTGTTGCCGGCGCACTTTCAGACTCTTCTCGGTCAGATTTCAGTTCCTCTGCCATTGCAGAGCGGTTCTTTGGAGCTGGGCCTGCGTCGTTGCTTTTGTCTTGTTCGTCAGGAGTGGCGTCGGGGAAGTCAGCAAACGTCACGCGGCGGCCGCGCGAGTCTTCACCGCCAGGGCGAGTCTTTGTTAAGCTGGGAGCACTTCCTTCTGAACGCTGCAACTCGGTGTACACAGTTTGCGGACGCTTAGCGAACACAGCGCGGATCATCTGCGGCGGCGCGCTGCAGGTCTCTTCCACAGTGCGCATCCACTCGAGACAGGACAACGACATCCCGCCCTTGGTGGTCGGCACGCTGCTGATCTGTGTCCGGAGCTGGGCTTTTCACTGCTCGCTCAACACCGGTCGGCGCTTGGAGAGGTAGTCCGCGAGCGTCATGCCGAGGATGTCGCGCACGGTGGGGCCACGCACTCGGAAGCGGCTCCAGAGGGACAAGGCCACGGCCTCAGCATCGGCGAAGAGATGGAGTTGCGCAATATGATCCTTCAAGGATTGCTCTGTAGGGGTGTCGTCTCGTCTCTGTGTGCCACTTGCAGCAGAGGCGGCTTCCGTGCCAGTTGTTGCGTCCGCGGTCATGTCGGCGTGGTCCCTCGGTGCAGGTGTGTGCATACTTGTCTCCTCAGAGGCAAGGTTGGTAGCAGCAGCACCCTTTGCGGCTTGAGTGCTGCTGTGAATGTGCGCGATCTTCCCCTTGCCTTTCTTGGTGCCCCGCGGTCGGTCTCCCGAATTCATGTCCTTGGAAGCCTTTCCCTTTCCTGGCGCGGTTCCTTTGCCTGATGTTTTCTGTTGGAGAGTCCCCTCGCCTTCTGCTACCATCTGCATTGTGTCCGGGGAGGCCGAGGTTGTGCTTGCGCCGCCGGGCCGTCTAATTGACCAGCGGATTGAATGCATGTACGGACCCAAGGGCATGCCCAGCGCCCCTCGCACGGCTCGCGAGCGCCAGCCATAGGCCTTGTACAGGAGGTCAGCCATCGGTTTTGCGCGCATGCCCGGGTGTCGACTGAGCTCCGCGCGTACGGCAGCACGCGCAGTTTTCCGCGTCGGCGGGTCGGTAATGGGTTCGCCCGCCTTCCTTGCGGGCTCTGCACTGGATGCGCCGTGCTTCTTCTGTTCGGAGGGAAGGACGAGAGGCGATGACGTCTCGCTTTCAGCCTGCCGCTTCTGTATCTTGCGTGGCGGCGATGCTGGCGGACTCTCAGTGTGACCACTTCCGGCCGCAGGAGGAGAAGGACGTCTCTTTGGAACTGGGATATGATCAAGCGCACCGGGTGGCAGAATCGCTCCGGGTGGGAACACGACGAACTGATTGATCGTTCCGTATCCAGGCACGCCAGGCCAGTTCTGGCACCAGGTTCCCATATGCGGCCCTACCGGAGGTTGCGCGCATATCATCGGGTATAGTGTCGGGCTGATGGGGCTCGGCGGTTGGACTGTCATGTCCCGATGGACAATCATCCCAGGCCAATGACTGGGAATCGCATTACTCTGCACTCCAGGAGGCATCAAGCCGTGAGTGTAGCCGAAGTTGTTGAACATCTTGGAGGTGATCTGATGTGTCTTAGGAAGTGTATAAGAGTGTGGCTGGATGAACTAGAGGAAACTGGTCGCGGCGACGTTCAGTTTTGGAGCCTAGGAGAAAGAGGAACTACATGCACGAAGGCTATACTCAACGGGAAGATGACAGGTGAACTAAAAAGAAAAGGTTACTGACGTAAAAGGACAACTAGGAGGAGCGTGCGAAAGAGAGAGAAGAAGCGAATTCTACCTGAGGGCCAACCGGAGATGGGGCGTGAATCATGCTTGTTGTGACAGACGTGTCCGTGGAATGAGCGCCAGGCCCTCCACGCGTCAGAGGCGCCTGCAGAGAGCTCATCTCTCGAGAGCAGACCCTGTCAGATAGTGCGTCGCTCAGGAACAGAACACGCAAGTGCGTCCGAAATAAGTGGGGTATATTTTCGGTCACTCTCTCGACAGACACGTCAGCGGGCCCCTGCAGAGCGCTCGATAGAACTCCCACTCAGGAACAGAACATGCCAGGTCGTCCGAAACAAGTGGGGTACATTTCGGTCGCGCTCTCAGGGACAGAAGAACCCGTAGCGTCGCTCAGGAACAGAACACACCAGTTTGTCCGAAAAAAGTGGGGTATGTTTTCGGTCACGCTCTCAGGAGTTTTCGGTCACGCTCTCAGGAACAGAAGAACCCGTCCCGTCCGAGAATTGTGGCACATTTTGCGCTTTGTCGCATGGTGGTTCGCGCTCTCTTTTGCTATGTAGGGCGTCGCAGAGTTGGAGAGCAGAGATCTCGTAGTGCCTCGTTATTGGGCTCATGCGAATGCCTTTGCTGCCTTTGCAGCGCCTCTCAGAGGCCATGGTCTCCCTTCCCACCAGGGGCGGAGAAATAACCTAAATGTAGATTTACTATGAAAGTTGTTTGCAAATAAACTGGAGAGATATTATATCCCCTTGGACGAGTTGTATGAAGTTGAAGGCAGCTTCACAACGAAGCGAACCCTCATGACACCGAACTTTTGCAAAACGAACTTAGGTGACAGAGAACTTAGCTGACATAGAACTCTTCACTCGTCCTAGACCACACTTTACATTTCTAGCTTAGGAGGATCATGTACAACAAACGCTGAACAGCTAAATTCTCAAGAGTTACTTAGAAGCACACCAGGGGCGAAGAGAACGTCCTGGCGGACGATCCCCTCGCCCAGAACAGAACCGAAGAAAATGAATTCCAGGTAGTTGCTAGCTGGCACCAGCTTTTTTTGGTACTTCTTACTTGATGTCGTGGAGGTAATGACTTTGATTCTTAAACACCATAAGTGAGGGACTCAGCAGAGAGCGCTGTGGGTTCGTCAAACAAACAACGACAGGGAAAGAAAGGGGTGGGAAAGAAAAGGTACCAGCAGTAGTGATTTTGAGCTTCTGCAAGAGCGAATAGTACGTAAAAGAAGAAGTATCACGACTACAGGGACAACATCGAAGGCGTCATTAAATTTGTACAAGAGCGATGCAGGTACTATGGGTACCTCCTAAATGCGAAAAAGAAATTGCGACCCGAGATAGACAGATCGATCATTAAGAAAAGAAAGTGGGAAAATAGCAAGACAGGAATTTTCAACATAAGTAGTACAACGAGGATGGAAAATCAAAATACTAATACTTCGGCTAGAAATCCGGCATGACGAGAATACCCCCATTTGCTGATGTTGCAACGATCATCGGCTCATTCAAACAACATATCACTGTCGATACCAGCTTTGCGTGCTGAGGCCCCAATCGCAGTCCTTCTCGACTCCTGCTTTATAAAATCCCGGCGTTCTCCTGCGCACATCGGCTTGGTTTAGAATTTGCGACATTTCTTCATCTTGAAAATACACTTCATGATCAATCTTGCGTACCATGTAAATTCTTGAAACAAGTTTGAAACGAGCAGAGCAGAATAAACTTAAAAAATAGAGTGGGCGGTAACAAATTCCCCAACTACGTACTGCCATAAATTGAGTCCACAGCAGTGTCTTCGGATCAGGATCAGGCAGCCCCAGTAAATGATGCTCACGAAGCCGAAACCCAGGCCGACCGTTAGTCCCATGTTGCTAAATTCGGGGACGCAGGAGGACGGTCTATGCTTCTTCACAAGCAACAAACCCCACACGCATAAGCGAGAATTAGAAGATCATTATCATTAGGTTCATCTTCAGGTACAAGGATCTTTTAATCTGCTTCATTAAGAATGAGAAGGATCTTTTAAGGACTAAACTCCTCGTACAAAGCTATTACTCGATTGCTCAACCAGAAGTGAAATACAAAACTGTCACGTGCAACGCAAGTACACCTAGAGGGGATAAGAAGACCGTACGGCGTGCTATAAATCGCAAAAACTCCGTCAGTTCTTAAATATGAAAATGAAGAGCAGCCACGAAACGAGGAGACGACGTAGGCTTCCGAAGTAAAACCCACCGATCAAGAATGGCGCCAACACTAGGTCCAGTAGCGCGGAACGAAACTGCCCAAAATACCTATATCGCTCCAGAGGCAGAGGCACTTCTTCAACCTTTTTGTTGCTGATCTCCAAGTCGTCCAAGGATAGTGTCTGGTTCACTTTCGTGCCAGCTGCTAATGCCGGAGTACGCTCGTCGTTCTGCGCCGCCTGGGGTAGAGGAATTTGAAATGTAGATGGTGCTTAAAAAAGAGAAAGTAAGTACTTAGGAGGGAAACAAAGATCATCGATGATTCATCGGTATGTATTATTGTTATTCAAAAATAGACAGATTGATAGCGGCTTCCGCATTACACTGTTGTGATTTGCAGTTTCCAAGTACCTCTACGTCACCGGAGGTTTCATCCGCGAACTGGTCCCCATATGCATAGAGATCAGGATATTCCCAGGATCGGCGGACCAACATCGGCGAAAACATCAAATGGAAGCCACGATACCCTTCGCAGTATCCGAAAAAGACCACGATTGCGAGAACGACCAACTGGTGATACCAGTGAGATTAGAGACGAGATCTTGACTGTTGATGACTAATTTGCTCTACGCCCCATGATCCTTGCCGCCATGACCATATGCCCCCCCTGGTCCAGAAACTCAGTGTAAGTAAACACCTCTTGAGTAAGTAAACAAAGAGTCAGATTTGAACACATAGTCTCAGTCATACTGTCCCAATCGTCATAATAAAAGGGTCCCTTGAAAATTTCTTCCGGCTTGTTGTGAAATTTCGGGTTCATTACTTCGCGAGGATACACATGCTTGTGCATGTATCTCCAGACTTCGTCATGCCAGATTGCAGGATCACTATTTCCACAGTCGTAGTGCTCCGCGAGCAGTCCTGCAGGAGCAGGTGCCGGTCCGTTTATGAATCCTGTCAAGCGTGCATCTGGTCCGGTCTCAATCAGAGTTGGTCCTGTAGTCCCTGCGGAGGTTTGAAGAGTGTGCTGCTGGGTACTCTGCTGACCTGGAGAGGAACTCCCAGGTATTGTCAAGGGAGGAGGGACGCTAGTGGCACTAGCGCTAGTGTTGTTCACCGTTTTATTTAATACCTTGCTATTACCAGCACTTCTTGCAGCATCTACTGCTGCTGCTGCTGCTGCAGCCTCTGTTTGACCAGAAGGTGGGCCTCGATTTTGTTCTGAGTCGATTTGTAAGAACTCTTGCTGTTGTTCTTGGGCTCTTTGCTGTTGTGCGGCTGTGGATGATGGAGAAGGAATCGTGCTAGGAGCACCTGCGGTTGTAGGGCTACTAGTAACGGGACAGGCACCGCCTGCGCCTGAAAACGGGCAGCCACCCCATCGGCGTCCTCCGGGAACTGGCGGATGGCCGTCTGGCAAGGCTGGTGGGGATGCGTCGTCGGGGCGCAATTGGCTGACGCCCCTTGTTGGGGAGCTAGCTGCACTCGGAATTTGCGCTTGCTCTTGCACTACAGGCTTACCTGCGGACGCAGAAGTTAAGGCAACAGCCTCTTGTTGTGTTCCAGGCGTTGTAACAGCAGCAGCGCCAGCAGCACCCCCAGAAGCTGCCTCCGGTAGATTAGTCCGAACTTCTGTGGAAACACCAGCGCCAGGTGCTCCAGGCGTTTTGAGGAGAACACCCTCACGTCGACGGTGCTCGAAATTGATACACTCGGTTCTATACTTCGTATCTGCTCTCGATTGTGCGTAGAGTTGGTATCCGTACCAGACTGGACCTCAATGAAGCAAATTGGATGAGTTACACGATGCTGATACCTGAATCAACGTAGCGTTTTCCCAAAAACCAAAAAAAACAACCAAAAAAATATTTCAACAATATAAATATCTTGCTTCCAGCACTAGAAAAAATAGCTTAAATACCTCTCATAATCATCCCATGCAGACCTCCACCTATCATGGCTATCCAAAAACCGACGCCCCATATGCGGTATAGCCAGGCATACGCACTCCCCAATGCGCTTTTCCTATGCTCCCCAATGCGCTTTTCCGATGAAGCAGAGGCAACAGACTGGGCAATATCCCTTGAGATTTGCTTAGGAGGCTCACCTGTAAGAGGTACGTTCCTGTCGGAAACGCGTGCCATCTTTTCTCCTCTTTGAAGATGATGAAGATGGTTCTTGTTCACTGTGAATATGTCTTATTTGTTCTTATCTGTTGGATCTAGTAGTCCGAGTACTTGATCCTCATACTACACAAAAATGAAGATGTTTTCTGTAGCGTCTCAAATCAATGTATACACTCGAAGGTGAAGAAAACAAAAGCAAACGATAGGTTAGTGACGCTAAACTTGCAACTGCAAGAAAATCCAAAATTGAAGAACAACAAAAGAAACAGATCGACGATGCTTGCTCCTAAAAGCTAAATGCATATGTTACCATACTACTGGGAGGACATACATTCTGCATACCGACGGGGTGCGGGGGGAGCTGAAAGAATAATACCACGACATCAAGAGTGCTTCTTGCTTGCAAGATCATAGAATGAAAGGATGTTTATGTTATATTTTGCCAGGGTAGTTCTTTGATTTCAGCATGTAAGTAGATAACTGGAACGCTGTAAGATTACTGTCACTAGTACTTTCTCACGTATTCAATCCGGTATAATCTAAACCCTCGCCAGTGTGATCAAGCCATAACCAATACTACGCAGTCCTCCGCTAATCCTGCAGCACTCATTCGGTCAACATACTAGAATCGCCTACGCATACTTCTTCCAGAAATCATTGGAGAACACGCCCATTTCATATTTTTCATCACCAGCCCGCGGCGCGCAATTTCAGGAGTTTCTTTTCAAGCATTTTTTGACTACCACGACTTGTTCTCCTGGTTGTCGTAGACTACTGACTCTTTGATCTTGATGAAATTCGAAAGCCCAACATGCATCACTATTTCTGCTTGTACTATGAGCAGAATTGAGTAGACGCAGCACCTTGCAACATTGATTCTTCAAAGCTGTTTGAACAGTAGTCTACACCTACTACAGTCTCTATGATGTCCTCTAGGAGCGTAAAATCTATCGGTAGAAAAAAAAAATGTGTCGCTAAAAATTACGTCTAATAAAAAGACGAAACCGAAATAAAGATCAACCATGCGACTTTGGATCAGATCATTCAGAAGTTCAAGTATACGAAGTGCGCCTGTATTGTCCGTAAGTAGTAATCCTTTAAATACTGCGTTCACTCCTAGCTAAGCAGAAGTCCTCTCCGCGCCATTCCTCAGATGCTCTCTCAGTCGATCAGCGACGGGCTATTAGGTGGGCTTGCTGGGTGCAACTGCCTCAACAGCCAATTGCAGTAACGCGTGAGACCATGAGCACCATATCGGTCTGCTTCCGCTAGTACCAGTGACACAGTCGACGCATCAACCACCTGACAAAGTCGCTGTTCGCACTTCAGTTTTATCGCGTCTATGCAGAACTCGTCCGCTGCACGCAAAAGCCGCAAGAGAAAATGCACCTGCTCTTCCTTTTTGCTACTAGACGTGCACGATGTACCACAAGGAGGCTTCTCTCCTATCGCGTCGACGTCTGCACTGCCACTAAGAAGTTCCGGAATATCGCCGGTTTTGATTAGATGATTTGATCATTCAATACCTCTTTTGGCGATACTAGGACATGCGCATCTTTCTCTAAGCCTACTGGGATGATCCACATCGAAAAGCCTCTTCTACTTCTACCTGCAAAGAAACTATCTATCTTCAAAATCTCAACAAGCCCCATCCGTAAGTAGATAAACGTCAGTATGGCACGAAATACAGAGTATTCGATGTCCGGTGGCAATCGCACTTCGTTTTCCCTGGCTTCTCGCCAGTTATTTGAGAACATACTCCGAAAATGCTCTGAGAAGATGCTGAGAAGTATTCTGTGCGCGTAGATCTTCCGCGACGTGCCATGGAAAGTGAATAGGACGTCGGAAAATTGCTCACTGTCGAAGTAGGTAGCTAATTGTGCCCCACTTTGCTTCTGCAACAAATTTTGCATGCCTGCTGCGCCAGCTGTGTGTGCAAGCGTTGTGGCGTCTCCACTGACCAAAGGCGCCGCATCAGTATCGAGGATGTAGCAAACGCCCTTCTCGAAATACTGCGAACCGCATGCACCACCGAAGATGAAAAGCCTACGTCCCACGACGACGCATGCATGCCCAGCGCGTCGCTCTGGGACCAATGCTTGTTGAGAACAAGTATTAGTTGTACAACGAAGAAGGCCAGTGTTATTAATGCCAGGCAGTGGATCTTGCTGTCCGCCACTTACACGACTTTGCAACTTCATCTCCATTGCATGACTCTCGCTTCCCGTATCATCTGAGGTGCACGTGAGCGGCTGACCCTCCAACCAAGTGTTGCCCTTGGGGTCATAGATGTGGCAGTCGTTGAAGCAACGAGTTGTATGCCCGCTTCCGCCGATGAGGTAGAGCAACCCATGAACGTTTGAAAGCGACATGCCAGCGCGCGCTTGTGGTGCTTGGCCTGAGACACGCAAATACGACCAACTTTGGGTTGTCGTATCCAAAGCGTAAAGGTCGTTTAACCTGTTAAGGAAGAAGAGATCGAAATGTAGTTTTGCTCACATGATCATAGATAAGGTATGTAGAAGATCGCGGGCATCCGCAAGGTGGATATCGTACCTTATGATTGACTATGCCCTCTTTTTTTGTTGTTCCATCGCTTTCAAAAGCAAAACATGTGCTCCTACTTGTTTTTACCTTTTCGATCCATCCCATCCGCCAAAAACGAACAACGTTTCCTTATGCACACACGCTGAGTGATTTGCACGAGGCGGCGGAAGCTGTCCTGTACTCCGGTAGGGATACCAAGTACGACTTTTCAAGTCCAAAGCGTGTAAGTCGTTGAGATAAGCTCGCCCATCCCCACCGCGAAATACGAGGACTAAGTCCTGCCCTACGAGGTCTGATGTATGCATGTTGCAAGGTCCTGGCGGCTCGCCCTCAAAATCAGGCTGAATCCATTCAAAGCGGGCAGTTAGGAATGAAGAGAGGCGAGGGTTGGAGAATGTTGTGCATCTTGTTCTACTAGAGTAAACGAAAAATCTAGGATCATGTGGGATGGTACTACAGAAATAGAAAGGTTCACGTCACTTCAATACTCGAGTCACTCCGTAGAACAAGTAGGATCACTATCATGCTGGTCTTCATAAATCCAATATGTGCACGTCCCCAGCCGCCAAGGGTCCGTTGCCTAGCCAGCCGCCTAGGATTAGGATCTGCGTTCCGAAAATAAGCGTGGCTGAGTGCCCGTTTCTGCCTGAAGGCCTCAACCCACCTGGATTCGGCTGTGACCACTCATGCGTGTCAACATTGTACACGAACAATGTATTGTGGTTCTTCCCGCCGTCGTAACCGAGGAGTTAGAGGAGAAGACTCCGAGATCTGTATAACATTCCACAGGGAGTTAGAGGAGACGACTCCGAGAGTAGTATTCCATTTCATGAAGTCTACGGCTGGCTAGCGTGCCAGCCTCTAGACCATGCGACGCACTGTGCCCTCAGACAAGAAGACAGCAGACGCAACGTGAGAAACTCTACCCACGAAGTACAAGCAGTAAATGATCTAGTCTACTACTTTTATTCTTGCGCCTGATTTCATACTCCTTGTTCAGGAAAAGAACGACTACGAACAGTAGTTGCGGAGGATGATGTGTAAAGTCCTGAAGTCTAATTCGCTATAAGCCACGGCCTTAACCAAAGATGTAAAGATCAGACCCGACCAATGTGCCTGTATGGTTCTTCGTGGCGGGGATGTAAAGGTTTTCTGCTGCTGCCCTAGATGACCAGGTGAGACGTTGGGAATCGAAGTGACGAGGTAAAACTAGACCTCCATCTTGGCTATTTGGCACCATCTGCTGAGATGAGCTGGAAGATGCGACGGAATGGAGGTTAGAGCGAGAAAAATTAAATCAGGCACGACACGAGGATTACAAAACGTGCGCGACGCTGAGGATTCGCAGTCTAGGCTTCTTAGCAAACTCGAATTCCACGACCAGATGAAAAAGCATGATCACCAGATGTACGTATTAAGAGCATCACCAAATGTACGTATAATTCTAGAAAATTGTAATAGTTTCACAATGGATCACAAAAATGCAGATAAAAACAAGGAGCTCTATTAATCTTTCTATCGTAACTCCCACCAGCACAGTGGTCGCTGTGTCCCTGCTCTTCGAATTCGTTTCTGATCCTGACAGCACAGACGTAGAAGTGGCATCTAAGCGCCCACTTCCTTCCACGTCCTTTGCGGATGACCTCGTAGAGCCACTTGGAGGCACCGCTTCATTCGGCGAGTCGGGTGCTCGGCGTAACCTTTGACGGGGTGTCTGGCCTTCTGTGGAGGACCGTGAAAATGGCATGAAAGAAAAAGCCTCATCCAAGTCTCCTTCGGGGTCGGACATCCTCTTTTCGTGTGTTTTGGCTAGTTGCAGGGTGAGTAAATACTTGGTTTGTGTTTCTTCTGCACGCGAAACTTATTTCAGGTAATACCTAATCAGGCTCAAGCTCTAGTGAGAACGCAATGATCCCCAGCTTTCCTAATAGATACCTATGCGAGAACTACTTATCTTCAAAACGCCTCATTTTGCAAACTTTGTTTCCTCCGTAAAGGTGCTGTTTTAGAAACCGACGATCCCTTCACCCTGTGAAGTGACTGCACATCCCTTCACCTTGTGAAGTGACTGCACTGAGTGCTGTTCGCGTCACCAGGGATATCCACAGAAACGTCGCGCAGCATGCGTCCTACCTACACGCTGCAGCTACACAGAAGATCTATTATGCACGTCGCACTTTCTCTCCTCCAAAAAATGCGCACACGTTAAGAACACACTCGATACTCATGTCAGCTTTATTCAGAGCCATCGTTGAGTTGCTCCCGCGCAGTTTAGATGACTAACCCTAAAGACTTGCTGCTGCTATGATTGCCAAGAAGCTTCCCCCGACTTAAAAAAGATGTTGATGTTGTATCATAGTCTCAAAAATCTTCATACTAATCCACAAAAAGGAACGCCTGGATGAATCTTGTTCATAAATCTACGTTAAATTCACACCAAACCTCACCTCTGAATAGGTAGTAGTTATTTAGGCCCGAATACTTTTACTTATTTAGGCCCGATATTTATAACACTTCACACCTTCTGCAAAGTATGTGCCTTCTTGACCTCTTCGACTAAGATAGTCGACAATTCCGTCAAAAGCATCATACTGCTTCGAAGCATAATTTCTCCGCTGATGAAATTCCACCTTCACCATTCTTATACTCATGCCCCACCGCCTGCAAAATGCTGGAGCTACCGCCCATGCATCCTTTGCGGTGGCCATAAGATTATTAGAGAGAACCACGCCTCCGCCTCCGATAATCGATAAAGTTTCTACATAACCTGTATGTGGAAAAGATTAGAATGAAAAAATTGAGAGACAATTGAAACTTTGTTTGAGATGAGAAAGAGAAGTAAGTCATACCAATGAGGACTAAGTAACCAAGGAACTTCCACCTACCGCCCCACTCTCCGACGTCCTCTTACCTCCCCTCTTATGCTGCCCCCGCGCCCAAGAGAGCTCTCCCAGGCGCTGACCACGTTGGATTTATGGGGCGCTCTCCGCCAGCCTTTTGCTCGATTGCTGAGCTTCTTGCTCGATTGCAGGGGGTGACCACCGCCACCGACTGCGGGGGGGCGACCACCACCACCCACAGCGGGGGGCGATCACCACCATCGAACACGGGGAAGCGATCATCATCATCGTCGTCGACTCTAAGGAGCTTTTTCTCCTGTGCAGGTTCACGCACTCGTCATTATTATCCACGCCAGAGCGGTCTCCTACCCATTGACCTCTTTGGGTCTGTGGGGAGCACCATTCAAGCGGCTTCTGCTCGATGGTAGCGAGCGATCATCACCCAGAGGGGCCACCCTCCCGGCTACTCTTTTTTGAGTCCCGATTTGTTCTTTTTTCATCAAGAAGGGCCACTCTCGAGGTCGCTCTTATTCTTGAGCGCCGATTGTTTGCGATCATCATCCTGAGGAGCCGTCCGCACAAGTCCTCGCAGGACTTGTCCTCGTATTCAGAGAAGCCGTCCTCACAAGTCCTGGCAAGAACTGGCTCTCATCTTGAAGCGCCGATCTTCAACACTCTTTCCTGTGTACTGTGGCAATCATCATCGAGAGGAACTGTCCTCTTGTGCGCGTTAGCACTCTGACCTCTTCATCTCATGAGGCAATTTATTGAAGTTATCCCTTGTACTTGTATCAGTTCATGTAGAATTTTCTTTCCACCGACTTCATTCTATTCTTGGTAAAGTGTTCCTTCCTTTCTCTTTGGTGCTCTTCCTGTCCTTACACTTCTTTTACTTCTTTACGAAGATGTAATTGGTACAACTCAGGAGTTTCATACGAGCTCAAGCATAACTCAAATCCGTAAGAGCTCCATCCTCGAGCTCGATTTCAAGGTGACAGCGTGCTTCGTATCTTTCGAAACAGCCTCAAACTGCAATGGTGCCCTCTTTCCGGTACAGCAAAGACTTCTATAGTCTGCTCACAGTCAGAGTCAAGGGACTTATTTCGTATTTTGTTCATTCATATGGTACTTGTGTTCATTCATATGGTACTTGGTCCACTTAGTATCATTACATAGTCTACTCCTACCGGAAAAGAGGTGCTTTCATGCTTAACCTTCTCTTCCGGGGACTTGGTTCGGTTCCAATTCACCATCATCTCAGTGGTAGGTTGTTCATGCACAGTGGAGGTGCATGATGTAGTACAATGCCCGTCAAGAGTCGGAAAGTCAGTACAATTAGCTCCCACCTCTTCAGTAGTAAGGCAGGAGTCGGTAAGTCGGTCTCCAGACCTCTTTGTTCAGTGAGGCTTAGCCTTTAATTCAGCCAAGTGAGAAGCTTCTCACACGCCCGTTTAAATTGTGGCTGACTCGATGGCTCTGCCATGACGTCATCCGGGTTCCAATACATTAAACCAGCCGGGTTTACCAGACAAGCAGTGTTCTCGCTGTGCCTCAGCTGCAATAATTCTTTGTAGTAGTTGCTGTCCTCATCACAGCTGTGACGCCGTCCTTTTCACAGGACCATCTTGGTAAGTAACAAGTGGCTGCCAGCCCACTGCGATACCGTGGTGCAGATGCAGTACCATGTTGAAAGGTACAACGTAGTCCCTCTTTTAAGACCACAGTTGTGCTGCCTTCGCAGTTCATAGCAACAACACAGTCAAATTCAGACGGTCGTGCCACATTGGTACCCGTTCACTGTTCGGTCCCACAGAACATTTTTAGTTCTCGGTGCGAGGGCATCATTTTTGCCGAATTGTTGACGCAAGACAAGCTTTTTTGCTGTCGTTGCTCTGCGCCGACACCGCGTGAGTCTCAGAAGAGTTTTGCTTCGAGTCACTGGCGTTAACTGCTGGAGCGCACAGCTGCGCACTCCCTGATTTTTTGCGGAGGAGCGAGGGAGGACGAAGATGATAAAATAGATTACCAGGAGAATCTAACATCATGCGAGTAATTTTTACATCAACAAAACACCTGCTAGTACAAACTACATTATATTAGTACCATTTAAGTATCGACTGAAGACTACTCACTTGATTCTTGTCCATAGAATTCAAATTCACGCTGAATCAAAATACATAGCGAAAAAACAAAGCAAAACCGATTACAATTATACCACTACCATTGGTTAAACATTAACATACCTCAGCTTCTTCCCGCATCGTCCTTCAAAACTCAAACGCCTATGACCATTAAGGGCTAGCAAAAGGCACCTATCGCGAGTCAATGCGTCTGCGTTTCGGTGCTCTGCTGTCGCGGGAATCCTCATTCTGATACCGCTCTCGGGAGTCCTCATTTTGATACCGCTCTCGGGGGTCCTCGTTTGGATCTTGATAATCTCGGGAATCCTCATTCTGATCGTGCCAAGAATCCTCCTCCTCCTCGTCCGTGATTTTGCCGGAGTGCACCACAATGTCCTGACGTTGCGAGACGGCCAAGGTATAAAGCACAGTCAACATCATGATGAGCGAGAACAAGGTCAAGGCGATTCATATAAATCGTGGCTGAACAATAGTAAAGCTCAAGGTTCTTGATTGAATAAGTCACAAAACACATCCGCGGCTATGACAAAGTAAGAACAATGTCAAAAAGCTAAATACCAGGATCTGATCGCTATCGAGAATCATGTAGCTGTCGAGTCCGTCCACTTTGGCCGATTCGACGCCATAATCCTCAAAGTCGCTCCAGCGGAGGTCAGTGCCGCGGCGCCACACTCCAGTTGTACCCATGTCAACACGCACCGCCAAAACCACGCTCGGGCCTTGTTCACCGTTATTGTGATTAGCGGGCTATTAATTCGATTTCTTGATGAAGTAGATAACTAAGTCGTCTTTCTTCAATCAATGCAAAGCTCCTTCATATTCCTTCTAGATAGTAAGTTTATAGAACAAGGGCAAACCGAAAACTTCTAAGCAAAACTCAATGAGTCACGCAATCGAGCCTTCTTAACGTTATGTCGTCGCCGTTTGCGCGAAGCACCTTCTGCATCACTGGAAAAGTAGATCCCGCCACCTAGCATGCCTGTGTAGCCACGATAAAACCAACGCTCATCGAGAATCGCTTTAGCAGCAACCCGATCCGTGGCGTGGTACATGGTAACAGTGCCCGTTTTAGTTTTGTGCAATGGGGAACCGTCGGCGACCATTTTGAACTGCTTGACTATACTAATTTCTCTAAGAACGTGTGCAGAAGTCCTACTTTGTTTACCTCGTTACAAACCTCGATAATTGATAGAAAGACCAGTGAAGAATCTAGTCTAGAATCTGCTTCGCTGTAATTTCATTTGCAGAGACAGATAGAGAGATAGAGGAGTGCTTGGCGAGAGAATAAATCCATCTTCAACATGCAGCTTGTGTTTCTTCCTTCCTTTAACCCTAGAATCATGAAACATGTTCATGTTCATGGTCATGTTATCGCTGCTACATAGGGACACACGCAGAGACACAAAAACATGGACTGTTCCACATCAGCATCAACTTAGCATCACATTTTGTATACTTACCTGTATGCGAGGTAAGAAGAATCTCCACTCCCCAGAAATAAACGCGAAAGTATCATCTTGGAAGAGCCAAAACTGGCTCTTCGTCTTCCTTAACAAAGTTTTAGTTTATTCATACAACATAGATACACTGAAAAGTTGGACATCAATACATTTCAACGCGATCTGCTTGTGCTTTTTTCACGTTATTTTTTTCGAGAGAGTAGCTCAAGTAGGCCCCATAGCTGTATTCATTCCGGTGCGTAGGCGAGAAAAAACGCAGTAATTTGTCATGCCCGCCCATGATGCTATGTGTTGATCTTGACGACTTTGCGTGGTCTGCTATGAAAATGTATTGCTTCTTACTTTTACGAAAACAAAGTCCAAGACTTCGTTGTTTCTCATAAGAAGATTCAACATGTGGATATTTAGTATGAGAAACAACGAAGTCTTGGACTTTGTTTTCGTAAAAGTAAGCAACGAGCGTCATGAGGCCGCATGATCTCGACCCTTTTTGCGCGTGCTATTAGTGACATACCTACGACATCGCGTCTCAAATGACCGCGCATGGTCATCGGCAAGACTTAGACTACTTCCAAGGTAGGAGGTTTATTCAGTTTCCTTTTCGTCCACTATTGTTCGTGCAACACTTTCCCTTAGTACGTAGCACAATCGTGATGGCACATGCCACCAGACCTACACCGACAATGCCAAGAGACATCACGAAGATGCTTATCAACTGGTTCAGACCCCCCGGACGAAGAAGTCCTGTTGCTGCAATCATAGAAGTCCTGTTGCTGGAATCATCGGAGCGTGATATCTGTGTCTGGTCTCCCGCGCTGCTCGTCTGATGTGCACGACCTGCGTTTCCACCGCCACGAAGTGTTGTTTCCCGTTCAGGAGTATCGCGCTGTGCGCCAGCACTTGTTAGAGCAGGTTGCAGAATTTTTACATTCCTCAGAACATCCTTGCCCTTGGCCTTTTTTTCTACTACAAAATTCCTCAGAGCTACTACTTCTCTACCACTTTCTACTACTCTTCCCTACTACTACTTCAAGGATGTTTAAAAAAGCAAAAGGTAATTTGAAAACCGTTAGAAAACTTGACGAGTTTCCGGCAAGTGCCGTTCTTGTAGTTGCAGTTCTTGTAGTGGAAGAAGCGGTTTCTGTTAGAACTCAAAAGAATTTATTTCTTGCGTACTGCATTTCTTGCAATCCTGAGAAGGAAACAGCAAGAAATGGCAATGACTTGTAGAACAAATGAGTTCGTTATAATCAGCCTTAACGCTACTACACTGTCATCAAAGAAGCCAGGAGGTAATAAAGCCGGACCTGCTAGATCTGGAGGAGCGGTGCCAACCCGCCCAGCACGACTTGCAGAACGTGAACGGCTACTTTTAGACGGAGACTTTTTCTTCCTCCATGCAAATGAATTCTCTTCATCTTTCAAGCAGAGTCCTAGACCCTTGATTAGCGAAGAAGTATTAATTTGAATAGATGCGAATAGAATACTTTTCCAGGATGCAGTCTGTCAAAGTAAAAATTGCATTGTGTGGTCCCTGTTATCATCGTTCACGATGACCTCCGTAGAGACGAGATTACTACAATTATACATCTGAACAAGTACATTTACATTTTGTGTACTACAGCCTTAACTACGCTAGTACTAGAGGCGGCACTTCCGCGCCCGCGAATCGCACGCTCGATAAAAGCCTGGCGAGCAGCTGCTGGCGAAATAGTTCCTGGTGGGAAGCGAGGATCTTGCGTTGTGCTCGTGCCAGCTGCTTTTGGTGTACTGCTGGTTAGTGGAGGAACACGAGATACGGGATCTTCTGGAGCGTCAACACGTGCTGGATTGGCATGCCAGGACTCCTGTGCTGCATAAAGCAAGGACGACTGGTCTTCGGCAGGTCGTGGTGAACTGCTAGAGGATTCGTCTCGGTGTCGCAATAATTAGTTCCGGACAGTGTCTCTGCGTGTACTTGCTAGCACAGTAGAAGTGGTGAACCGTATAGAAGGAGCTTGGCTGCGAATCGTAGGCGTCCGATAATAATCACCTAAGCGTATCTCCATTTGCTCAGTCAACTACTATGGGCAACATCAAACAGTTGTTCCTGAACTGACGCGGGGGAAATCACGCCAATCATAACGAGATCCACAAGCTCGAGCCTCCTTCTATCTTGTTTGTGAACGCTAGGACTGCTTATCTTCACCCTCAAGGTGATGCGTTTTTTATATAATTCCCGGCCTGTTTCATTGGTGCAAACCGTGAAGGTTTTGCATGATTCTCATGCGGTTGCAAAGTTGTCAAATGTGTGGACCTTCTTGCTCACAAGTATCACGATAAGGATCCACATCATTAGCATGGTACTCCAGTGGTGTGATCTTTGTCACTATGGGATTGCAATGATTTCCATCATGTTCATGCTGTTGATGATCTTCATACTCATGAAAGTACTAGGATCATCATCTTCATCTTCTTCATCTTCTTATTTTATACATTTGCAGAACAGGGGAACTGGATCATATCTAAATAGTAGAAACTAAGTATTTTAATATAGTACCTTGTAGTTGTGCCCATCTGTAGCACCCACCTTTATATACAGCTGCATAGATAAAGATAAGATTACATTTATCGTTTTTTCTGAACTAAAAATAAAATACTAGAGGTACAGCGACCGTTGCTTAAACACCATGCACAGCTGGCGAAGTTGGGGCTTCAGAGGTGCCCCCTTGTACCAAACCAGAAGCAGAGGAGCTAATATCCTGATGTGTTTCCTGTGTGTCCCGGAGACGTTCCTCTTCCCGGTGATTTCCCTCCTCGTCATCAAAATTAGCGGTAGTTTCTCACTAAAAATTGTGGTTGAGTGAGTAAGTGGCTTGCTGTCATACAACCCTCTGATTTTCTTACTTAAATTTATAACAGAAGCAGACTAGTATTTTTGAACACTCACTCCATGGTTTGATTTTTGGTTTTTACCTTAGAAAAGGTATGCATGTTGCAATCACATTCGTGCGAAAAACTTCTTTCTCACGGCCTTGAGCACTACCGTGGTTGAGTGCGTGGCTTGCTGTCTTTTCCTTTGACTATTCCTGTATTCCCTTTAAAAAAACAAAGAGAAGGCACTTCACGGAGGATTATTTTATTCCTAGCACACCAGATAGTGAGATGATGCTCGCCTTAACGAAAGCTCTTTGCAACGCGCGCGCGTATTCTTCGTCTGTTTGAATCTGGGCTTCCAAAGTGCCATCACGCTGGAAAACCACATGATCATGTCCTGTGGGGAAGTCTGTGCCTCCTTCTACATCAACATGAGGCACCATCTGAAAAGTATCCTCCTCGTCAACGTCGGCACCCCCACGTCTACTTTTAGACCTCACCCTAATCCATCTCCAAGTCCATCCCGAGACTGTTTCTTTACCCTTGAAAACGTCGCTAAGGTGGTGCTTCCGAAGATGGATTAGGGGACGAAGCCGTAATACTTGCTTGCCTTGTGGTCTGATGCGTAAGATCTGCTTCTTCGATCCTTGTTACTTCTGTTCTTGGATCTTCTTCTGATGAAAAAGATAGTCCGTGGAGTTGTTCCGCCACTCTCGTGGAACTCCACGTGGCTGCCCACGCGGAGGCTTCTTCTACTGCATCTTCCTCAGGGGTGCTGAAGACATGGTCTTCATGATCCTCATCACTTCTTCTGGGGTCTTCTTCGTGGTCTTGTTCCTCTTCCTCGCTCCTCGCATCTTGTTCTAGGTCTTGATCCTCTTCCTCGCTCCTCGCATCTTGTTCTAGGTCTTGATCGTCTTCCTCGCTCCTCGCATCTTGTTCTAGGTCTTGATCGTCTTCCTCGCTCCTCGCATCTTGTTCTAGGTCTTGATCGTCTTCCTCGCTCCTCGCATCTTGTTCTAGGTCTTGTTCCTCTTCCTCGCTCCTCGCATCTTGTTCTAGGTCTTGATCGTCTTCCTCGCTCCTCGCATCTTGTTCTACGTCTTGTTCCTCTTCCTCGCTCCTCGCATCTTGTTCTAGGTCTTGTTCCTCTTGTTCCCGCTCGCGACGGCTGCTCGCAACATCTCCACTTATTTCAGAAACCGAATCTCCTCCTCCCTCTTGCTGTTCACCGCTGACCAGGCTCCCCGATTCTTCTTCACTCTGTATCCTCAAAGCCATCAAGCGATCACTCTCGATTTGCGCCTGTCGTTCGCTACTCGGTATAATTAGAAGAGTTTACATGAACAAGAACTACCGAGCATTAGGAGGCATTGAAGAAGAACCAAGAACGAAGATCCTTACCTTTTTTAGGAGCTGCTTCATCTACTGATAAGCAGAAGATACTGATACGCATCATGATATAGATGAGATTCTTCTATTCTTGGAGGCTCGTTGTCTTTGTTAGCTGTAGAAACGTAAAAAATAGAGCAATACTATCCAACCGAAACGGCGAAGATGTTCCAGAACTAGGATTCGCGAAAACTGGGTTTTTCTAAATATTTCATCAGTCTGATTTCACCTTGTACACCCATAGAGAAGTGCGACGACGAGCAAGATCCAAGAAAGGGCCACTCGTTGTTCTACGAGGACCATGAGGGTCGCGGAAAAGATCTGCCACTACCTCTCTTGAGAAGCGCCTACCTGGTGCCCTTTTTAGATGATTTTGTGTCCCGAAGGTATACGTATTCACTTTTTGCTTATATTGAAAGTCATGTGGTCTTGAGTGTCAGTCTCTTAATAATTGTAGGATCAGCTCTCAAGAGATACATGATTAACATTGCCTCGTCTACCTTGCAGTTGCTACTATTTCGGTAGTGATCATACTAGATGCACTGGATTTCTACATTTAGAAAGACTAAGCTAGTACTTGCCATGTTAGTACTCTAATGTGGCTGATAAAGCTTTCTTAGCTACACAAACGACAAGAAGCGAGAAAAAAAACGGTCCTACTTACTAGAATTCTTCGAAGCGAAAGCTGCACGGTGAGAAGGGTCAACATCAAAGATGCTTCTCAAAACAAAACAATTGTACAAAGAGTGGAGCTTAATACACGGTTTGGCTCAGAAGACCGCAAGGGTCGGACTTGCCGTGCACCCCGTCTGCGACCTGCACGTAAAATACGATCTCAATATTAGAGGACACTTCTGACTAAATAATCTTAATCCATCTAGGCCAGGTGGCCGTGGTCGATCCGTTCAGGTTTATCGTAGGGGTAGGATGCGAGAATGTGAGCCTAGGTAAAAAAAAAGGCCACTGGCTCTTGGTGAATGAATTTGAATGAAAATGAATTCGCCTAGCACGAAGTAAATAGGCATTGCCCTGTCAGTCAGACCACCTACTTTCAGGTGCTCTTTAAAAATTCTTTGGTTGAGTGCACTTTTCGCACCAAAACGGAACCAAGATGTTGCTTGCGGAAGATAAATTATTTTCCCAGGCCTTAAAACAGATCCTCTCCCGGCGGTAGACGTAGATCTCCTCCCATACTATTAGACCTTACTTATATTCCTCTCGAAGAGCATCTTAAACGTGTTCTCCCCTTGAAAACGTGGCAAAGATGCTTCTCCAGATGAATTACGGGAAGCCTTAATACTAGATTCGAAAACCGTGGTTTCTGCCGATCGTCTTCCTGCACTAAGGCCCACTGGCTCGCGAATCCGTCGAGAATGTTCCGAGCGAAAATTTCGCACATTGCGGACGATATTTCCCCTCTGATCGTAGACTAACCAACCACGGCGAATTAGAGGACCTATATTTCAAAATTTGAGGTCTTCAAAGGACCTCTTTGTCAACATCCCGGACGAGGACCTATTTCAAAATTTGAGGTCTTCAAAGGACCTCTTTGTCAACATCCCGGACGAGGAGTGCAAGGACAGATAGATAGACTCCTCGTTGAACCGATGTCACAGACCGAAGGAGAGGCTGCTTCTACAGAGAAGGGCCAAGATGCCTCTCAAGATGGACCGCTTCCAGAACAAGTCGTAATAGAAGATGTTCAATCTCCGTCTTCAGATCCTCACAAGGCTCCCATTGGGAGCTGTCGTGCCAGTTGGCACCTGCCTCTCCAACGAATTCCTCCAGATTGCAGCTCAAAATCGGATGCTTGCATTAGAGCTACCGCGCTAGCATCCTCCCTGGGTAGAGGCATATCTTCGTCCTTGGGTTCTTCTTTTTTAAGTTTAATAGAATAAGAGCAACTACTAACCCTATAATTCTTGAAGTCGTGATGTTGTGCAAGAAGGTTCTCAAGTAGAAAAAAAAGAAACAGGGATGATGCATGCTGCGGATGATTGAGCGGTAGGTAGCCTTAATTGAAGTGTCTGGCAGCAGCATAGCCTCTGATAGACTCCTCTGTCCAGCAGTGCACGTCGATGAAGTTACTCGGCGCCGCTCGGTGCTTGAACCGCTTCGGCACTTCAGGCAAATCGCGTCCCTCATCCAGTTTTTGTTAGAAGACGACCAGCACGACCAGTACTAAGGCCCACGGAAGACGTTTTCAGTGAGAGTAGTCAAGAGTGGGGGGATATTCAGTTATAGAGGATGATCCACGACCAGAACCACTATTAGTTCTTGTCGATTAGTTCTGTTATGGCAGCTTCTGTTCTAGCAGCTTAACTCATTCAGGTGCCCCTCCACCCAGGCCAACATTGATTAAGCCTCTGGGCAGTATTCAACCAGCTAACGGGTTCTAAAGTTTCAAGCACAATGGCTTCGGATACACTGTGGGACCTCGGGGCATCAGTCTACCGGGACGTCAGATAAGGCTTAAGCAGACAAGAAAAACAATAGGCCTTAACTCTTCAACAATTCCAATCCCAGAGGGTCGTCTTCGGTCGGTTCCCAGTAGCTAGCGTAGAGCATGATTGGGTCATGAAAACTCGAATAGACCAATTTTTCTTAGACTCGGCTTTAATCCATCATCTCGACCCCTTTCCCCTTGTATTTCATGAGAATACAAGGCAAAAGGGGACCAATATGCCGAGAAAGATGGATAAAAGCAAACCATAATTTTCGTCACTGACACCCTGTCTCCGCACTGCATCTTCGTCCACGTGACCCTGTCTATTTGGTATGAAAGGAGGAGAGCTTTCAGAAGCTTATAGTTGCGGTTGTACTGCGGGGGGGAAACAATAGTCAGTCAGGAGGTGGAGGGCAGAAGGTGGAAGTCAATAAAGTTATTATTTTCCAATTCAATGAATTATACTTCAACAAGAACTAGCAGTTAGAACTGTAGTTGTGTCCTTGTATTTTCACTGTCACCATGCCATCTCGTTTTCTTTAGCATGAAAATGAAGATCCATCATAATTCTGATTTTGTTTCTCTCCGCATCTCTTTGTATGACTTCGGCAGGCGAGAGACCTCCCTCGAAGTTCTTATACATGAAGAAGCCCCGCTGATGCACAGGGAATACTTCTTCAGGTGCGTTGTTAACAGCATAAGCTGTTGCTAATCGTGACATCAAGAGACAGGCTCTTGCTCGACCACATGCAGCTCTTTTTCCCTGTCTGCTAGGAGGAATGAGACCCGACATCTTGTTGCTTGATGATCTTGTTGTGGTATCTTCAATGTATGTACAGCACCAGCTGAACAAATGAGTGCTCGATATGCCCCAAAAGATTAGGGATCAAGAACTACACAATAAGAATAACGTTCGCTTAATCAAATACAAATCAAAATTATCATTGTTTCAAGAAAGCATGACTCAGCAACACTTTTTTGACAAGTTCTCACTATCTTTTCGACAGTATAGCAATACTACCTATGTCTTGAAGAAACAAGAGAAATGCACGGCTAAATGACCTTGATGGGCACATGCTGAGGCTGGTTTCCAGCTACTAGCGAGCTGCTGCTACTACTGCTACAACTACTGCAACTACTAACTACTACTACAACTATTGCACAAAGAACGCCAAATCCGTTGGCTAGAGACACCAATCACAACCGCATACTACCATCCTAAGCACGTAGTTGTCTCCAACATAATAAAACGCTCTCGCCGCGTGGCGAATAGTATCAGACATATGATAGATACAGCGCTTTTTCCACTACAGTTCTAAAATATCATTTACTTGCCGCTCACGTATAATTGTACTCGTTGGAGGTTAACGTTAGCTGTATCAAATCTCCCTCTTGCAACTATGGCCACCTTTGATGGTTGGCGGAATATCAAAGATTCAGATCATCGACTTTTACCTTCTTCATGATCGACGACCAAAACGCTGCGAACTGTTGAAGCACTTTTTTTTGGGACAGGGAAGACGCTGCAGATGCAGAAAACCGATATGTCATAAAATTAGAGCTACCAACGTGCATCCCTGAGACCATCCCTGGACCCATTTCCCTCTTGAAAATGAGGCAGGGATGATGTTGAGGATGCTCGCTTGGTAGCCTTAATAAAAAGAATATACAAGACAGAAGAAAGAATTGATCTAGACCTTCTATGATCCTAGAATAGTCTGACCTCAAGAACCTCCAAGGAGCCTTCATGCTTGATGTCCGTCGCAATATCAACAGATGAGAGGACGCTGCACGATGTGATCTCCGTACAATGCTACACTTGCTTCACTACCTTGGATCATGGAGGACAGCTTGATCCGTCTCCGTGCTACTCCACTAGCACGATGCTCCGTCGTATGTACAAATGAATCCTTGAAGCAAGCTCCTTTTGTGCGAGCTATCTTAAGCTCGAATCGTTCGCAATTACTCGGTGTCGATTTCAGAAAGTCTTTTTGCATGCACCCTACATTTTCGCCGGAATTTTTTGTCAGCATGGTCTGATGTATCGCGGAGGTACAAGATAGCCGTGTCTACGTGAGCAAAAACCTCTATGTCGTAATTGATGTGAGCAAAAAACGTTATACACGTCGTTCATGTAGTTCATGTCGTGTCTTACCGTGATGAAAAAATTTACCCCGTGGGAGACGTAAAGACTCCTGTACCGACCTAACTGAACTCGTCATCAATCTTCTTCTATTTCCAACAGCCCTTTCACAAAGACCAAGTTTGCCGTTCTTTGAGCTGCAGCCTTTTCATCAAGAAAAACAGCTCGAAAGCGGCCTATCCCAGTCTTCGTCAAGAAGAGTCTCCTGTGAGGCGCGTGGAGCGTCCATATTCGACCAAGCGCAACGCCAAGGGCCTCTGTCTGTGAAAGGAGAGAGACGAGAGAGAGAGAGAGAGAGAGAGGTATTGTTAGCTTTGTATACCTATAGAGTTAGCGTTGGCACGGTCATGATAGATAAGAATCTCCAGGAAATGACCAAGCCGAGAACGAGGAATAGTCCAAGTCCACAAGGCAGCCTTACTTCTGGAATCAAAAAAAAGGACTACCCTTATCCCACTAGTTTTTGTACTCAAATGAATGACGTGATTCATTTCTTCACAAAAAAAAAGTGAATTTTGTTCACATTTGTTAAAAAATACCTGTGGTCCTCCGAAGTTCTGTTGTGAGAGATGCGACGTGAAAAAAGTCGGCACCGGCAAAACGCGAAGAATACGCACAAGTTCGAAAAGAAATTTCTCACGTGCAGCAAGAACCGGAGGTGGGTTTTTACGCGAGTCACCAGCGTCGTGGTATTCAGAGGTGCTTCAGACGTCCCATAAAAAATGACTACAGTCACGTAACAATCAGGCGCGAGGAGACAGGTCTTCCACTATCAAATCCATAACCATAACCACATAGCAGTATTAAAACAAGTACTGAGTGTTGAACTACAAGGATTTCAACTTCTTCTACACTGTCACGACTGAAATTGAATTCCATAACCCTTGCTCCGCCGAATCCTTCCGGGATAACGCCTGCTGTTCTGCGGCTAGAAGCACACTGAAACCATCAAAAATGATAAGACCAAGCGATGGACGCACGGGTACAGGTCCTTCATGTGATGGTACCACTAGCCCACCTCCTGCATTATCGCTGAATTCGCGTTCGCGTTTTTGACCACGCTTTTCGTTCTCTAACTGTTCCGTCAAGACGTTTTCTAAGACTGCTCTGGCTTCTTTCAACGAGAAGACCTCGACCACTTTGATACGGCGAGCTGCGTCTCTCGCATTGTTCGGTTGTTTCAGTTTCAAAATCTGCGCACATCTTGGACCCCATCCAGTACTAGCTGTCAGCACCAAGACGATGTCTTGTCGCGTGTCGGGATTTCATGAACAAGTAGCCTTACGAGGTTTTTAAGATTCTGGTTTGCATGAAAGAATGATCAGAAACTATATCTAACTGACGAAGTCGGAGTAAGTTGTTAAAGTCAACTTCTTTGGTATACTTCTACACTTATTCAAAGAGTATTCCTCAATCCGAAATCTTAACTGCTGTTGGCGAGTAATAAAGTTTACCGCGATTTGCATAAGGAGCTGCGATTTGCCTACTCCGGCCGCTCCCGCCACCTCTGTCAAGCAACCTCGAGTCCTCAAAGTACTGTCAAGCAACCTGGATCCAGGACATAATTGGTTGTAACAAGAGTAGCCTTTCGGCAAAAAGTGCGCAAGAAGTGGACAGTCATGGTGCACACGTTGTATTCGTGAGGGTAGCTCCCGCTGCTGTTCGTCATGAGCTTTCTTGAAAGCACGCCTTCGACGACGAAAGGCAGAGGCAAAGGATTCCACATGGGGCGGCGGGTAGGAGGTCATCGTCATAAACAGGAGATGATAGAGAAGATAGTGTTTGTCTTCGTATGTATGTATATGTTATGCCAAAAACTCCTTTACTACAGGAATAATGTCCTGTCACATGATGAAACTTCTCGTACTAATTCTCGATAATTTCCATGATAAAACACTAGTTGCTCCTTAGCCGTACCCAAATCATAGTACATGGTGGAAACCGATCATAGATCCTGCCGACCGATTTCGGGAGTGCATAAGAACAGGCTTTTCTCGTTGCAGTTAAGCTTGAAGCTTGCCTTTCTAATACATCTACATCATTCAAATTCAAGCTCAAACCGCTAGCCCTGTATCCCCTTGCGGGCGTAGTCTACATAATGATTTTTTTTGCGTTACGACTATATGCTGCCCCCCTTTTAATCAACTACGCACTTCGCTCGTATAAACAATTAAACGACTAAGTACATACTGGGGGAGCATAAGGCCGTACATTCGGCCAGCAATTCTACACCTATCGGAAGAGAACGAACGTCGATGCGCCGGCCAGATGTCGCACGCGAGGCACGAGTCATCCAATTTACGGCACCGAGGGCGACCTAAGCCTAGTCTTGTTTACGGACTGCGGGAAAAGTCTAAGAAGCTGAGAAAGATGCTCGATCCGCTCTTACTGATTGGCTCGGCACTTGTTTCCGCAATTTAACGTTCGGAACGCAGCTCCAACCAGAACGCCAAAAGAACAGAAGGCGGACCGGGGTGGGGTGGCGCCCGGATACCATTCATCCACTTTTTCAGTACCAGTGCAATTTGCTAAACCTCCCATAGTAGAGGCGGGACGCCACCCGTGCGAACATGCGTCGCTCTGTGCCACCCATCTTGAGCAGGCTTACTGCTCTCTACGTCTAGCTACACTAAGTAGGGGTCTTATGTTAAACTATTGCGCCAGCCGTCGGCTCTTCAACTTCTGCTCCGGTAGCTCCATTCGAAGCGGCCCAGGGTATACATGTTTTGTTGTGAACAACTACGAAGTTAAGAATATATAAGAATCACCGAGGAAATGAAGATCGAAGAATTAGCAAATATCGCTACGCCTCCTAGATCTCCACTCACACCACTGCAGCCAGAGGTCTATCATCCGCATAATGTTCCCCCCGACAGGGTGCGTTCATAAAGAGCGCCGCACTTTGGAGACGCCAAGAGCGAGAAAACACCTACAACACGACGCGCAGATGCGTGGTCGGTCAGGAGCAAAGCCGTCTATTCAAGGGCGGGACTGGGGCTAGGGTAGAGAGCGGGCTTCGCTACCAGCGGTTCACCGTAAGAAGAAGCTCGGGGAAAAGTCCGCTTTCTCTCAAAAAATGAGCCTAGCAGAGAACACCTATACCCTTGCGGGATGACTCTTGGGGGGCGCTACGCTTTCCTTCTGCGCATGCGTGTTTTTTTTTTGCGGTCGGTACTCAGATTTCTCCGGCATAGTATTCAGGATGGTACTACGGTATTCTCGTTGGGAATCAGGATTCTCATGTGCGTGACCTAGGCCCTGACTCGCTGTGATGGTTCAACAGAGTGAATGCTTCCACCCACGCGATTGAAAGCTAATCTAACTCGACACTCCTCTGCTTCTTTGGCTACATATGTAGGAATCTCGCGAACGGCGCGCACGGGTCCCCCATATCTGTTAGCACGTACCCGCATTGGGGCCGTTCATGTGGTTCATGCAAAGAGCATGCGCCTTGCCAGACTTGAAACTGTTGGACGCAGTCCCTGAAGCGGCGAGAATTCCGATACTACTTACAGCCTGGCACTACCCTTCCCCGTCGTTTCCCGCCTACAACATTTGTTTAGTAAATCAATCAGAAAGATTATCTGTTATTTCGATTTTACCTACTTACTCACTCTCTTAGAATAGTACAAGCTGCATACGCTGTTCCCTGTGCCTACAAAGGTAAGGTCTGGCCAATCATTTTTTATCATTGGAAAATAGCACATACAATACTCAGCAGGAAATGCAAACTGACGAAAATATACAAGCTTAATCGTAAACACACCTATCTCTCTACAGAAATTAGCACTTCATAAACGTAAACACAACTCAAAACTCAGAAATAACTCAGAGTTCCCCTATAAACGTTAAAGACAGTGTGAATCTATGCAGTTCCTTCAAGAAAGCTTGCTAGACTGTAGGAATTATAAGTTGTTTCCCCGATGTAAGAGTAGTATCATTCGTATTTCCTCAGATGTAAGGAATTTCGAAAAATAAGTCTGTGCGTGCAGATTGCCAAGAGGGGAAAGAAGATTATGCACAGCATAGTGCCAGTACCAAACGATAAGCATAACAGTCTAAAACAAAAAAATTTTCGTACTGCATCCGAGTCCGCTAGAACAAGTGCGCCTTCAGATGTACTACCTTTATCGATACTAGAGCTATTTCATCAAACGCGCAAGCACACTCCGTTCTTGCTCCGACGCTCCTTTCAAAATTTGGGCTAACAACCGATGCTCTTCTGCAGTGACTTGTGATGTTGCAACCTCACTGCTCGGTCTTGACTTTTGCTCCAATTTCCATGGCTTCTTCAGCAGATAAGCCCACAAGTCTGCATCTTGATCTGGGACACGTAACCAACGAGTCGCGGAGCCAAACGCATCAGAGGTTTGTTGAGGATCGGAGCTTTGAATTTCGCTGAGGTCCAGTTCAGGTTCGAGATAATCCAAGACCAGTTTTGGGGATTAGAGGTGAAGGTCTCCTGCACGAGGATGAGCCAGAGCATGTCCATGTCATTATCAAACCATAAAACTTACTTAGGTCGAACAACAACGAACAGCCATTTTCATAGTGGTCATGTACTACGTACATGATACAAAAGTATCGTCGAAAAAAACGATCACTTCAGATTTCAATGCAACTCTGTAATTACTGCTCCTACTTAACAATAGGCGCATCTGATTAGTAGGGTCGAAGCTAGGGAGGCAAATGTATGTATTATCAGACTTCCAACATAATGTCCATCCTGATGCCACGCCTGGCCGCCCAAACTCCGCACCCAGCCAGAATAACCTGGCATTACGGTCATAAAAAACGCGTCATACTCCATCGGCACGATTCTGTAATCGACTCCTGCTCCACCTCCTCCACTTGCTAAAGATGATGACGGTGCATAATGTTGACCTAGTGGCCCCACGCCACTTGAGTAGCCTCGTGTTGAAAAAAACTGCTGAGAATAATGACCCTCGTCCGCCATCAGGTGACGTTCCTCTAGTATTAGAGCAGAGGCTACGGAATTACATTCCTCAGAACATCCTTGGCTAGTACTGGGAAAAGAGCTAGGGACGGTAGTGACACCCCCTTTATTAGAGACTAGTGACGTCCCTTTATTAGAGACTAGGAGACTAGTGACGTCCCTTTATTAGAGCAGTGTCCACCCTTAACTCGTCTAGCTCATGTTCAGAAGACATGACTATTTCATCCAGAACAATCGCTTTCGGGCCCAAACGCGCATTCCTACAGGATGGCTTCACTCCCTCTTCGTTCCCACATCGAAGAATCTTATTCAAGGAGCTGCTTTCTTGTCGCAGACCTACGGCATGTTCAGGCATTTCCGATTCCACGGGATGGTTAGTGTCGCCTCCAAAAATCCGTAAGATGACGCCCTCTTGTGCCCGAGCAAGAAGAGACTTCGTCATATCCTTCTTTAGCTTTGCCGGATTTGATGTGCATTAGAGCATGTCCATTGATATGTTGTAGAAACTTGGATTATCTACTTTGCGGTAATATCTTTCGAGATATACACTTTTGGCAGTTTGTACCAGCTAAAAAGACGACTCACAGTCTTGCTGATAATAGAGAGAGAGAGTTGTCCAGTCGCGAGATTGATTAGAACGAATGACGGAGTCAACTTCTTGTTCAATTTCCGTAATTGAAATCCAAATGCATCGTCCGCAGCTCAACTAGACCACCAACCGCGCTAGGCATTGTATTCCCAAGCAGTTCGAAAAAGCTCCATGCTGTATTTCCGTCGCAGGTCAGCGTCGCCCCAAGATCCACAGGCTTGAGCGTGTTTCGGTTGTATACAATAGCCAGATGCTTCTTGCAGGGTGGCTGCGCGGAAATGATCGAATAACCCGCACTGCTCAACGCTCTATCCCACAACTGCAACGTCGTCCAATCCATGCGGGAGTCGTACCTGATGAAAATGAATGCATGGGAATTTTACTAATACAGAACAACATGGATGTAAAGGAGAATATCAATAAAATAGCCACAATCATTTCAAAACTTGTTTTAGTTTTTACTTGTCAAACCATAAAACTGCCTAAGAGTGTCCAAAAAAAAAAGATAAAAATCTACTTACAGACACAGACCCAAACAAGATGAAACAATAGGAATTGGAATACGTCCCCTTCTCGAAAGCGAAGTCAACTTCTTGTAGCAAGGCAAAGTCTAGCTCTTTCTCTTGCATGTATTTGATCAAATATTCCACTTGCGCTTTCTTCCGTGCTTGATAAGCCTTCGGCGGTTCTTTTTCGTCTAATCCCAATGGAAAAGGTGCTGTCAGTATGTCCGCAGCGCCGTAAGAGAAGGTGTCCTTATCTGCGCTGTCCCATCTGTGGCTCCATCGGACCGTGTCCATGAGGTTCCAGGTCATACCGGAAATTTTCCGTTCGAACAATATTGGATGAAGACTTGGACCTGCTGACTCCATGCCGAACATTGGCTGACTGGGAGTATAATTCTCATACCATTGTATCGTAGCCTCAATTGCACGAATGGCATGATCAGAAAGGAACTGGTCCGTTTGCCTCTGAGCTCCTGCAGGCTTGGATCCACTGCCAGTTGCTAGAGTAGACACAGAAGATGAAGGCTCCCACTGCCAGTTGCTGATCGGTGTCAGTCCTTTTGTAGGTACCACACGAAAAGCGTCCTGAGAAAACATCTGTTCGAGTGCCTGTATTTGTTGAGCCTCAGAGATTTCGGATCCGGAAAGAGTTGCTTGCGAGGTCGACGACCACCCATGCGAAGAACCACTACTATGACTGGATGCAGCCGCAGCAGTACTGGATGCGGCGGCAAAGTTACCTCCAAATGGTTGTGCAAGCTGGAACGGCTGAGTCTTAGACGGCTCCTTCGGAACCATGACCATCTGTTGCGGTGGTTCTCCCCATGGTCCCCCTTGCTTCTTCTTGGTGTTGGGCTCCTTTGGCTCAACTACCGGTCTAGTCGGATTATCCAAGAACTCCGCCAAACGTAGCGGCCGCGGCTGCTCTCGCAAACGTGCCTGCTCTGTCAGGACTTCGTCCCGCATCGAACGCAATTTGCGGAGCACCTCGGGTCCCTCCGTCTCCACATATTTCAAGATCGCAGGATACATGCCACTCTGGTCTTTCGGCCCCATCGTGATCAATTCGTCAGCATAGCGCGTTGCTAGCAATTGCGTCTGCTTCTTTGCTTCTGCATCTATCAAAGCATCTTGCATCTTTGGGTCTAAAGGATGTGCTTCACACTTTCTCTTCACAAAATTTCGTAGTTCTTCATCTGATGCAGGCTTCTGCTCTTCAGCATCTTCAGCGGCTTGTTGTGTTGATTCCATCTCGTCCCCTGCCAAGTGATTCTGCTCTGCCGAAACAACATCCCGCAACATTGACTCCAACTTAATCTTTACCTTAGCTGCCTCACCCCTTTTCCAGCTCAAAGCCTTCTGAACGGCGGGTTCCTTCAGCTTCGGTGCACTGGGTCCTGGCTCCCTGCCTTGCCGGTGTGCTTTCGGGCCAACATTGCCAGCACCCTGCCCGTTGCCGCCGGCCTTTCCAGCAGCCATTCCCTGGCCTTTACCCCCACCTTTTCCACCTTGGTCTCCACCGTTTCCACGTCGTCCTCTTGCAGGCGGCTGAACACTTTGTCGAGCAATGTCTAGCTTTGCAGGGCGTACCGCAAGTACGGGGTCGCTGGCCTGCTTCCAAAGGACCGACACTAGAACGGCCTTCCCAACACGTTTGCCCAATATTGAATCCATTTTTCGTGTTTTGATGAAGGTTGACATGGTTCTGAAGCATAAAATGTCGAACTACTTAAGTAATATCAAAGTGAAGTCAATCTTCTGATCCTAAACACGACGAAGAAAGGAATTCTTGTTTGTGCTCTTGAAAGAGTGAAGTCAAGATGATTCGCAGATGGGGGACTAAAGTGGAATTCTCAGGTTCAGGTATGGACTATGGCGATAGAGTCAGTCCTATATTAAGGGAGGAACAAAATAAGGAATAAAAATGGATCAATGAAAAGTCTTCTCGAGACAGATCATAATCATGAACAGAACTCATTCATTCATTCACTCAGCATTGCGTCGACTCCACGGTGTGGGCCTTGTTAACTCGAAGCTTTATCAACACAACAGCAAAGCCAGTGAAAAAATGAGAAGCGAAGATAAATATTATCTCACAGTGACAGACGTGTACTGAGAAATCGTCCACGCTATGGTGGGAACGCAACTTCAAGAGAGTCGTCTCTCACAAACAGAATTGTCTCTCCCTATCAGAATTACAGTCATCTTTCAACTCAGTCACATTATTCTAGAATCCCTCGCATAGAAACATGATATCCGAAATCTCGAAAACTGATTCTTGAGCTTCTTGACAGAGTTGAGCTTCTAGATTCTTGAGCTTCTTGGTCATATTCATGCGATGTCAATGCTACTACCCACTCACCTGGCGTATGAGCGGCAGCCATCTCCTAGTCACTATCTGATCGGTACCCCTTTTTTAAACTCCGGATTAGACCTGGTCTTATTTTTCAAAGTGCACATCACAAAGAGCGCGTTTTTACAGTGATAAGTCATATAATATATAATTTGCATTTAACGTACTGGGTTGACAATGAGAAAAAACTTTAGCGACTCTAGTACTTGTTGTTATCAAATTTAAAGTAAATCCTTTCTTGCGATTTCAGAGCGTGCAACTTGCACTTCTTGTTCCATAGAGAGCAGTGCAGCTAGTCTGGCATTATGCAGGAAACAAGAGGAAGGATGACAGGAGTAATGTAATAAACTTAGACATGATGATGTACACTATAGTTGCCAGGCACATCTGCTTCCAGTGCCACAAAAATGCTCAGTGCAAACCCGAGGAGCTAGATATTCTCGACTACTAACTACCTAACACAATGATGAAAAAACTTAACCATCATATAAAAAAAACTAAGTGTAAGTTGTGACAAAAGAGAGCATGTGTCAGTTAAGACCATTCCCAAAGGCAAGACAATGGTGAAAAACAATAAATATGTGACGCACAACCACAAGCGGACTTAATCTATTTGGAAGATCTATTTACTCTATCTATGATGAGACCTCTGAATATAAGCTCAAGATCGTCGTGCTATCTCGGAACAATACTTGAGGCTAGGTACTCAAAAAATCACATGCGTGTTACGGGGTGCGATGCTGCTGAGTATCGCTGCCATAGATCTCGACGAGTCCGTAGTAAGATCTCGTCTTCATCCTCGTCCGCGGGAGGGGCTCCACCTCTTTCTGTCTTAGAAGACTCCTTACAGACTGCTACATAAATACATGGCTACAAAGCAGCAACATCTTCTTGGATGTAGAATACCGATCTGCTCTATGAGAAGGAATGATGCAGTTGATCATAACTAGTCCATTTCCGTCTTCGCAATCCGCATCCATTTGCTCCCCACTTGTTTGGTCCGCTTCGGACTTACAAGGTTCATTTCTTAGCCGCCGTGGCTCCTCTTCGTCTTCATGTTCTTGCAATAGTTTCTCAGTCTCCTCCGGTCTTCTTAGGGCATCTGCTGCTACACAACTTGAAGAAGTAGCGAAGGTTGTACTACTACTATTCAATGCACTTGAAGATTTCATTTCCTTCAAAAGTTGCGCCGGGAACTCTGGCATGGTCACCTTCTTTCCGGCTTTTCGCCTGCCTGTAGAAGTCGAAGTTAATAATTCATCCGCATTCCTCGGAGGAGGAGTGGACCGGGACAAAGGAGCTGTAGTAGTTGGCGTCTGAGGACACCAAAAATCAAAGGCTGCTGACACACAGTTCAGAGACATTGTGGTTCCTCCATGTCGATCTGGTATGTTGGACAATGGATCGTGCTGTCCTCTAGTCAGAGGACCACTACCCAATTGTTGGCCAAAGGTTCCTCCTGGCTGCAACGGATGGTGTGCATCTTGCATATGCTTCTTCTTACTACTACTCATGGCACTATTCTTTCTAGTCACCCCTGCTGCCGCTCTACTAGGTTTGCCACTAATATGTTCATCAAGACCACCACCTCCTAGAATCGGAGGCTTTTTATGAAGATCTGCTTGCTCACGCTTGCCTACGGATCGACCACGAACGGCCGGACCAACAACAACAGGACTATCAGGATACCTCAGCACGTGCGATGTTTCTCGATGATTATTGGGCGGAAAAAATATTCCTGCCCGTCTTCCACTCAAACGAGATACTTCTGCAGAAGTATCTCGTTTATTACCAGAGGATTCATCAGATAATATTTTCGGATATAAACGTTGGTCCAACATCGTCGTACCGCTTCTCTGTGGCTGCTGTCCCAGAATACTAGACGAGCTCGCTCCACCACCTACACTAAGAGTTGTAGTACTGTGTTCTCTTCTGCGTCCGTCTAGAGGAGTTTCCCTGATCTGTATCGATCCTCTTCTCATCAACGGAGATGCAGGAGAACTAGTTCTCTTTTCATTCATGTCTATGCCAGAGCCAGCACTCCTAGCATGACCCTCGCCACAACCGTGATATGGCCTTGTTCTATCCTCATCCTCGTACTGCACGTGTCGTTGTCCTTCTCCCTCGCTACCATCACTGCTAGTGTCCCAGCGCAAACTCTCATCAGCAAGATAACCCTCTTCATCGAGACGGTTTTGGATTCTAGAAGCAGGATCTTTACTCCCACGACCAGTAGATGAAAAAAGCTCCTGCACTAGTTTCGTTCCCTGCTTGGAGTTACTTCTCCCAACTGTTTGCCGCTTCCAAGTGACAGGCTGTCCTCCAGCTTCAAAGGTAGTTCCAATTCCAGAGTAGGATCCGCGCACTATGAGTCGATCGCTTTGGGTACCGCTGGACCCCACAGAATGTTGTACACGTACAAGCGTATCTGTGACATCTGTTCCCAAGCACGGAGCGCAGAGCGCAGTAGGCGGAGGCGGCTTCTTGTTCCAATAATCATCTTCCTTATCCTGTTGATGGTCGTGCTGACGTTCCCGAGGTCGCTGTAAATCTGTGTCTTTATCAACATGTGGCTCAACAAGTACACCTCTAAGCCGATCATGCTCTTCATCTCGCCGCGTTAAGCGTCCATCCTCTCTACAAGAACTCCTTTGAGCCCGTCCTTCTGAGGCAGATGCTCCTGCAGCTTCTCTAGATTTAGAGGTTGCCGAGTTGCATTCTTCAGACCATCTTTGGCCCATTCTCCCCTTGAAAAGGAGCCAAGGATGGCGGTGAGGGATGTAATTCGGAAACCCTTAATAGATGTACTTGTATTCAACGACGCTGTTGCAGCTCCGGTAGTTCCTGCCAACGTTATAGAAGAAGTCTCACAGCAGGAGGAGAGACCTTTTGACACCGTACACATGGACCCAAGCCAGGGGCCTACTAGGTTACCCAAGAGTGCTCCTGTCTCGACAAACCCTCCTCGAGTTTTAGACACCGTCCGCGCTTTCGACGCACTACGGTTAGGAACGGCATCCGAAGAACGACTTAGTCCCGCTGATGGAGCAGGACTAGAAGCCAACACCACGGCAGAACAAATCCATCTTTTTGGACGTGGAGGACCCGCCATCTTTGTTGTTGATGCAGCTTTGTCGTTGATGACTCTGATTCTGTGAGTAGTGCACCCATTCACTCATGTACCCAGTCGAGGGGTTTGCAAAGTCCAGATGCAGTAAGTGCAGCTGCTACCTCTACGAGTACTGCTGAGGTCCTCCTCTGACGAGTCTACTTCATTTACAGCACAATTTTTGGTCCATAAGAATTCACATTCATCTCAATCAATTGCTGACTCTCATCCTATAATAATTAGGGGGTCTGTCCTCCTGTAGACCGCTTTTAGTCTTAACGAACACCATACAGCACAATGCTGGCCCACCAACCGGTTAGCATCCTCGATCAGCATCGAAGGACTTCCTTGTTTTGCTATCGAAGGAAAAAAGCTACAACTCACCCTAAAAAGTTTGAGAAAATCTGCTCAACTGAGTATTCTGATATTGATATGATTATGGCATCAACACCGTTACTAGACCTAATATGATGTAGATATTGATTGAAAGCTCGAGGGGCGAGGAATTCAATAACGAATTCTTTGCACAAGAACGGCCGCCATCTCTACATAGATGGAATACACAGGCAACGACCTATTTCCCGTTCGCATACTCACAAATGATAATCCAAATACTTGCAAAAGGGTGGGCCGTTTGAGCTAGCATAAACGGGCGTTCACTGCAGAGAGAAACCACGAAAAAAACAAGAAGCTTGAAACTAGAAAAACATAAAACTTCTGTACCGGGCCTCGAGTGCAAAGACCCAATTAAATTTCTTCTGTCGTTTCTTTCTGTCATTTCTTCTTGTTCTTACTTCTGTTTCTCATGGTGTTGTCACCATTCTTTTGCTTACTCACAAATGATAACCCAAATACTTGCAAAAGGGCTTGTTGGTTATACCAGGGTCAATTACATGCATGCTCAAGGAAAAAGGAACGATGCTACTGCTCAAGCCAAATGCTTCGTTTAATCGTCAAGCAAAATGCTTGATGATGGTGCTACTTATCTTGTACCGTCTTGTTGGTGACGATCGTGCTAATATATGATCAAGATCAAAAAAAATTTCTAGTCGACGAAGAGAATTCTCTTCTTAATTCAAAAAAACAATCATGCAAAGAGGATTATCATGGTATTACCACATTCATTTATGGGGATTTGGATTTGGAGATTTCAAAAAAAATTCAGAAGTATAGAACACGCATGTCATGTTTATCGTGTGTGTTTGGCAGCACCCACCACGTAGATTGAAAACTCAAAATGGTTTTCCGGCAGCGTCACTTCTCCGTTCGCACGAGACAGACTTGCTATCTCCACAATTGAACATGTACATGCGGTCGCTCAACTATAAAATCCAGTCTCTACAAGTTAAGTAGTTGTAGTAGCGACTCATTGGTTGACAGGGGCATCAATCACGATCTGGTAGTTTCAAAACTTGATTCTTCAGACGACTTTCCTCAGTTTTTGATCTCTCTCAGTTTTTGCATGACAGAGCAGGGCGCTTACTTGGGGAGGATGTGAATCTATTCGGCAGTCTGCCTAAGATTTCCAGGACGCTTACCTATTCAAACTTCTCTACGGACATGCTTATGCCAAGCAGAACTTCCCTCCGGACAGACTAGTCGTGTGAACCACCGCTATCATGTGAGCAAGGAGCGAGCCATTGAACAACTTTTTGTCGCAAAATCCTGCGAGAACCGCAATATTCTACCCCTACCTTCCGAATTCAGAAAAAAAACGACTTAACTAACAAATAATCACATTCCAGGGGTAGTTTTTAAAAGGGGCGCACTCAAGCATAGTGTGTTGTACTGTCTTTGTAGGGTAAAGGGTCTTCATTGCTGTCCTAGAAAGATCCCGTAAACCTGGTAGTCATTATCTGTGCATGCCGTTTCGATAGATCTGATAGCCACCTTCTTTCGCATGTGCTTCTGGAAAATCTTGCGATGATGATTCCAAGCAAACGGTCTTGTTCCAGGAACCACCAACAAGAAATACGTATACTTCTACTACTATACTTCTGCTCAGGTGTAGTTGAGCTAGGGGTATACACCTCTACTCGATGCAGCCAAAACAAGAGAGACGGGATCTATCACAAACCACGGGACAAAAGTTGCATTGGATCATGCGAATAAAAAGTCTCCATCGTTGTTCATCCAGTAGTTACTTTCACTCATTCATTCATTCATTCATTTACCTAGCATGAGGTGTAAGTTCAGTTTTCTTCCACAAAGATTAGGCCCTACTCTTTAGTTGATTGCTTGATTGATGTACCCACTCGCGGTGTGTAGCATCTCTAATTGGTTGCAAGACAGTCCTATATTTCTTCTTTCCTTTGTTGCGTCTGTTTTCGTGCTTCCTCATTATGCAGTTGATGTCCTCCAATAGATAGTACTTCCCCTTCTTTGAAAAATTTGAAAATACCTTAATGTGCTTCTTCAATCTTCTATATTCCTATGACTATGTGATGTACTCCTTACTGGTTCTACAAATAATATCCTGCTTCTCTACACATCAATCGTTCGGCAATATCCCTGAGTGACATTCCGGGGATCGCTTCTGCTTGCCGACGCATCCGCGCAAGAAAAGCAAAACAACCATCTTTAAATGATTGCCTATCTTCTCCTAGTGCCTTTCTTGGTGCATTGCGCAACTTTGCATGCTTAGAACATGAGGACTTTGCGCATTTACCAGGTAAGCCAGAATGAGTTCCTTGTTCTCCTTTGTTGTAGTTGTTGTCTTCTCCTTCCTCTGATCTGGTAAAATCAAGGACCCATTCAGAGTTCTTAAGATCCGCAACAGCACCGGTTCTTCTTTTTCCTCCATCTTCACTGCTTTCTTTTCCTCCTTCACCTTCTTCGATTCCTGCTCCTACTTTTTCAAGATTTCCATCTTGTCTCCGACTTTGATCTTTCCAGCCCAATTCTAAGGCTTGTTTGAAAAAGATTGCGAAATCCTCTCGAAAGCGCTGCTCATCTTCGGCGTAGATTTGGAGCCATTTTCGCCACGTTGGCGTTCGCAATAAGCACATGTCGCTCATCAACATCATCATGTCCTCGTTGTCATTGACATATTGACGGCGGATGCCATGAGGACACACGGGAGAATTTCCTGGAGAAGATAGGTCTTGATCTTGTTCTGTAGAAGAAGTAGTCGATGTGTTGAGCATCTTGAGGAAAGGGCAGCCTTCCTCCGGAGCACTAGTGGCTTGCTGCTTTTCAGCTTCCTCCGTTTTTTCACCTCCAGCAACCTCATGACCCTCGCCCCCGCCGATGCACACACCCTGACTATTGACCAGTCTCCATTTTTCGTTCAGTAAATTTTTGGCCATAGAGTTGTTAAAAACTCCAGGCGTCGCTTGCCACGGTCCCCTATACCCAGAAACTTCCTTATGACAGCGTCCAAAGGCGTGACCACCGCAAATCAGACATACAAGCATCTGATCTGTCAATCCAACGCGGTCGATCAACTTCTTGCGCATCTGACTGGTGATTAAGACTAATTCGGACGCTTCATCCTCGTACTCACCGTATTCGGCATAGGGCAAACGCCCAGGCTGAATTGGTGGCTTCACGACTTTCGTGTTGTTCTCCTCTTGTCCTAACTCTCCCCCACCTGGGAGGACTAAATAACGGCCGTCAGAGTCTAAGCGGCCCACAGCTAGCGGAATCGCCGGGCCACCGGCACACTCAATCGCTACACAGGCTGACACAGCGAACAAATCCGAATAGGATATCCAAGGAAATTTACGCTTCACCATACGGTCTAACCTTCTATGAGCCGCTGGCAATCCCCGATTGTGCGCTTCGGTGCTCTCAGGCGCAAAACGCATTGTTGCTCCTTCCAAACCGCCTGTGTCCGTGTGCTTACAATAAGTAAGACAACTATGCACACAGTTACGGATATACTTGGGTCCCCAAGTACGTTCTGGATCGCCGATCTCGTTCTTGTCATCATACAAGGATTCTCGAATGGCTTCAGCTACGGCAATCCATTTGCGACTTTCACAATCGGAGTCGTCTAGTAAGTGCTGGACACACCGGGTTCCGATTAAGGGGTCTTCTGACCAGGCGTTCTTAGTGGGAGAAGCGGTAGGGTGGTCTTCTGTAGCTTGTGGCCCATCGCTGTTGCTGGGAGAAGCAGCAACTGTTTCATCTAGAGTCAAACATGCAACTGTTTCCTTCTCCTCTACGATGTTCTCGCGTCTTTCGCCGTTCTCTACTACCTTAACACCTTCTTCATGTTTCTCTACTGCTCCTATGTGAAATGGACATCTTCCTGCTGTGCTTGCAGCACCATTTCCTGCCACAGTGAAGCCAGACGAAACACTTCTGGGAGACACGTCACAATCTGAATTTTCTGCTGAAGTTGCCGGAGTTGGCGCAGGGTCCATATTTCCCCATGCCGCCCCTGTTTTCACAAGGGAATCAAGCGAAGTGGATTTCTCCAACATGTTGATTCCTATGTATTATACCTATTCCTGCTAACCTCCACTAGGTCTGAAAACTAGATCGGCCTCTACACACACCGACGTATAACGAAGGAAGACACGTAACGAAATACAAGCAAAGAATCTTCTTCCACAGAGCAGAAGAAAGTAACTCTAATTTCGTTATAGTTCCAACGAACTTCTTTGCAATAAAAACCAAAAAAAGCCAGCACGACTGCAAATAGTGAGACGGAGAGAGTGACACGCGTGAGATCCATGCTGAGATCTATCATGACCTCCAAGACGAGGATGATCTTTCCAGTGCTCACCAGAAGAATTTCAGATCTTCAAAACCATAGGACCCGTAGAACCTCAATGCTACTTGAGATCAAGATGAACTCGTTAGAAGCATCTTCAATATCCAGTCCTTACAGTGTGATCAGATGATCCACGATCACTTCGCAAGATCAGTCTCTGCATGATCGATCCTTGCTACATCAGTCTCTGATGTCCTCACAAGATCAGATCCTTGCTAGATCGATGAACCCGACCAAGTCGAGTCCTTCGTTAGTACTTCAGATTACCTTGTTGTTTTTTGCGAAGATATTGATATTTTTCATACCGTAAGTATGACAAAAGGGATTAATCGCGGGGCAAAGTCTCAAGATGACGGACATGCTTGCATGCAACTTAATGTAACGCACGCAAACAATATCTGATGTGGAAGACAGACTTCAGATAGTGAGATGTGCATAGGTCGTCGTAGAAATAATAAAACCAAAGTCAAACATCAATAGTAACCACTAGTTGTACTACTCGGCCTTACTAAAGCAGGTAAACACTATGAAAGAGCCTCTTAAAGCGTGTTACCGTTCCTACTTATACTCACGTTACAAGCTGATGCATGTTTTTGCGGAGAAAGACGAGGACAGCAAAATCTAGCTTACACATGAAAACCAAACTCTTAGTCAAAATAGCATTTCTTGCAGTCTCAAGTCTCCACACGAGGAGTGCGTAACGTAAAAAGCGCAAAATAAAGCGAGTCCACCTCCATTCCTTCGGAAGGAAAAAGCTCATTTCTTCCCTGGAGACATGTTTCTTCAGCCTCTCCTTCAGTAGAAGGAAAGAGCTCATTTCTTCCGTGCAGACATTTCCTTTTCTTGAATGCTAAGAAAGCCTTAATGTTTCGACGTCTTTTCTTTCGACGAAGTGTTATCCTTGGAGTTGGACGTGATCACCTTACTATAATCGTCTTTTGTAGAAGATTGTAGGAGTGTCGAATCCACACTGCCTACCTTGGCCGTGTTTTCTCGGACCACTGCATCGCCCTCCTGCCCTGAGGAGGGGTGATGCTCCACCATTATGACATTGTAGTCGGGTTGTGCTTGTCCTCTATTTTGTTGCTCCTCGTCGTTACTAGAAGTGCTGTTGCGAGGTAAATAGTTTTCTTCGAGATAAGTAGTGATGTATTAGTGTTTCGATAAGCACTGAGTAGTGTTGTTGTGGAGACAATGAGACGATGAGTAGTGTTGATGTGGATCGGGTTCGGGACTAATGTCATGTGTGCATCTCAAATAGTCATTCTCGACTATCAGCAAGATGAAGCAGATCCTGGGACTAACCTAAGGGTATCCGAAACAATGAGTGTTGTTGGAAGGTATCTAGATCAAGTTGGATTGATTGATGTGCCTGGCAAGAGGCCATTTTTAAGGATTTTGTTTCCTCATCTACTCTGATGAATGTCCCCACCCAAGTTGGGGTAGGTCAGTTACACCTCCGGGGAAACAATCACCTCTACACAGAAGCCTCTGAACCAACAATTCACCGAAGAATACCGACAACGTTCTAGTTGTTACTCAAATTCAACATTACTTTCTCTGCTCATACCGAGATGATAGTGATGATGACGGAACGGAAAGGCCTCAGTGAAAAAAATCATCTGTTTCTTTATCCACAGCAAATTATACGACACGCGTCAATTCTGCAACAGACGGGGGCCAGGAGATGAGTCTTTGTTTAACTCATAGGTGTAGGCGTTTTCATCATCATGGGAGGAGGCCAGAAGAGGACTGATATGAATGCACTCGGGCAAGATCGTGTAGTTGATGCAAGCTATTTGGCAAGAAAACTAGAGCAACTTTGGTCATGTTTCGGTTTGGTGCATCATGTTGTTACGGTCGTAGAATTGGAGAGCATGATCCACATCATCGATACACTCGAGCAAGCCAGTAAATGACTAGACTCATGCACGTGATGTTTTGGATTGATTTCATTAGGCTGCTGACGCTGTTCGCATCCTGGGAGCTTCTGCACGCAAAGAGTAAAGAAAGCGAACGACTTGACTCATATGCGCGACAATTGATAAGTCTTTGTTCATCCGCAACAGTCTTCTGTAGGGCTTTTCTTTTTCATCATCGTTACATTCTCCATATGAATTCAATCTTGTGTCATTCCACCCCATGGATCATGCTCAACTTCGCCGGTTGGCTGAAAACCCATACGATCATACAGACGTCGCGCTGCTGTCATTACAGGTCTTTCATCGCCTATTTTTCCAGCAGTGCAGAGTCTAAGCCGTGCGTGGGTGGGTTTTGGTTGTAGCGGTGTTGTACTGGTACGCGTGGAGGCGTTCTTTCCCATCGTATTCGTAGTGGAGACGTTCGCCTCCGTCGTAAAAGCGTTTTTCTCGCCTCCCTTCTGAACAACACCAACACCTGCAGCTAATTTTGAGGTCTCCGCAATTGCCATTTCAAGCAATTTAGTTCCAATGCCTCCACCTTGTGCTTCAGGAGCCACCGAAAAGGATGACAAAGTCCACACTTGTTCTCTTCTATTCGCTGAGGAGGAACACGGATCTTCTAATCGCTGAGGAGGAAAGATGGCAATGCAACCTAAAATTTTTGAATGCGCACTTTTGTCTTCTGTCGAACCGCCCACATGTGTATCACCTTTCTCCACTTGTTCTCCAATCTTCAAACGCTTCTTTTCATCAGACCTTGTTCAAGCTCACCTTCGGATTCGCACTCCTCCTCACACATTAGACTCCCCTTCGAATTCGCACCCCTCCTCGTGCTGGTCGTTTCGGAGCTTTGTCGTCATAACGGCTATCTACATTAGAGCTACCCCTAATCCATCCCTGTGTATTTGTATATCTGTCGACCCTCTCTTGTACAAGATCCGTGAGGTACACTAACTCCCTATAGAGAAGACGGCCTCAGACATCACTTCAACTCCCTGTTAAAAATCTGATTAAGGAAGTTCGCAAATGAACGCCTTCAAGAAGAAGCGGATTCGCTGATGGGGAATGGTTATTCATCGAAGCCCCTGAACACTATAAGAGGGGCAATAAGATAATTACAGGGTTTGGGGATTTTACTAGAAGTACTGTTTTGCCTATAATAAGATGAACCTAGTAGGACTTATTAAGACCAGTATTTCGATGGAGTGAGAATGTAGTGAGAATGTAGTGAGTGTAGTACTGTTTGGCGTGGTTAAAAAACAAGATCAACTGGCACAGGTAGCCTTAACTCCACCACGCCAATGTGGATGATGAGGGTCGTGATCGTCAGGATTGTCGCCCAAATTGCTCCAAGCTGGCACAGCAGGAACAACTTTTTCAGGCTCGTCCTGTTCTGCTTCTTTAATCCTACGCAAATCCATCATGGTCATGAATCTACGCTTCCGCGCTGAGGCACGCAGAAGCGGAGCAGAGGGTGCCTCGTCCTGCTCTGCTTCGATAACTCTCCGCAAATCAGTCAAGCACATGAATTTCCGCTTCCGCGCTGAAGCGCGCAGAAGCGGAGCACAGTCGGTCGGAGGAAGCGAGCAGGGGGCATCTGGCGGGTTGGTTGGTTGGTTGGTTGCTTGAGTGATTGGTCGGTTGGTTGTATCTACTCACAAGATAAAGAGTCCGCTTTTTTTTCCATCGGATTACATGCTTCGCCTCCCCCCGCTAGAACCAATCTCTTTACATATTTACACAATAGATATAACCTTGGAGAGCACCCATAAGATCGGTTGAATTCAGTGATGTCTTCATTTACATAACTTACCGACGTCATTTACATAATGTAGCATCCACGCGATGTCCCTTCACCATGTATGGTTCTTACCTTCGGGTCGAGCGGTGTCTATTCTCCACGCGTGGTCCTCTCGCTCCTGTCGTTCCTGGATGAGCTGCAGCATGCAGCATCTGTTTTCTCTTTCCGTTGTTACGCGTGGCAACGAGATTGGTCGGCTCAAAGGCCTCTCACCCTTCGCTCGCTTCTCTTCTTAGAGAAGCTCAAAATATATCGTCGATATTCAACATATACATGAATATCAAACAAGACGCGAATTATTTAGCCTGCGAGGAATAGGTAGTCCTCGTCTGTGGAGAAGAAGAAGAAGAGAGACTAAATCTGGTACTTCGACGACGAGCCTTAATCCCGAAAATGCTCTAGCCACCATGCGTTGTAATTCTCCTCGTCAACCTCGAAGACCGGCAAATAGTCTTTTTCCGCAAACACGCGAAAAACGCTTTGGACGTCCTCCATTGGCGCAAATTCCTTGATGCGATACCTATCGATATCGTTGGATAGAAATATAACGCAGGGGAAACCGAAGAGAAAAAGAACAACAAACAGTGATGCTACTCCGGACTAGGAGCTTTGCGCATCACCTCGCTATTCAAGTCCACTAAAATCCTGATCGAGTCTTGAGCCAAACGGCAGCAAGGCAACGAAAGAAAGCATGCAAAATCCGTGCCCTTTTGAGAGTCATCATCAAGTCAGCGATTGCACAAGCCCGAAGCTTCTATAGAAATGACCGCGGTCATTTTTATCCTTGACCCAAGGTCCCTACTTAGTGGCTCTATTGGCGCACGGAACCGAGAGCGGAACAGCCGCCAGAGAAGATCCCTCATTTATCCTGATCGGTGGATCTCCGTCCCGATAGTCATCTTGCTCAGGATCTTACTGGCGTACTGAACATTTCGAAGGATCTTGCGCAGTGTACTGCTGAGGCACTGAAGGTTTCAAGATCTTACAACATATTTAGGACTTTACTGTTGGAAATTTACCCGTCGACCCCATCGTCCACATCGTCATCGCTGTTGGCAAATCTCTTCCTTTCATCAAGTGCATGTACGCAGGTTCGCAAACGTTCACGTCCGATTAGTAAACACTTGGCTTGATAGGAGCCATGACAGATCGGCTTCGGCCGAGGAGCATCATTTAGACCTACCGCGCCGCATCCCTAAGAGCATCCCTGGGACCGACCTTTTCCCCTTGAAAAAGTGGCCAAGTCTGATGCTGAGGATGCTTGAGCGGTACACATAAATCTTCATCCCATGGCGCTTGATGTGCGCCTTCTGGGGCAGGGGACGCGGTGGAGGTCCTAGAACTCGTACTAGACTCTGTCCTTCTCTTCATCTGTCGAACGTTCCTCACCATCCTTTCAAACTCTTTCTCGTGGTAAGCGCCAGCGCTTCCTGTATTAGCGCTAACAATACTAATTCGTCTCGCCCTCTAACTTCCTCTAGTCTCAGGATCGAAGAAGATACAAAGTGAGTCTCAGTCACAACGAAACCCCTGTGACGATGAATGATTCTGCGCCTTAACTTCTGTGCATTCTTCGCACTCACCACAAGAAACAGTGCTCGGACGGGCCCGAAGGCACAGACCGTACATCAACATTGCAAACGTGCCGTGCGAGGTAATCGATCCAGGAATATGAATGTAACTTTTTCTCTGCTCCTTTTCAACAGCAGACCATCGATCTTTTCAATGACTCAAAGACTAGAAGTCCACGGCTTAGAAACTAATCTGCTTAGAACATCGTCGTTACTCCTCACGAGGAGGTTTAGACTAGTGCCCGACAGCCCGAGCGGCTCGTTTTTGAAAGTCTGTCTAACTTGAGAAAGGGGACGGGGAGCCCCGATGGCCTCGACAAAAACGGGAGAAAAGATGCAGCGCTGTTCTAAATTATTCTGTATTATCCCGAAGCAGAAAGAAAAAGCTACAAATCCATAAGGAGGAAAACCGAGCTGCTTCTGCAGCTGCTTGAGGAATTGCAGGTAGACTTTCTGTGACGTCGAGAGACTACGGCCTCCCGCCTTCGACTTCGCCAGCCTGTCTTCAATCTTCGTCTGCCGATGCGTGATAGTATCCAACTGGCGGCCTTTCTTAGAGCTTTCTGCAATTCATCTTTCAGCTGCATCCTTCAAAGTATGGCAGAGTATTTCCCTGCGATGCTCCCCTATACGTTTATTCAAGGATGAAAAAGGGAAAGATGAATTAGCTACAGCCTTAACTTTCCGAGAATTCGAAAAAGAGCTACTATCGTCATAATCATCGGGACGGTTGAATTCGAGCATGTAGTATGTCTTTAGAGCATCACTACTCCCAAATCGTCCACATCTAGAGAGACTCATCTCGGGCCTGTAGTTCTCTCCTCGGTTATGTTCTTACCGCTAAAATAAGATGCGTCGGACGATTGAGAACGGGGGCAAGCCTTAATGTACGCAACAGATCATGGCTGTCGCCGTCCTCCCAAGCCTCGTCCGCGTGGTCCGTCGTGGAGGCACTGTCTTCACCGTTAGTGCCAGTGCTGGTAGCAGTAGCGCCTTCTTGCGTTTCCTCGACAATTCCTCCAACAGCTCCGCCGCCTTCTTGTTCGGCGCTATGTTGAGGCGCAGCAGCTCCTGCGCCATTTTCTTCAGCCCGGTGAAGCTCGTCCCAGTCGTTCATCATGAGTAGCGAGTCGTTGAGAGTTTTGAGAAAAAGCGACCCTGAAGTTCCTCCCTGTTCACGGTAGTCCCGCCACATTTGTTTGCTAGCATCTGCAAGCGTCAATAACTTTTCTCGTTGGCCCTCGGTCAAAAGCGGAGGTCCCCACATCAGCAGGGGAAGATCATTTATTTAGAGGCTTCATCAAGTTCTTGACGTCCTTATAAATATCTCTTGAGTGTCGCGCATCATCTTCTGTGACTGAGGCTCTTCTTCTTAAGTATGAATCATACAACTTCTAGAAGATAGGCACACTTCTACTAGATAGGTATGCAAGATATGCGCTTAGAAAGATATTATAAGTACCTATAAGTCAACATCATGCTTCATTCTAAGAACGAATCATAAGAATTGTCAGTTCCTCCGAGTGGTCGAAGAGCTCGTCTTTTCGTTTTTTCCTTGATAACCGTCTTCCATTTCTTCAATAGATACGTATCCAAAACCTGCAGGAAGCCCTGAATTAGAGCTACCGCACCGGCATCCTTCAGAGCACCCTTGGCTTCTTTTCCTAGTCGAAAAAGGACCAAGGACGTCGTTGAGAATGCTTTAGCAGTAGTCTTAGCTGAAGTAGCGACGCGAAAGTAGCGTCATCTTCATTCTGTCCTTCATTCAATTGAAGTAGCGACGCGAAAGTAGCGTCATCTTCATCCGATTTCAGTGAGTGTTTCAGCCAACTCGCGAACCCGCCCTCCGCTGGCCCACGACATGCTTTAGATGATGAACTCAAAATATTGATTTATTCATTCATCATATCTACGTAAAGTCATGTGTATTCTCAGAACCCACGGGGAAAGCTGAGATATCTGACTTTTAGAGTCATATTCTCAGAATAATCCAAGTAAAAATAAAGTGAGATCAATACTTGCCCTGTGTTAATACTCTCAGAATCAATGGCCCAAGAAGAAGGCTGAAATGACTAGTTACAGTGTAATACTCTCAGAGTACAAAAAGGGGACCGAGATGACTACTCTGTAAGGAAAAGAATGAATTGTGGGCCTTAAACAATGCGCAGCGAGAGTCGGTTTTCTGGGCCCACATAGTGTTTAGAGGTTCCAGCATTGCGTTCTTCATAACACCCCTGACGTAGTTTCTTCTTAGAAAAACTACAGAGGAAGATGTTAGTTTTTTTATGAAGAAAGTACGTTAGGGGCGTTCTGAAGAATGCAATCATGGTATCTATACTACCCCTTAAATTGTACTGGCACTCGGCGCAGATTCGTTCGTCTTGGTGCAGATTACCGCAGGTCCAGAAATAGCTCGTTTCCATCGGTACTTCGTTGTCGCAGCAGATTACACATTGGGCTCGTTCCTGTTCGTACGTCGGCAATTGACTTCGCAGTCCAACAATATTAGAGGCTTCGAAAAATGTCATGTGTGCATCTCAAATAGTCCTTCTCGACTACTAACGAGATGAAGCGAATAACCTAGATAACAATCTCAGAGACTCGGTTATTGTCTTTGTTACTCGCTTATTTTTTTCAGTTTTCGATTACAGTATTGCACTCGTCATATCATCCTTGACTGTGTTCCTACTATGAAGAATGGTGGTGAAGAATGGTAGGGAAGAATGCAACGTCGAAACCCTTAACGTTACGTTTCTCCTGCGCTTGCTTTTTTTCGGAATACAAGGCAATTTGCTTCTTGCGGTGCTCGATGCGAAGGAGGTCCTCGTCGTGGGCAAGTTTTAGCTTTTCTTCTTCACTTTCATTCTTGTTCTCATGAAGAGGCTGTTTCTCTCCAGTGGCATGAACATCCTCCTCAGCACCCAGGAGCAGTTTCTGGTCGAGTTTTGCCAAAAAAGGTTCTCGGTTTTCGCGAAGAGTGGCGCCTAAGTCCTGCTGCTCTGGATTCGCTGCGTAAGCGGTCCTACTATTGCTGAATAGAACAAGCAGGTGACTACTGAAGCTGAACAGCGTACAGGACGATCGCAGGTGCAACATCTTGGAATTTTTTACGGAGCAGCTCATGTTGATGCGGGGCATCGTCATTTTTCTTAAATCATCTGCTGTAACTACTGAATTCTTTGGATCTGAGTCAGATGGACTACATATGCAGTAGTTCAAAGTTATCCGTCTTCACTTGATTTCAATTTCAAAGTACGGGATGAAAAAATGCGAGCTGGAGCTTCAACAATCTAGCAACAGACTTCGATCACAGGTTGCGCGGTAGACAATATCACGCCCTCGACGTAGTACTAGTACTAGTTTACCCATTCGGGGGTAAGTTCAATTATCACACGTCTATGCTGCAACAATATTTCATGCGGCTCAGGAATGCGACATGGCACACCAGCATCGGACGAACAAAGCGACTCTAGTATACAAGAATGAGGCACACAAGTACTAGTAGGCACTAATACTAGTGATCAGCCTTCTGAGATGGTCTTGTGGCTCCTCTTGTAGCGCTATTTCCCGTCAGAAGATGCTGCATTCCACATATGAAAATTGACCTTCACACATTCATCGGACACTCTGGTACAACGTCGTTAGATTATGGCAGTGGCATGGCCATCCTGTTTTTTCGTTAGATTATGGCAGGCACTTCAACACGCTTGCTCAAGCCCTAACACCCCGGCCTACATGCTGTCTGTAACCTCACCCGCAGTGCGTCCGGCACACTCAGGCCCCATCTTCGTGTCGCGCGGAAGCATCATGGTGCCCAATAGTATTACCTCGCCTGATCCGTCCCTCCTCGTTCTAAGATAAAAATACAAAAATGTCCTGATTACCAGTAGTAGTAGTGTACCCAATCCCGGGGTATAGATGATATAATTAGTTGGTTGCACTTGTAAAAAAAATATTCTATTTGCTGACTGCCTGAGTCACCCCTCTCACTTTGTGTGTCTGAACCAGGGTGCACACTTCTCCGACGACATAAATGTATAATAGTGGTCTCATTTCATGATACTCATCAGCTAGCATGAGTGAAACTTCTTTATATATTGGTGGAGATGTTGTTGACCTTGACCTTATTTTTTCATGTTTTTTCCTTATACTCTTGGGTCAGAAATGTTGGTAGATTTTTCCATCCATGTCATGTGAGTGCCCCTGATATGACCATTCGTGATCACCGTCGAGACAAAATGGCAGCCGACAACGAGGTCAACTCCCGCAACAACTTTTCCATCCAGCTGCAGAAGGTATTCACTCAAGCACCCTTGGTTGCGCCCAGTAACGAATCCACCTCCAGCAACAAGACGGGAAGCAGTCCTCTCTGCTAGCAAAAATAGTCACGACCTCGGTGCCCTTCTATTTCTACACTTGAACTATCAAGCAATCAACTGCGCGCGGCTGTCTAACGGGCGGCGGCGCTGGATAACGGAGGAACTTAGCAGACCAAGAGCCGGCCCTGGACTGTGCTAGCACGCCTGTGTTCCCGCTGACCTAGCCCACTAAAGACCACCTGGAGTAAAAAACCCTAAACGCTGTGTCGGGCTAATCAGCCAGTCAGTCAATCAGTCAGGTTGCCCACACCAGTTCCCGGTATGTCCTGCTATTTCTTTACTTGAACTATCACTGATATACTTTTTCAAAATATTCAGTGCAATCACCTGCGCTGGTACAATGCAACGCCCTGTGTTTGAGGGTCCGGATCGCGTCTTTGAAATCTTGCTCCCTGAATATCTTGCTTCCTCAGTAGTTCCCTTCGTCGACTCCTTCGTCGACCGTTGTTGTAATTCTGCGCCATGCTAGTACTAGTCTAGTAGCCTTGTAGTACGTCGAAGTACTAGTAGATATTGAAAAACTGCAGCATTTTGTAGTCCCGAAAAACTATCTACATCTACAACCTCCATTACCACTAGCGAATTTATGTCACTAACACTAGCGGAGGACCACAAACTTTACGGGAAAACCTCGGAGATTCTCATCCAGCGTGGACCCTCCACAGCGCAGGGGACAAACTAAGCCATCTATCCTCTACACCCCCGCTTCTAACAACACAGCACTAGGTAATAGTTGTGGTTCCTCTGCTTCGGGTTCTGAGGCTCGTGCCACAATAAACCCGAACGAAAAGTTGCACAAGCACAAGGGCCACGTTCGATTGATGTTCTTAAATATATTTGCAGACCCTAATAGTTCAAGTAGCAACTGAAACGATTGAGGACTATCTTTAGTTTTGAGTGTCTTCATCATCTTCGTTGAACAAGCTCTTGAATTTTACATTCCAGAAAGAGTCCTCGACTCCGCAACATGCAGAAAACATATTTGCCCAAACTTACAACTCTTTTCGATCTTTTTTGAATAACAAGTTTACAGCCGAAATACACATCTACCACCTTTTTGGACATTCACGCAATAAAAACAAGATCTGAATGTAAGTAATCATTTTCTTCCAGCACCGTCTTCATGGAAGTAATCTTCTCACCCTTACCTTAAAGTTATTCTGAATCAGAGTCGCTTGCCTACCATGTAGTAAGTCCTCCTAAGAGAGAGCAGTTTCTCATCGTGCCCCCTGCTGAAAAAGAGGAACATCAAGAGAGAGAAACTATAAACGAAAGATTTACGACCAAGTAGAATCGCGATGAAATAGTAGAAACATGTGTTGCCATGCTCTCATGACTGCGAGAAGAGTCGTCGCGTCTTCATCACTGGCTGATATTCATACGTCCGTAAATCTTCTCCCCCGTGGCTTTTGAACGCGTGCTTGTCCAAAAATGCAATAAACTACAACATCGTGATGATACTATTTCCTCTTCAAGGATATCGGCTACTCGCAAAAAAGTTCCCATATAATCCGTTATAATTTCACACATACAAAGGTAAAACAATCAAGTAGTACACCTGAAAATAAATCGGTCTTCAACATCATGCCATCGCAAGTAATCTGTCTCCCGCCCATAATTACAGATTGTAACGCACGTAAGCATAGTTCTGTAGAGCGAGACTGAAATCAAGATCTTTATTTCACATTTACGAGAGACAAAAGCAAAATAATATTGGTATTAGCGAATGCAGTTCTTCTTCTTTATGTCACACGATCTAATACAGTGTTTAAACATTGTTCCTGAAGACAACACCAGCAGTGGGTACTTCATGATAGATTATCATACTACTTTCGATCCTTTACCTATTTAATCTTCAATATAGACATACCCAGTACAGTTGCTCAAGCATTACTTAAAAATTCTTGTCCTTGCAGTACTGCAGTACTCACTATGCACCTCCTTCATCTAGCTCAAAATGCTCCATCAGCAAAGTCTTCAATTTGATGTCGAGTCTGCATCTTCCTTCTCAGAATATCCACATCTACTACACCGACTCAAAAAGAGTCGTAGAAAGCGTAACTTACGCCTTGATGCTGCTGCTGCGCGGGGGATCCTTAGAACTCGACAATTTCAAAAACCAAACGGTTCCTCAAAAATCCTCATTGACCCAATGAGGAATTCTTACCTATTTAAAGCTTTGCGTGTGTTACAAAAACGACCTGACACCTAAGTAGGAACCAAGATATAAGCCTGCCTTAAGAAGAGGGTGGTATTGGAGACGAAAAGCCTATCAGTTGCGGAGACGACAAGCCTGTTGGTAGCGGAGACGATGAGCCTTTCGGTAGCGGAGACAATGCGCCTCCCAGTAGGTCTTCCAAGCCTTTTGTTAGCGTGTGCCTGTGGCTCAAATCCGATTACAATTCATCTCGACTCCTGTGGTAGGTGTATCTACTTTCATTTCATCTTCTCTTGTGTGCTCTAATTGGAAAAAAACTGTTCCTACCTGCTTTTGGAAGCAGCAAAATCTTAAGGGACCATACTTCAATCCCCTTGATGAGAACCAAATTCCCTGAAGAGCTATCAATTTCCATTGAGTGCAACACAAATGTAGAAGTAGTAGTAGGAGTATTAGTAGTAGTATCCGAAAAACTGAAGTCAGCGAGTAACGACTGAAAATAAGCGAGATACTGAACAAGGAAGAGTAGCCCTGTCCAAGCTACCTCCGGTATTTCAGTCAGTACATACAATACAACGCAATGAATCTCGCACAAAGTTCAGTGCAGACTGCCATAAGGGCGTCATAGATGATCTACACGATGGATCTCACGTAACTCAGCTAAATTTTCAGTTTTCGAGTAGTAGTGTGTCCAACAGTCTAGTAGAACACTCTTCAAGTGGTAGTAGTAGAGTACTCTTCAAGTGATCAAGATCATAACCTATTGGCTACCGGACCTAGCGAAGGGGTTCCTCCCAAGGATACGAGACTATTGCTCGAACCAACCAGACGGATGGATGGCACCATCGTCGACACAGAAGCTTAAAGGGTGCGCAATTACATTCCTCAGAACATCCTTGACATTTGTTTTCTACTAGAAAACAGGTCAAGGATGGTAGTGGGGGATGTAATTTGGAAACCCTTAAGAAGCGCTACTCTGGACGTGGGGCAGACCAATCTGGTGAGAACTATCATTTTCGGAAGATAGTTTACAGGTATGACCGGTGCCACCTATGGATTTAGGGAATGTTGATGATGTACGAAGAAAGAGGTATAGAGAAAGTCCCTATCCAAGAAGGGACTGTTTTTTTGCATTTCGGAGTCTTCAAATAATTGAACCTGTATAGCAAAATATAAACACTATATCTACTATGGAATGTTGTACCTGCACCTTGTTCTTCACATGCAACACCCAACGAGAAAGAGCCATTCCCGGACGGGCCGGTCAGCCCCGGCGGTGGTCGTGGTAGCTGATCAGGGGTACACCAGGGAGCTGTGGCATCAGCATGGTGTGCTAAATACGGACCTGGGGAGGCTGCCGGCCCACTCATGTACGTAACACCAGGCGACGATGCAGTAGCAGCAGGCCTACTCATGTACGTAACACCTGGCGAGGATCGCACTTGTTGCACTTGCTCTGCCAGGTACGGAGCGGTGAGCGAAGTAGAGGCAGCAATCGAAGCTCCAACGGCAGCGTCAGATGGACCTGCGCCAGAGGGATCTGTAGCTGCACGAGGTCGTCCTGCTCTGGCAGCACCTCTATTACCATGATGTGTCCACACCGGATCCTGATGTGCGCCAGTTCCACGCGGTTGTCTGCGCTGTGGTCTCTGTGGCGAACCAAGAAGTGTACCAAGATGGCCCCTCATGGAGGTGGAGGAGATTTCTTCTTGTTGTTGTTGTTGGCCCTGATGCTCTACTTGTACTTCAGACGGAAAGGTAATAATATCAGCATGAGTTGTGGCATTCGATGCAGTCGAAGCACGACGAGACGTATTGGCTTGTTCCAACGCGGAACGAGCAGCAGCATTAGAGCAGTCGGCTTTTCTTCATCGATCCCGGCCCCCTCATCTTGACCCATTTGTTCTCCTTGTTCATCATGCGAATAGTACCGGCAAAAGAAAGGGCATCAAGATGCCGAGAAAGATGCATAAAGGCTGACCATAACAGAATATAATTGATCGAACCCACCATGAGTCGCTTGATCAGAAGCTTGTCCACTTCTTTCTCCGACGAGCGACAGTTGCTGAGCGGCATCTTGTTGTTCTCTTTCTTCGTTACGCGCCGCATTAAGAACAAATCTTAGAAAAACCTTCCGTAACCAACAAGTCTTCCATAGTGTTCATGTGTACGCCCCTGATAGTACTGTCCGTAGTACCCGTATAGTTCTTTTTTTTTGCGTTAGGACTATATGCAGCCGCCCTTTCAAACAATTAATTAACCCGTTCAACTATTGTCATACAAGTTACATACTGAGGGCGCATATGACCGTACATTCGGCCACAAGTCTACCGATAGAAAGCGAGGCCTTGAAAAATCTTAACAGTCGGCATCTTGAAGTTCTTCTCGTTCCAGCTAAATAGGATACATATCAGCAACCAGTAGCCTTAAATTTTCATTTTGTCTTGGTTGCGAAGGAAACAACTCCCTCAGCTCCTCGTAGCCATGTGCAAAACGACACTCGGAACCTTTACTACAACCGGAAGCTGATGTATACAGTCTGCACAGCGAAGTCTTTCTCAAGTCCGGCTGCGGCTGCAGTTGGTCAGGACCGTGAGCAAAAGAACACCGCCAACCACGACTGCATCTGCCTTGCTCAAGTTAGAGTTCGATTCAACCCGAAAGGGATGATGATGACGCATCCAACTTACTAGGGGGTTAACCTTAATGTAAGTGTAACAAGTTATTTTAATCTAGGATTATTTGTTTTCACCTCGGTTCCTTATTATTAGTGAATACCGTAATCAAAAAAACTGCACATCCTTGATTTTTTCATCGCTGGAGGAATTTCAGTTCGCTGCAACCCATTCTGAGCAAGCGCGCGATCGTGTTCCTGTTGGAACTGACGGCTCTCTTGTTGCACCTGCTGTTGCTCTCGATGTTGCATGTGTTCTGATTGACGTTGTTGCTGTTGCCGTTCGACACGTTGTTGCTGTTCCTCAAGGATGCGTTGTTGTTGTTCCTCAAGGATGCGTTGTTGAAGTTCCTCAAGGATGCGCTGTTGTTGTTCCTCGAGGATGCGTTGTTGTTGCTCGAGATACCGTTCCTGCTGCTCTATACGCTGTTGTTCGATACGTATTTGCAGCTTGGTTTTTTTCTCTCGACGATGATTACGATCCTTGTATCCTAATTCCGCATGTGTTTTTTCGTGAGATTGCAAAGGTCGTCGACGTTGCGAAGGCTTTTGCGCCAGCGTCTGCGGAGCAGCTGCACTTTCGCCTGCGAAAGCTGGCGGCGGGGAAGCGAAAGTATGAACGAAGTCAAGTAGGTATAAACAAATCCACATATCAAATAATGTCGACATGAGAACGAGTGCAGCAAGGTAGAGATTTCTATCTAAGTGGTATTGGCAACTAGCTTTCATTCCACGAAAGAGTAAAAGTGCTAGTCGTTGTGGAAAGATAGGTTAGGTTAGGTTGTGGATCCTTCACAACGAGATAAGACACTGACACAGATATTACGCGTCAATAAATTACACGCCAAAAAAAAACACCGTGTACAGCATTAAACAATATCGAGGTTCCACATAAGGTTCCACGACGCCTTGCAATTTTGGTGCCAGCGCGCTCAATAAGGTTCCACTTGGATGCTGCTCCGGAGGGCAGGCGGCTAGTGCCTTCTCCAAATCGAAATTGGCAGCGTCGTCGAGATGCTGACCAGAGAGACCTGCTGTACGAGAACCAAAATGTTGCCATTCTCCGACGTTTAATAGACTCGTTCTCTTGACGTCAGAGGAGCTCTTCGGATATCCTGCACCAGTCGAAACACTCCTATCCAGACGCATGTTGGCCGGGATCTCCACATTTCCGGCACCGAGCTTCTGCTTGGTCAGCCACGTTCTTAGCGTTTGTAGTTTTTCTACTAAGTAATTGACATGACACAGTTCCACCTGGTGTTCTTTTCATCCCAATTCAGCATTTTTGGGGATCTCGTCTGCAGATGAACACAAAAACTACTGGGACAAAAAGGAAAGTATATATATCAAAATTTAAAAACTACTATCTAATAATCTAAGATTATGACTATTTAGATTTAGATGGGCTCCCGCCTCAGCCCTGCGCATGAAGCACCGGGTCGGCAGAATAATTGTACTCTTCAGATAACAGTCCTCAGATCCACGCCATACAGTCATCAGATCCACGACTGCGTATCCGCGTCCACTGCCATCTTGCAATTGATTCCACACTTCTTCCAAAGCCTGCGCCATTCTCGCACTGGTCAGCCTACTGGTAAAGAATTGCAAACCCCGATCGGCAATCGTCTGCCACAAAAATTTCTGCACGTCCTCTCTCTGTTTTGCTCGCAGCTCCAGTTCGGACGAGGCCAGAGATGACTTAGAAGAAGTCTAGGTTCCTCCACGAAATTATCAACCTGGTAATTGTTCGATACTCCTACTACTCTCTAGTACCGTAGATACTTATATCAACACAAGTACTTATAATATCAACACATTCTTTCAGTGGTAGTATCTGTTTACCCACAAATCGAGGGGTAAGCACAGGCAGCACTCGAAACTCAGGGGTAAAACACCAAGTCCAGCACAAATCGAGGGGTAAGTACAAACACCAAGTCCAGGCAGCAATACAATACAAAACAATTAATCTCGCACAAAGTTCAGTACAGACTCGAAACTCATAACAATGCGCATCACTTCGCCGATGTCCTCCTCTAGAGAGTAAACGACCTCGTCGACCATTTGCAACAAAATTGTGAGTCCATCGATAGAAGATCCTATGGAGTTGTAGTGGGGGATGATGACTTAGAAGTAATGGAGCATGAGATAGATTGTAGGGTATTCAATTTCACTAACCTCGCAGTTAGAAGAACTAATCTTAAACGCACACACTGAAGAAGGGAGGGGTATGTTTGGTAGTCAATTCTTCATTTAACCGGCGAGACTTAGAAATAATACATCGAGTAATATCTATGGTAAAAATGAGTATGCATGGCAAAAAGGATCACCACGTCCTCATGGCAAAAAAGGACGTGCAAGAGAACGTGGTGATCGACACTGAGGGCGTTTGAAATTGAACAAAAAAAATAAGAGTTTGCTGCCTTTCTTACCTACTACACGCACATCAGTAGTAGTAGTAGTAGTAGTAGTAGTAGTAGTAGTAGTAGTAGTAGTAGTAGTAGTAGTAGTAGTGTACCCATTCTTGAGTCAAGTAAGTCTAAAAATATAAAACCTCCTCCAAGGAAAAAAGTCGAAAAACATACTTCACACTTGAGATGAGAGAACTCCCTTTCCCAACAAAAAATAATACATCGGAAATATACCTGCTCCCAAGCCCAACGACGACGCAGTGGCGCTGTGATATTTTTTCTTGTCTATCAGGAACTCTGTGGCACGGAAAAGAAACTCGCCACGAAGTTGCGCAAAGCCCCAAGGCGTTAACACGTTGGTAGGATCCAAACTACCGCCTTCTCGGAAATGATGCACTATGTCGCCTGCCAAAAATTCCAAGGGGAAAACAAATTGATTGAATTAGAGGCTAAATAGACAACAAGTAAATGCTCCTTGCTGGGCACATTAACATCATCCTCATCATCATGCAATGGGAACGATTTTTTCGAAACCCCTTCGAGACCGGATACCCACTTGTCAATGATATGGATACAGCACAGAAGATGCATAGAGCAACAATATCATCATCATCATCATCATCATCAGAGAGAGAGATGTAGAAAAACGCAAGTAGCAGTGGAAAACGTATTAGTTCGCCATAATCAGCAGTAGCTTGTGGAGGAGCGAGAGGTTGGTGGAAATTCGCGTATTCTTCCTGCTCGGACGAACTCGACATCAACGAAAGAGCATCGCTGTTGCTGGGACTCAGTTGCATGTACCACGATGAGCAGCATTAGTAGAGAAACTACAAACTGTACATCTTATCTTCTGTACGACTAGAATATCATTCATTCATTTACCTAGCACGAGGCACTGTCTCAAGACTTAATATACTAATGGATCTGTTACACTTCCTAGATTGTAGAGTATAACTAAGTGTAGACTATAGAGTACAACTAGATCTTTCGACGTGTGATCTAGATCGCTCCACCTCCTGTGAAAATGAGGCATGGAGACCCTCGTGCTTTTTTCAGCCCCCATGGCATTTAAATACTAGAAGGATTGTTTGTTTGTTTGTAAGAGAAATATGACCACAGTTGAAGCTGCCGCCTTAACGACTTTGATTGTCGGGCTTAGGAGGTATCATGATAAAACTGCTTGCGCCAGGATTAGAGCTACCGCGTTCGCATCTTCCCTGAGAGTCAGATCTTTGGCTTCTTTTTCAAGTAGAAAAAGCCGGCCCAAGGATCATGATATTGAGGAGATGCTTCAGCGGTAGCAGGCTTAATTCCACCAGGCGTGCCAGGGTTGGTAGGCGTCCCCGCTGTGCTTGGACGCAGTAGCGAAGCTGCACTGTTCTTAGACCTGCTCACATATATAATTATCATCTACAAGCAGGGCATTTTTGGCGTGTTCTCCCCTTAGCAAAGGGGTCAAAGATGCTTCTTAAGTTGAATTGTTGTGAGCCTTAGTGTTTGATGTCTCCCATTCTCCACCAACAAGAGAGCCCGAAGTAGTAGTCACTGGCGAGGTGTCGCCGCTCGTCCCAACTGTGTTACCACCTCCGCCAAGAAAAGGAGCTGCGCCACCCTTAGGTGGCGCTACCATAGTAAAGGGTGGACCCATCCTCATCGAAGAACTGCTTGGAGTACCACCGCGTGTTGCAGCACCTTGCGGAATCGAAGAGGCGAACAGGAGAGGAGGAAGAGCTGATACTAGAGAAGAGGAAGTACAACTTCCCACGGTGGATGTGCTTCCCATAGGGCCTCCGCTTCCCATAGGGCCTCCACGGGACGCAGCAGCTCTTGTAGTGCCTCCACGCGACGTACTACCCCTCGCAACCCCTGCAAGAGTTTCTCTGCTCTCCATCAGCCGGCGTTCTAATTCCTCAGAACAACTTGCACTTTGTGAAACATCAGGTTGACGCGCGCGGACCGACGGCAAATATGAAGAGCCTTCTAGGTAACCAGGTTGTTCTTGTGATTGTTGATCATCTTGTGCTTCTTGACCAAAAACCATTGCACCTTCCCCTCCGTGTTGTTTCAACGTCGCCATTTGTCGCTCCCATGTTGCAGCCTTCTTTGCGTGCTCCTCTGCTGCATGTTGAAAGAAGTGTTCTGCTTGTCGAAAATGCTGCTCCGTGCGCTTCTTCCTTTCTCCTAGCTGGGCCAAAGTTAGCACATGCAACTGCCTTTCCAGTTCCTCCTTAGACTCAGTGGGCCCCTCCTGCGTTGTTCCACTGCTCTTAGACTATCGTAGTTCTTGGACTAAAAGGATACTCCTTGTAGTGGCAGTAGAATAATACTCATAGTAGAAGAGGGAATAATATAGCGGAGTACACCAGCACGATCTAAAAGGGCAGACTACATAGTTGGCTTCTGTTGCTCACCAAAAACTTCTCTACAGAGGATTCCTCGAGAAGAAGAACTGCTGCCTTAAGATTAATGTAAGATCCTTCTCCTGCGGGAGTGACGGACAGATTGACCGGTGTAGGAAGAGTTACGCGAATTGGCTCACTATTTGCGGTTTTCACCTTCATCGGAGGAGGCAACTTGATTGGTGTAGTAGTCCCAGGATAAGGAGGCATCCTTGCATTGATTCCGAGTCGTCCAGAACCTCCTGATCCTGAATTGCTTCCAAGTCGTCCGGAGCCAACAAAACTTTCAGGAATGTCACGTAGATGCGGAGGGAAACCAGAGGCGGCGATCAGAGCTGGCCCAAAGCCGTGCTGTTGAAGTTGTTCATCGGTACTGACTTTGACTGGCCTGTCGCCCAGCAGGCCGCTTGGACCGAGAGAAGGCGGACGAAGCAGGGTTGCTATCATTACAGTAGTTCCGTCAGCATTAGTCGGCGTAGCAGCAGCAGCAGCAGCAACAGACGCATATGAAGGTTGACCTTGAATACCTTGTTGAGCGAATTGGTCTTGAGCACCCTGGTGAACATGAGAAGACGGATCAACAGCAACAAATGGACCCTCCTTCAACACGTCAGCAGCAAATGCATCCGGGAGCACCACATCCGCCACATCCGAAGGAGTAAAACCAAAGGTCTCCTGTAGTGGAGCCGCAAAAGTGCTGGGTAGCCCCATTCCGATTCCCTCCGCTGAATCGGCAGACAAACCGGATGCGGGCACTGGTTAGAGTTCGCTACTCCACTAAAGATTCTGTTCCAAAAATCCATTTTCTAAACTTGTTAAACCTTATAACTGGGTACTAAACTAGTTCATCATTCTCTGTTCACGAGAATCAATCCACAAAGAAGGATGAAACTGATGTGCAACTCCTGTTCTGTAAGGCCGTAAATCAATGCATGCCCTTGTTGAGTTTGAGGACGCGAGGCAATCGCTCCCTGTTGTTGATGACCCGTTTGTTGAGATTTTTCAGTACTGCTGTATAGTGCAGCCGCTCCTTGTTGTTGTTGTTGTTGACCTTGGGTACTTTGACTCATTCTGTAGCTTCCTCCACCAGGAGTGCGCGCAGCGTTGGGCCACCTTTGGTTGCCAGGAGAGTTCGCCCCAGCACCTGGTGTTCCCGTACTTCGACGCCAAGTAGCGCTGTTGGCCGCGAAAGCCAATGCACTCAGTGTCGAAACGACAAAGAGTATGTTGAAGCAACGTCGAACAAACAAGGACAACATCTTTATGCTCCTTTGCTCTATTTATTTCTAGTACACTGGTGGAAACTAATAAAAATAGCAAGCAACCACGCAACAAATATAGTAATAGCAATTATTTCGGAAGTAGTGTATTAAAGATAGACCTGTATCTATTTTGGTTGAAAGCAGTATGAAGCAGCAAGATATAGTACGAACTGGAAGATTAAAACAGATGAGAGCAAGAAGAACAATGATTGAATATGCATATAATCTAATCGGTTTTATCCAAATAACTCACTAAATTGACACAAAACTCGTAAATTATTGCTCATGATCTACTTGCTCATGGTCTTCCACGTGCACCTCTAGAAATTTGCTTACCTTTCTTCCAGCTAAAATGCTTTAGCAGGAGTAGTTGCAAGATGTTTTTGCGTACTAAGATTACCTGTTTCTGACGATCCAGATTGTGCCACTTGTCCTGCTTCGAGCACTGATAGTTCGTACGTACCACTGAGAAAGATTGTACCACTTATATCCATGCCTGAATAGATTGTTCCTAACGGCCTGCGAAGCTAGTAGCCTGCGACGATAGATGAATAGGTTCTTGATCCTGAAAATCGAAAAAGACAGTAGAAAGGAGCAAGTTCTGTGTTATTCCATTACAGTAATTGTATTTTTCTGGAAATATGTAGTATATGAAGAACAATTTCGAAGAGTTACCTAGAGGTTTGAAAAGCTAGAAGATTATGTTGAATAAAAATCTCTAAATTTCTGATCTTAGAAAGTGATTCGAACTAGTAGTGCTTTGATGAAATGCTGAAGACTGTAACTCGTTTACCTCCAGGTTCATGTGTATTGTGATAAAGAGACTAAGAATATCCGAACAAATGAGATTCAACATTATATGAAAAAATCTTATAGACTACTCTGTTTCCGACAGCTGAACATCTGATGTTCAACGTCAAAGTAGGGAGAAAAAGTTTCTCTCTTCCATTAACATACTAAGGCACACATCCAGATGCGATGAGGAGGTCGCTAGCACATGAGAATAGAGGGTTGTCCTCAATGAGAATATGCGATGAGGAGGTCGCTAGCACAGAAAGGCGGTTTGTTTAGTGAGATCAGAACGATACAAGTATCCAGTATAAAAACTGTCAAGCTCAATAACCCAGTTGAATCCCATCGAAATTGGTCTCATCAAGGTCGTATGTCAAGTGCTAGTAGTAAAACATTTTCTAGTTGTAAGTAAATTTGTCCTGGTTTGGTAAATTTCAATAGGCTTGATAGGATAGGATAGGATTTGATCCGCCATCCACAGTTTTACCTGCATACTCAAGCGGATGAATCAAGTATTGATCATTGAATTCAGTGTCCCCCGTCGTCGTATAGAATGGCCTATCATACAAGTCATAATGAAAGCGGATAATTCACAAAGTCATGGTACTAAAACAAGTATTCTTATAGTTGTAAGCAAACTGATAGATCGCTTGCAGGTACAGTTTTAAGTAAACTGTCTCATACATAGAGTTAGGTTGGTAAATAGTTGCTCAGATTCAAGTTGAAACATCAAAAAAAATAGGCGTTTAAGGTTCAAAGACTAAACATGATTAGTCAATAAGCTTATTGCAGCGATTTTAAGATAAAATCCCCTTCGTATATTTCCTGTTTCGTTTCAAGAAGAATTTCACAACAAGCTTTCGTCGCACGAGAAGTTGATTGATCCTTTCAAGAAGAATTTCACAACAAGAATTGATTGCTGCTTTATGTAGTCTAGACGCGGCGCAAGGATAGTTCCTGTTATATCCTAAAAACATGTTGAGCTTAGAATACCCTCTGGTGAAACACGACGTGCATAGTTAGATTGACGGCTATCTTGGACATTTTCGCACCATATTGCCTGCATTGGGATTTGGATTTGGAGGCTTTATGCAGTCTAGACGCGGTACAAGGACCAAGACTTCTTTTGTTCACACCCGGGCATTGAAATGTCGATATCTCATCTTCAAGCACAAGGATTGATTTTTGCAATCACTTGTTGAAAAGGCAGTTGCACACATCCAAGAGACCACAGAGACGTGATTTCATCTTCTACTGGTTTCTGGCAATCAGTGAGCGGAAACCTTAGGTCATTTGCTTTGCATCCAGGAAAGTCTTTTTTCAACTTCACAGTGCGATTTATCGAGGTCTTGCAACACTGACAAGAGATCGCGCTGGAAACACTGACTGCAACACAGATTGTGAATGCACGAACCTGGATACTTTGGTTTGCGATTCTGAGGTCCAGTAAGCTCTTCAGAGTTCTTCATTTACCCGCAACAGCTTCGTCAGAATCGGAGTCTTCCATTTTTATTTCCTAGTTGGCGGTTCTAAGAAGTTCTGTTACGTTCGTTGTGGTCTAGGTCTGAGGAAATTTTTCATATAATAGAATCATACAGCTATTACTATAATAAAAATAAATATAGGTAGATTCTAGATCTAGATGGAGTACCTGGTAGAACTAGATGGACCACTTCTTCATTAATTTTGATGATGCATTTTCAGGTCCAGTAAGCTCTTCAGAGTTCTTCACTTACCCGGAATTGCAAGTCTACTAGATATCTCTTCGTTCTCTTCCTGCATGCTTCTACTAGATGGCCGAGGCCTTTACGACATATCCGTTTCCTATACTACATGTTTAAGTCTAATTTGTCCTGTACTAGATGTCATTTTCCTTTACTAGATCATGTCATTTTCCTTTACTAGATGTCATTTTCCTTTACTAGATGTCATTTTCCTTTACTAGATCATGTCATTTTCCTTTACTAGATGCCAGAGCTTTCTTTGAGTTGAACGACTTCCACTTCAACTTTTTGTCTAGCACGTCTGTACAACGACTAGGTATGCAGCTCGCGAGAAGCTAATGTTGGGTGCTGATGCCGTATGTTGTCACGATGCCATATAGAAGTGGTGATTGATATGCTTGTCAAAAATGCAGCGTGAAAAGACGTCGTTCCGTACAAGAACCATGAACGTTATACAACTATGACAGAAGGCGGCTATACTCAAATAACTCATGCAACAAATAGTAACAAAACTCAAGTGATAAGAACCAATGCAAGAACTACTATGACATCTCCAAATCCCCTTCCACTGGTGTATGCGGTGGTGCTGGTACTTCCTGCGTGTACGATTCTTCAATATTTGCACCCTGTTTGAAGATGTTGTTGATGATGACATGTTGAGCATGAGCATCGTGACCCGACCGATCACAACTAGCCTCCTCATCATGGTTCTTACGCGATTCCGTGTCCTTCGCGACGACCTCAACAACTGCTGTGTTGTCATCATTCTGCCGCTTCGATGTTGTACCAGTACTTGTGGTGGAGTCCTCAGTGTTTATTCCAATCGGCAAGGCGTAAGCAGCCAGGAATGAAGCCAAATCGCCCTCAGTGTCGGACGAAGTTTTTGACAACTTTCTAGGATTCCTCTCCAGGTCTTTTGACCTCGTCCGGCGACCTTCGCGGGCGTCTTTCTTCAAGACGACACCTACTGCAGGCTTCTGTGGTTTTGTCCTTGAAGTACAACTAGTCGGCACCAAACGCACTACACTAGGTGGTGCGTATACAACTGCACGACTCGGAAAAGTCGTTGATTGTAGTAATGAATGATTTTGCTGTTTATTACTACTGCCTAGGACATTCCTCGCGTTGCCTAGGACATTAGCTTGGTCCGGAAAAAACTCCAGCATACGTTTTTCAAAAGCGTCAGAGTCGATATGCAGAGCAAAATCGCCAAGCCACGACACCGCCGGAAGGTGAGGAAATCTACCTTTGTGACTGTTGTTCTCTGGTAGAGGTCCAGCTTCTATTGCGCCACGTGGAGGATGATCGGAAGAGTGGTCTAGCGAAAATGCGTGATCCCTCTCGTCTTCATAGTTTCCGGAAACGCCCATTCCTGTATCAGGTTCTTCATGAGCATGATAGAAGTGCGTGAAAGAAGCTGTGGCATCAACGTGTCCTCGATCCAAATCGGAACGAGTGCTATCGCTATCTGCATCTCTGTCGTAATAGATATAACCCCCTCCTTCATCAATATCTACGACTTCTTCATTACGAAAGCGGCCATCTTCTTCGTCAAATGAGAAGGTATAGTCCTCTTTGCTCTCTGCTGCTGCTTCTCTGCTGTTTCTCTGCTGCTTCGTAAGAGCGTGTCTAGTCCGAAGGTTATCGCTATAGCTGACCAGTCGCGTGCGAAAGTGACCTGCTGTGCCAGTCCCCGCACGCCAAGCACGATTCTCAAGTGCACGTTCAATCGGCTTGACATTACGATTCTCTCCTTGAAGTATATGTTCTCTTCCTCTCGCGCTGGGGGTCTTCTGTTCTTGCATTTGCCAGGCACGAGATGGGAAACTTAGAAATAGCATGAGGGTTTGAACAACTATTTTGATCATTGGCTAGCATACCAACCCCTAGACTATACGGTGACACCCTGCAGCCTCAAATAATATGAAGTCACGAAGCGCAACGCTAATATCGTCACTTCAAGTTCAATTGTCATTTACCTCTCCCCTACCTCTACTCGTTTAGACCAATTTTTTTAATCATACTTTTGCTTGTCGTACTAGATCATAAATGTGCAAATGCTTGCGCCATGCGAGGAGAGACGCCGCGCCAAAGCTGTGACAAAATAGCTTTCTTCGACAACAGCGGTCCTGTCTTGCTCATACGAGGAGCTCCGGAGTTAATATCATCTCGTGCTTGGCTATCGCCATTGTTGAAGAAGGTGTTTCCGATAAATTTTTTTGCAGCACTCAGACCTAGGACAGCAGGAACACGACGGTCAGTATGAAAATTATTGTTGTCTGGTCCATTTCTAATGTTATTCCCAGACGATGCTGCCTGTCGTGGTGTCGCTACACCCACTCCACCTGTGAGGACCTTCACAGGGGTAAAAGACCCTTCTTGATCATGCAAAAAATCGTCGTCGCTTTCTTCATCTTCTGAGAAAAAGCTGATGTTCTTGTGCTTGGAAAATTTTTTGTCGCGAACTAAAGCGTTGTTTCCTCCGCGCGCTAACGCTTTTTCATCAATAGCCGCTCTTCGACGCAAAGGTCCGGGTAAAACTGGTGTACGATAAAATTGGCCTAGTTGTTGCGTGTGGTTGACCACGACAGCATCATGATCTTCTTGTTCGTCGTGTCCTAGCCCTAGGAGCACGGGAAAATAACCAATAGATGAGGTTGGAGGACGATTCATTTTGGCGTCAACGTGTGAAGAAGTAGGTTTCTCCTCTCGATCCGCATTGGCACAGCTTTTGTTCCGTTGTGCTCCCATCCGCACTGCCGAGGCATGTCTGCTCTTGTTCCTTCCACTTGTACCAGCTTCAAGACTAGTAGCTGTCGGCAAGTTCCCACGGGAATAGTCTTCTACTTTCCCGCTTACGACAATATCCGCCAAATTCAACAGATTAGCACAAGGACCGGCGGTTGCTGTAGCAAGTTTCTCGCAAAGTGCCATTGCGGCATCGTCGAGCTGCTGCTGCTCTATGCGTATCCTATCACCGGGGCTGTTGCGAGGTGCGACGTCGCTATCACCCGGATGTCGTCCAACCGGACTATCAGCCAATATCTCCTCTTCTTGGTCTCTCCTGGTGTCTTCACCTTGTTGCAAGCAAGGATCTTCGACGCCACTTGGGGTGAAGATGGTGATACTGTCAATAGACAACTGAAGCTTCTCGCGTTTTCGCTCCAAGGTGGCTAGAATTTCATTGACGACTGGCAGCATCGGTAATGAGTGCGGCAAAGAGCGTTTTTCTGCCGGCGTTGACGATAAGAATTGCCACAGTTCTGAAGAGGCGCGCTCCTCCTGAAGCCAGACTTGTCGTAAAACCATACGAAGATCTTCCACGCGATGTGCTTTGACAAGGACGTTTTGGTAGGGCTTAGGGTTCAGTATTTTCTCTTGTCCTACTGGATCATGTTGCTGCGCATGTTCGTTGTTAGCATCTTCACCAGTATGACCATGACCATGGTAATGATGCAAGTTCTGAAATTCTCTTGTTGTTGTGGGTTCTAGCATGATTGGCTGTGTATGCCCTGTGACAGTTTTATCATCCGAGCTCCCGCTACCTTGCTGCAGATTCCTCTTCGCACGCAATGCCTCTGCAGCACCTGACGATACACCCCCAGAGCCATCGCCGGTACTTCCACCAGACGTGCCACCACCACCACCAAGTAAAGAGGAAAACTACTTAGAGAAGGTCACAGAATTAAGTATATTCTTCAGACAGAACAGCCCAGACTTCTTTCGCAGGACGGGGAAAGCCAGAGGTCACGGGCGTGAGATTTTAGTAGAAGATCTTTCCTGTAAAGGGAAACAAACCAAGGCTGTTATTAGAGAATCTACGCATCATGTGGTAACCCTTTCTTAACATAGGCCCCGCCGCGGGGTGAATCTGTCACAGTAGCTTGATCCCACGTAGCATCCCAGCTTCTTGCGTCCCAAATTGCCGCACTAGACAGACTAGATTTCGAGGGCATCTTTCGCCACAACGTAGGTAACTGCTGATGCTCTCCAGGACGAACTAGAGGAATTGGTAATATTTGATGTCCGCTTTCATCATGAACAAACGCAGAATCGTGAATCTTTTTCGTAGTTGCTACAGAAGAGCTCCTGTTCTTGTTCAACATGAGTTTCTTTTTTAGCGAACGTTGTCTGCGTTTTTGTCGGCATTTGGGTTGTGGACTTGGCTCCTCTTCATCTGAAGGTGGCACAGAAAGACACCGTACTGCACAGTAGATTGCTTTGTCGTGCTTTCGCTGCTCTTCCTTATCAGTACCATTTTCAGTGGCATTTGTCTGTGCAACTCCCTTCGTCTTGGCGGATGGCGCCAAACCTGGCCGTCCCTTATAGAGGATAGTACCCTTTTTGCGAACGGCATGTCGCTCCTTCTTTTCGTCCAATAAAACTAAAGCGTCAGGTTCCCCACGACTAGCCGAAACCAAACGCCGCGATTGCAGAAGTTGGCCTATGCTTTTGTCTATCTCGAGCCCGTGTTCGAGTTCCTTGCAGTTTGTAGTGGTGTTCTCACGTCGTGGTCCACAAATTGAATTATTATAGGTGCAAATTTTTGCCTCTACTTTTACAATTGTTCCTGCAGATGAAGTTGATGAAATATCACTGTTTGTCGCCAACGTCACAGTTTCTTGGTTGAGAACCGAAGAAGGAGTACTTTCACGAGAAGCCACCGCCTCTTCTGTTCCAGCATTAGTCGCCAAGCTGTGAAGATGGTGCGGTGGAACCTCCGAAACAGTATTGCCCTTCTTGTCTTGTTCAACTCGCACGAAATCCAAACAGAGAGCTACTCGTTTTACCCCAACTATTTCGCGGAGCTGATTTGAAAAAGCGTCAATGTAGTTATCTTGCTGTCGTAGCTGTGAACGCCTTTTTGGAAGCTCGCAAAGCTGTAAATTTTCTTCAGCATGAGCCGCATTTTTTGGGACAATGATCCACCTGAAACGTTTGCGGAAGTCTTGAGTCTTTTCGTCACAAACCAAGAAGCGAAGGAAGCTTTTTGCGAATATAGTACTTTCTTCAGGAGCAACGAGCACTGCTGCGACTTCCATGTCTGTCTGATCTTGGTCGACGTCGTCGTGATTTGCTCTTTCATTCTCCCAGAGTGGCGGCTGATTACTCACTAGACGAAGCTCCTCGTCTCTAGTACTAGTAGAGCAGGAAGAAATTTTCAATGTACTAGAATTATCTTTGACGCTCTTCGGAATAACCTCAAAAACCTCAGTCGAAGGCAAAGTATTGTGGCGAAGCAGATGCCGCTTCAAGTTGTAGCGAGGTCTTGAAGTTGAAGGCATTGCACCGCTTTGTTCATCTGCCGGTCCTGCACTTTGTTCCCCGAATAAAAAACTGCAATTAGAAAAGGAAAAACATGTGATGTAGACTTCTGTGATATTAATGACATAAATTCATTCTTTGGAGAGAAGCTTGAGATTATTTTCCACCTATTATGAACGGGATCTTGATTGATGTTTGGAAATGCAGGATGAATAACCATAAGGTAGGGCACATCGAGTGCTAGACAAACCGTATCGTCATCAGCCTCGATTTCGTAGTCGAATGATAGCGTGCCTTCTGCCACCTACAAGATTTCGTTAGAAGAGAAAATGCTTAAATGAATGTCTACTTCCAGCAAGACCATTTTCTTGAACACGATCATGTCTAAGCAGCTACTGTGGATACTAGGGACCGCGTACTAGAACTCCTACATCGGAACAGTATTTTATAAACACGCCTTCGAGAGAGGCGACTGATGACATACAATGATATAATATCAGTTCTTGTTACATTCACTCGAACATTTCGGCAGTTGCGTTGCCAACCCGCACTTGGAGGCTGGTAACCGTCCTCCTCCTCCTCACATTTGCTCCTGTAGCTGTAAGAAACAGGCGATGGAAGGGGTGACGATAATGATGAAGGGATGAAGGGCCGAACCGTAAAAGACAGAACTGCTCCTCGTCGTAATGCATCTTTCTCCGCACAGGGATTAAAGTGAGTACACATTGAATACGAACTCAGCTATTGCACTTGGCTATTTCAATAAAGCGGTCGTGTATCTCCTCTACCTGTAGTGAAATGTAGAGGGAAGAAAAAAGCCCCGAGAAAGAGAAGAAGTGGTAGAATTTTTACCACTTTTGCTTTCTGGTGTTGAGCATAGATGAATATAGCTGAGAATTTGGAGGAAACCCTTTCGCGAGCCATAACTTGGAGAGCGAAGAAAAACCATACCGGATTCTGGGCAGGAATTTGGAGGTCAAAGCAGAGACCCGATGTGCTTGCAAGATTATCTTGGGAGGCTCCTACCAAGCATCCCCCATCGAAGTCCCAGGTTAGTCGCACCCGACCCGCAGGCACACTCTTTTCGAGACCTTGGTGTTCGAGTGAACTGATGTATAGACCATTCAAGCTTTTTCCAACCTGCGTCGCAAGAAGAGAACCAACGAACCAAGTACACACCTATGAAGAATTAAGAAAGCCATATAATTTATCATAAGACGTCGTCCATTTATTTTAGGAAGCTTCTCTTCCTGTAAGGTAATTGGAAAAAACTAGAAACTGTAAATCCATATCAGTGGAGGAGGGCCAGACGGCTCCGCAAGTGAACGCATCGTCCCTCGCGGTCAGGCGGCAGCATAAAATCGGGCGGGCGAAAAAAGACGGCGTCCGCAGACAGGGTCGCGGCGCCGCAAAGGCGACTCACTGCACCGAGCCTAACAGCGAGAACGCTACACTCCGTCTATCTTTTCACCGGTGCGACCTCTAATGAGATCTTCGGTTTTCTAGAGTGAGCGCGAAAAGAGTATCCTCATACCGAAAGCCTCGCTGCGCATGGCGCCGTCTCTCGTGCAGCGCCTACGCCTCCAAACAACCGGCAGCCCTACATCTAAAAAAAAAATCGCAGCTACGCCGAAAAGCCCAAGCGCGGGGCCGTCTCGCATTCTCTGGTCGTTCCGTTGCTCCGCGAGTATTCACGGGCGGGGGCAGCTGCGGGGCCGGGTGCCGGCGCGATGCATGGAAGGAGTGCAGCCCGCGCAGCCGACGGCCGGCGAGCGGCGCCTCTTTTCGGCGTCGCAAGCTGCGGCGGAAACCCTGCTCCAGCCATGCGGGCTAACCCAGTGCCGGCTCAGCCTCCACTCTTTTCAAGGGCTGACAGGCTGCTCCCCAAGCAACGCCACGGCCCTGTGGAGGGGATGTCACTCGGCGCAGACGCGGCGGCCGCATTCTCTCCGACTAAGGCGCGGAGGCCGGTCCACAACGCGCGCCGGATGGCGGTCGCGCTTATGCGAGCGGGAAGCGGGAAGGCCGCAAAACGCAGCGGACCCTCGGTGGGAGGAGTACAGGAGAGGCGCACGAAGAACACCGCATGCGAAGCGCCTCCGAGGTACGCGTAGAGGCCCGAAGGAGGCGCGCAGCAAACTGGCGGGGGGTGTAGGGGGGCACACCGCCTTCCCTAGTAGCCTGCGGGGAAGAGAGCCGGGCTTTTGCGCTCGGTATAGCGAAAAGTGTCGACTTCTGAAAAGTTAGCGGTGAGGGCTCTTCAAATGTCGAGGCTTTTTTCGCCGCTGCAGCGCTGCAGAGACCGGCGCAAAGGGAAAAGCCGCCGACCATGCCCCGGGAGCGACGCGGGCGGAGGAACAGTCCCGGCCTTCGACACGTCAGGGGCCAAAACGCGAAGGAAGCCGAGCTCCTTTGGGCCCGGTCGGGTTGTTTTGAAGGCGAAGGGGAAAGCGGGGGGCCCGCTTCGGGAAAAAGAGGGCGGACGAGAATACGATCCAGGCGCGGGCGTATCGGGGACGCGAGAGCCCGCGCAAAGCGGACCGGTTGCCAGGCTCGGGGCAAAAGGCTCGAAGCGAGGCCCCCGCGTGCGGGCTCGTGGTCCTCTGCTCCAAGTTCGGCTTTTTGCTAGTTTCCTTTGAGGTACGCGCCAATGCCTGCCACTAGCCGACGCTTTTTGAGCAGAAGCTGGAGGGATGGTGGTCCGCTGGTTGTCACCTTCCCGTGGGCTGGTAGCTTGGCTTGGAGCATCAGCCCCGGAGCAGCGCCCCCGTGTGCGGGCTCGTGGTCCTTTGCTCCAGCCCCGGCGCCCTTTCTTGTTTTCTTTGGGCCATTCCCCTCTAGCTGCGGGCCTTCTCTCTAGCTGCGGGCCTTCTCTCTAGCTTCGTCCCCTTTCCGGGTTCTCTTTGAGATATGCCGCAAGCACAGAAAAGAAGAGAAGGCAACACGCGAAACCGATGACACAGGGACGGGACAAGAGCATCCCGCGGCCACGCCTTGGGCAGGATCTGGGGAAGCAAATGAAGACAAGAGGGGGCAAAGAAATCCAAAAGGGTACCGAAGCAGCGCTGCCCCTTAGCGGTTTCGCTCAGAGTTTCGCGGGGGGGACTCCGATGGCGCGCAAGTGTCTCCCAAGATACCACAACAGGACCGCGGCGCAGAGGAGGCCGACCCGTGGCATTATGTAGAGAGGGACGCGAGGAGGCGCGAGAAACAAACGAGGGAAAGCAGCCGACGCGAAACCGATAAGCAGACGCCAGAAAAGAAGAGAAGGCAGCACGCGAAACCGATAGCAAAGCGGACGGCTGAAGAGCAAAACGCGGCCACGCCTTGAGCAAGACCGGGGGCGGCAAATAAGGAAAAAGGGGGCAGAGAAACCCACAAGGGAACCGAGGCCGCGCCGCCTCTTAGCGGTTTCGGCTAAGAGTTTCGCGGGGATCCACTCGAAACCGATACCCGCACGAAGTTCGAAACTGTTGAGGGGCAGAGCTTAGGCAAGCCGAAACCGCTAAGGGACTCGCAAAACGGCCGGAGGCTAAACGAATATAAACAGCACCAGCAGGGGCGACCCTCTGCCAGTGCAATCGCCTCCATTATTTTCGTCTCCTTC